CACAGGGGGTGCAGCAGTCCTGCTCCATTAAAGTCAGACATTGTTTTTTGCCAGCTGGTTTTCATTTTTCATTTTCTTGGTTAAAATACAGATTGCCTTCTATGTTAGCTATTAGTCACCTATTTTTGGCTGTCCTTGCCCCAGAATAATTTCATATCAGAGATATTGTGGTAAATTAAAATGACAGCAACCAAACACAGTTGCTTATTGGAGCATTGTTTAAAGGGGGGCCAGGGCTAGCATCTGTGGTGTGCCCTTTGGAGGCTCTGTGGGACTGCCCAAGAATCAGGGCTGGCCTAAGGCATTTTGGCACCTGAGGCAAACCATAAAATGGTTTCCCACCCCAGGCAATAAGGACTGAAGGAACAATGGGAGAATAAAGACCTACTTCAGAAACAAGGGTGGGAGGAGACCAGCAGTGCCTCCTATTTGCCAAGAGCAGCAGCAGCAGCAGCAGCAGCAGCAGCAATACACTTTCCCCCTGCAGATCCAGCCACCTGAGGTGGTCACCTCACCTTGCCTCATGGGTGGGTTGGCCCTGTCAAGAATGCTGCACATTGATCTACACTTGGTTATGAGCCCAGCCTGGAAGAATCCAGTGGGTCAAAGGTGTGGCCAACAGAATCTGGAGCTTACTTGCTTTTCAGTCAGTTAATATGACTCACTAAAAGAATCCAGAGCAAATGCTCCATCATTCAAACTAGAATTTCCTTCCAGGGATAGGCTATGTCCCAAGCACAGGAGGCTGTAATGTGAAAGAGGAAAGAATACATGCAGTGCCCCAAGACGCTTCAGGATTCCAGCTACTGTAAGACTTATTAAGGATTTATTTTGCCAGTTTGTTTCATTGACGCTGATTCATTTGTTGTCTTCTTCTTCTGACTTTCAAACTGACAAAGTTTGATATCTTTGAACAGGTAAATTTAGCCTCTTCTCACATTCTCACACCTCTGTTAAATGCCACAAGACATGAATAACAGCTATTTAAGAACTCAGTAGACTTTGTGCATTTTACATTCTCTCAAAATTCTGACAGTGCAAAGAGAGACTGTAGTTTTGATCCAGGTAGCTTATGGAACTGTACATGATTTTAGTTCTCCAAGGATATGGATAAACTAACCATCTTTAGTACAGTAATGACAGGTGTCTCCAAAAACAGTCAAAGATCAGAAAGCAATAAGGTAATTTTGCATTCCTGGAGGGTTTAGCATGCAAAACCCAATAGAATCATGAAAACTGAGCTCTTGTACATCCCATTAACTTTATTTGGAGGGTTAAGAAGAAGTGCTTAACTTTGGCCAGAATGTACCATAAGTGTTTGCAAAGGTAATATCACACCGACAAGTTCAAGCACAGTATGAATTCCTCCTCATATTTTACTGCATTTTTCCTGATGTGGCAACAGCCTTCTCAATTGCTAAAGAGTGAACTTTGAGAGCAACAACTAAAGACACTAGGCAAGACACATTAGGATATTGTCGTCTTCTTACCATCTCATATTTTTTGAATTGGTCCTGCCTATATTTCTCACATGTACTTCTCCAAAGTAGTTCATCTGTAGAGCCAATCCCTGTTTACTCTATAAACTATTTTATCTGGCAACTCCATCTATGAAACTGAGCTTTTAAAAACACACAGACCCCCTACCCTAAGATTCAAGTTACATTCTGCCTTGTGTGAGTGGGCATGTTTGCTTATGATTTCAAGCAACAAGCTGGAGCAGCTCCCTCCATTTACTCACAAGTGGGTGCACCAGGTGGCCTTTTCAAGGTCCATGTTTGTTTTCCTTGTTTCTTTGCCCTGTGACTGCTTCCTACATGTACACAGTAGGCTCACAATCTCATGAAAGATGGCGCAGGGACAGACAAGAGGCAATGAAACAAGGAGAGGAGAGGAGAGGAGAGGAGAGGAGAGGAGAGGAGAGGAGAGGAGAGAGGAGAGGAAGCACTGATGCAGATCCCTGGTTAGCCTCATACAACACTATGTTGAAAGAAGAGAGGGGTGGAACCTTATATCTTATCTGCAGCAATCTCTGAATGACTACATATGTCAACTCACTGAAAAGCCTGAGTATGACTAACTAGATTCTGTATCTGCCAAACTGCTGGCTTGCGTCCCATCCCCAGACTGAAAACATGTCACCATATTTGTCTTGCAGCTGTTGCTGTTTGTTAAAGGCCAATAAACAAGGCCAATTTTTCTATGGCAACCATGGCTAAAGCATTAGCCATGTCCCCAATCAAAGCTGTGAAAAAATGTCACCAAGACTCACCGTTATCAACTGATCTATCCCAGCTGTAACAATGTAAGAGAACCTACATCCCTACTGACCAGAGTCAGTCCTACTGCCTCAGGTGTCACAAGACTAAGCTGTCATAGTAGGTTCCAGAACACACAATGGCCCTTCAGCAGGCTGGTGTTTGTTTCAAAAGAATTTTTGTATTTCATACCACTTAACACAAAAACAAAAAAACCAAAAAAAATTGGCAAATGTCTCCTTAAGATTTTCAGTTACGAAGAAAGCAGATATTAACAAACTGGCTCAACCAATTTCATTCAGGTCATCTCCAAACTGTCAGTAAAAGGTAAAGGTAAAGGGACCCCTGACCATTAGGTCCAGTCGCGGATTACTCTGGGGTTGCGGTGCTCATCTCGCTTTATTGGCCGAGGGAGCCAGCGTACAGCTTCCGGATCATGTGGCCAGCATGACTAAGCTGCTTCTGGTGAACCAGAGCAGCGCATGGAAACGCCATTTACCTTCCTGCTGGAGCAGTACCTATTTATCTACTTGCACTTGGACATGCTTTCGAACTGCTAGGTGGGCAGGAGCTGGAACCGAGCAACGGGAGCTCACCCCGTGGCAGGAATTCATACCCTGACATTCTGATCGGCAAGCCCAAGGCTCTGTGGTTTAGACCACCGCGCCAGTACTGGATTCAAATACATACCAGGAATTTTAGATTTGCTCAATTAAAGTGGATTAAAGCAGTATGTCACCCCAGCACAACAAAAGCACTTTTGTAAAAGTGGGGGTTTTGTGCTTAGGACAGTGACAGGGAAATGCACTAAAAATGAGTGGGATGAACGAATGATTAGATTAAATGCTCAGTGTCATAGCAAACAAATCTGAAAAGCGTAAAGCAAACAAAGAATGAATATTCAATAAAGACTGGCCTAAGGCTGCATACTCACCCTATATTTAAAGCACACTGCTTCTTCCAAAGAATCCTGGGAGCTGCAGTTTACCCCTCAAAGAGCTACAATTCCCAGCAGCCTTAACAAACCACAGTTCCCAGGATTCTTTGGGGGAAGTCATGTGCCTTAAAGGTGTATACAGCCATATTCTAACCTCCATGCAAGTAAATCAGGCTGAAAGCTCAAAGAGGTAATCTGGAGGAGCCTTGCGACAAACAGCTATGTAAATTTTAAAAATGGATTCAAAATACTTATGAGAAACCAAACTCTGGTCTGTCTGCACACAGATTCTGATGCTATGTGCTGGGAAGGTAAATTAGAATCAAATCAAACCAAGCAGTCGTTTAGCCCAATAGTTTCTATAGGTACCATCAAGCCTAATTCCAAAGTCATATGATCATGTCTCACTTCAGGGATTAAACGTGATACCTCCCTCCAAGTAACACAAGTAATTAACTACTAATTTACAGCCCTACCCATCATGAACTGTAATTCATTAACTCCCCAAAAGTAACAGATCCTCGTCAAGTGCTTCAGGCAGCTCATCTTGGATGTCATGGAGGGACAGCATATTGTTAGTTATTTCATCTATTATTCTTGTATTTTTACTTCCATCAAGAGGCACATGTGGGATTTTCTTTTTCAAGTGCCAAAATAACCTGGCCAGCCTTTGATATGCTTTGGGTTGCCCTGGGCAAGATAAAGACACCAACAAATGTAATAAATAATTATATTCTGCACCTTGATTTAGGGTATGTCTGCATCACTACATACTCCACATCCAGGATGCTCCTACTGCTAGTTTTTGAAGCCACATTCACCTGTTAGCCACAATCCATATCAATCCTGTAGTTTCCTGTCAAATACTGCTGATTCATGTGTTACTTCTAAGAGACCACCTTCCATCCAAGCAGAAAACTAACAGCATTCACTTAGTACTTCAGAATGGTGCGAACAGCTTCATTAATAGGGAATTCAAGCAGGTTGCAAGGGAAAACTTACAAGATTGTGCATGCTTGGTGAAGACATTCCTGCCCCACCTCTGATGCGAACACCATGCAAATATGGCTTGAAACACAGTGGGAAAAATATATTTGCTACATTTAAAACTGCTAATGTGAACATACCCTTAGGGAGAGCACTATTTGGTATTCTGCCTTGGGCTGCAAAATGTCTTGAGCAGGCCATGAGTGCTTCATTGTAAATGCCTTCCTCACCTGCTTTGCGATTTTGTTCTGTGATGGTAACCATGTTGGCAAAAAAACCTTCATCATGAAGAGGGGGGGAAATCAAACCTTTACATTACACCAAATCATGTCAACGGCATCCAGAGCATGAATTGGGGACACCTGAATTCAAATCCTTTTGCAGCTCTGAAGGACACTGCATGGCCTTGGGCACTCTTGTCATACAATCCACCTCACAGGGTTATTGTGAAAACAGAATATGACACCCTGAGTTCTTTAAAAAAAACAGAATGCAAATTGTGTGAAATTCAGCCTTTTCTCTTGGCCAAAAGGCAGGACAAACACACTAAGAAATAAAATGAATTCATGAATAAATCTTATAGTAGCAATTTTAAATATTAATATGAAGAAAAGAGATGATGTGGGAAGTGAATAGCAGGGAAATGAGTGCTTGGCAAACTGTCTCTTTTGCAAACCAATTATTTATATAATATAAATATCTTGCCATTTTTAATTATTATAAAGTGCCATCAATATGCATGATGAATTTACAAGGGAACAGGGACTTTTCCTGAATAACTTAACCAAAATTCAGCACATAGGAATCAAGGGAGAAGAGCGGAGGGGAAACAGAGGCAGAGGCAAACTAAGGAAGACTATGTACTTATTTATTCTGAGGTGCGTATTAATTGACTGGCAGGACAGCCAGAGAGTTAGAGAGCACAGATTCGGTGGTCAAGAGATGCACAATTCAATCACCACATCATCAAAAAGGAAGCCGGCCAGTTTTAAGAGGCCAACAGGAGGCTGTAACCCGAAGCGCCACTGAGTGCAGGCTTGGGAGACTCCTGGGAAACAGCTAATAAGCTGCTTGGGAGTTGTAAAGTCCACAGAGCAGTGTCCAGGTTTTAGTTTACCAAAGTTGGTACTGCTCCCCCCTCTGAGTGGAGGCAGCCTGGGACTGCTGACGTCACTGAGGAGCAGAGATAAAGGGGTGATATACAGCAGCTGGAAAGCAAAAACTTCTGAGGCGTGCTGGAGAGAGGCTCTACTGCTCAGTCCAGGGAACCACTGCTAAGCTGACAGGAACCCTTTCTTACAGAGATCTAGGGAGGAGGAGGAAGAAAAGGGAACCATTAAAGATACCCTCAGAAAATTGCTGAAAAATGCCACAGAACGTTGTCCTTCCAGGACCGGCGCCTTGGGGCTTCAGGCTGACAGGAGGGATAGACTTTAAGCAGCCGTTAATCATATCCAGGGTATGTCCTTTTCCCTTTTCTTTTCTTTTTCTTACAATGGCATCCTTGAAGTTGTGGAAGTGTGGAGTCTGCAGGAGGTGATGGTGTTTTGCTCATCCTCAGACAAGACATGCTTTGCTGAATGCTTTGTATTTTTAAAGAACACAACACAGGTGGTTGTTAATTTTGCACTGTGCAATCAATGGTTGAAGGGTTTCTTTTAATATGCTTGTCAAGAAGAGTGAGCAGACTTGACACTGCTATTTCTTCCCATGCACCCCTTCCTCTGATGTAGTATTCATCTACTCAACCCACATGAATGGTTACCAGTGCAATCCTAGATATGTCTCTTTAGATGAAGAAAACCACTCAATTCAATGGAATCACTCTCAGGTAAGGGGACACAGGATTCACTGGACTGCAGTCCTGTAATCCGCTTACCTGTGACCCCATTGAATCCAGTGGGATTTGGAATAGGGCCAAATTTGCAACACAATTTTGCAGTGCAGTGCCCTCACCCCCCACCACTTAGCTTCAGACAACCTGGAACAGGGCATTTATAGCACTGCTTAGGAGAAGGTGGGAGGACACCTTTTCCACTCCTGCCCCTTCCCCATAAATGCTGCTAGAGAGCTTAAGCTTGGGTCTGGCTGCCAGCCCCAAACTTGAGCATTTTGTTTCTACATGAAAGGGAGACAGGGTTTGGAGACTAAGGAACTGGAGAATGTGTCTTCTTTTCCTTTGCTTCCTCCTGTAACATCTTGATTATTCACCCCTCCACTGCTTTCAGAGCCTTCCTCCCACCTCCCCTGCAGACAGAAATGAGAGAAACCTGTAGAAAGCAATGGATAAATTCAATTTTTTGCATACTTGAGTTTCCTACTCAAAAAAAGCAAAATGTAGCAGCAAATACAGGAGTTCCTAACCATAGCATTAATGTGAACCTAGAACTTCCATCTCTGGTGAAATAAGATGTGTCTGTTCTTGCTTTCTCCATATAGGCTCAACTAGTATCATATTCTGTATGTCCTGGAAACTCATAGGTTCCTCTTGGACCATTTTGGGGGTTTTCTTTTAATTTACAAACTTGCATACTTCAATCTACAGTACCCAGGGCTCCCTCAAGTTTATAGAAACCACCTCCTTATTTTTGGTTGTGCTGTTTTGCTTTCAAACTGAGAGGTACACAGCCACCCACTTCACTTTACCTAACTGGAACTCTAATGTGCATATGATAACTTGAAAATTAAAAAGGATGTTGTCTTCCCTGTTCAAGCACAAAGATGGCATATATAAAGAACGGAACATCATGCAAACTCTTCGACTGAAACCCTTATGCTACTTATTCTAGTGAAAAGAAACTCAAGGAGTCAGAAATTTGAGGTAGAGAAGCAAGGGGGCACAATCCTTTTCTAGCCCACTGCTTTTCCATTTCATCACCTCCTCAAGCCACTCCAGTTGTGCATCTCCATACAACAACACAGCTGGGTGTCAGTTAACTAGTTTAACTAAGTTGTACAAAAGGAATTTGCAGGATACCTTCTTGGGGAAAGGAGCTATACATATTCATTTTCACACTTAGGGTAAGTTCACACAAAATCAGCATAATGAAAGTTCACGGGGAGAGTGGGGTAATGTTGTAATTAGTTGTGCCTAATAAGGGGACAACTGAAGGATCAAATGTAGACATTTCTGAGTGCTATCTTCAGATATTTTTCAAAATGATTACACACTCACCCTGTTGGTTTGTAACTGGGAACTTGTTGACAAGTGGGATATACTTCCCTAAAGCAAATCAGGTTAGTAATTTTATTGAGTTCATCTAGGAGCAACTTAACATGTATATTACAATGCTAACTCAGAGAGTCTTCATACTGAATCAGTTGGGGTTACTTTGCTGACCTCAAAAATCAGCAAAGAGGTGATATAGTTTTAGGATTGATTCATTAGCAACAATTTCAAGGCCACACCATCTGTACACAACGTCCTTTACAGGAACATAAATCCTTTTTGAGCCATCCAGATTGATATACATTTTTGCCCAAACATGCACAGCCACTCCATATCTTTATCCTGAGGCAGCATGCACAAGGATGTGGAATGTTGCCATTGTGGACAAAAACTGTGAGACCTAATTTTGGAATTCACATTTCTGCATTTTCCATTACTTTATAATGCTGATCAAATAAAGTCAGTGCCAATGCCTTATGCAAGAACTGTGATTTCAACATCTCTCTCATTTATTTCATTTTACTGCATGCATTTTACTGCATGCACAAGTAGAATTAATTGGCCACAACCTTGAAGACCTCTACAGACTGAAAGATAGGATAAATATTTGAAATAAATAACAAAAATAAAAATGCTCCTGCTAAAACAAAGTAGTTTAAATCTCACTGAGGTCAATTGAAATGACAGGCACATCCTTAACTGACATTAATAGATCTTTGAAAAGTGATTAACAGTACAGCCCTTTGTTGGCTTATTCATAATAGATTCCCATTGCATTCAGTGGTGATTACTCACAAATAACTATGCACTGGATCGTAGCCTTACAGAGCAGATCGTGCCCTTTAAGTGTTAAAAATTCCATGATATATACTTTCAATATCACTATTTTACAAACAACTTCAGTTTCACTGGATGCTACAAATACAGCTAGTATTCCTTGCAGAATGAGAATATCTAAACGTATTATCCTCTCAAATTTGTGGTCTGATTGAAAAAGTACAACTACACAAATAAAAAATGCCAGTGTAAGGAGTTGAAGAATTATTGCTGACTTAACAGTATTTCAAATGAGAACTCTTGTTAGAGTTAAGGTACTAAATTTAGGCACTTAAAGAAAAACCAACACAGCTAGCTAGTACCATAAACAAAGAGTAGTTTGTTTCACCAGAACTCCATGCACTCTGAGTGTTTAACCTTCATAAAATGCACAAAGCACATGTAAGCTGATGTGGTGCATGCTTATGGCATCTGACATGGCCACACTGGAGAAAGGGAAACAATGTCTGAGCTTAAAAACAATAGAAGACACTGTGGAGTTTTTGGACTCCTATTGCCTTTTATGGCATTATAAGAGGGAAGGACTTTCCATTATCTCTCAAGAAAAGTATTTTAGTAATGCTAGGCTCCTTGCCTGCATTTGTTTACAATAAGCTCAGTCAAGTTTAAAGTTCTATTAACAAAAGAGGAGCTGCATTTATACCTAATTACTGAGAAGTAAATTGTTTGGTATTATCTGAGTCACTGTGAGACAAGTAGCTTTGGGAGCTGCTGAACAAGACTCATTAACTGTCTGTTTCAAGGCCTACTGCTCCGCACTGCAAGGCGTGTTTACATAAAAAGACAAATGTGAAGACGGATGCCTTGAGTTTTACTGGTACATCTGTTTGATGTTAACATATGTCAACTACTTTGATTCTTTTTCTCATTTATATGTAACAGTTCAGTATTTAGAAATGGATCTCTAAAGTGCGGGCCCAAGCCCCAGAATACTTTAAATCAGTTCAATAAAACCTTAACTCCTTGATCCAAAAGATATGGATTATCAGAGCAAGTTCTAAAATCAATGGCCCTAAAGGAGCTTAGGTTAACCATTTTTAAGGTAACTGGCTTGAGGGTATCTTGAACTACCCATGTGCAAACCGTAAGAAATATACATGGGAGTCAAATTATTTTGTTTGAGAAACAAAACACCAAACCGTAGCATTTTATAACAAAGTACAGGATACATATGCATTTTTGATAACACTATGTGAAGACAAATTTAAAACGGAACAGTGCAAACACAGTAAATGCACAGTAAATGGAAGTGTGAACACAGCCACAGTTACAGTTTTAAGAATACATTTATCTCAGGTTGAATGTCTGCATGCACTCCAAATACCGGTAAATGAAGTTGAGCTCCTGCATAATCAGACTTTCCCTATACATTTCAATGGAAGGAACAAGCTCTGTGTGAGCATCTCTTTGCACATCCAGAACTGAACCCTTATTTGAAGTGAGTGCTGGAACACCTGAAGATTGAGTGGGATCCATGTATACCATGGACAAGGAACCTGCAGCCCTTCAGAAGATGCAGTTCCTGTCATTCCAGGTCTTTGGCTACATGGTGGGGCTGAATGAAGTTATAGCTCAACAACATCTGGAGGGCTGCAGGTTCCCCATGTTGTACACATTAAAGGAAGCCACACCTTCAAAGAATAATTGCATCAAGGCAATAGTGTCTACCATACATTGTATAGTTTTAACTTTTCACTATCGGGAGCTTTTAATGACAACTTATTGGACTTTTCTAAGTAAAGGTATTTACGGATGAGGGACTTATTTCCTAGTGGCTCAGGCTATCATTTTAAGAGAATTGTACTGAATCCTTAGGAAAATGATACAGGACAGATCTATGTTTTTCAAGATGAAGATGTACATATTTTTTTAAAAAAAATTCTTTAGCTATGCCAATTTCCCATCAGTTTGTGACAAGACAGCATGATCATTCAAAAATAGCTTTCAAATTAAACAATAAATCTTTTTGGAATTGATTTTCTAGCAGCGTAGAGTTTTAAACAGACCATAGCAAAACAGAGTAGCCTAGTCAATCAGGTAAAGACTTCACAAGGAAGAGACAGAAGGGGCTACTACCACCTGTTTATCTAGAGAAGTGATGTCATAATCAAAAAGCTATCTGTGGTTACCCAAACCAAATACAGTAAGACAACCCTCTGGAAGGTTTCAAGCAAATGTAGAACCTCAGGGCAGATAATCCAGACAAGCTAAGTATAGAAGTGGATTGAACTGCAGCCCAATCGTCAACATACTGCACTGCTTGTTTGAAGGCCACCAAAATAAATGCAACTAAGGCAAAAAGAGCAGTTTGTGGATTAATCAAAGCATGCTAAGAGACAGTTAAGCACATCAATGCAAGAAGCAAAATATTTCCTTATCTAATAACTGTGAGAAGCTGGATTTACAGATTAGGCAATTGACAAGTAGATTACAATATTGTCATGTTTCACAAAAAAGCTTTATCAAGCAATGATGCTTCCAAACAATAGCTCTCTCTCTCTTTTGAGAACCAGGATACACACATCAGTAAGAACCACACATTAGTAAGGCAGACAACTTTTATTCCCTAGTAGGGTTGGTGAGCCTTTACTAATGGCATGACAGGTAGAAATCCAACATGGGTACGCATAAAAAATTTTAGCACATCAAAAGCTTTTTCAGTCACACTAGCTTTTCACATACGAGGGGCGAATTATGTAGACAAGGAATCTCCTATCTGAAATCTGAACTGGTACATTCTAGGAAAGGCTGAACCAGATGAGATTTCTAAATGCCCTGTGCTGTGCAGGGCATTGTACAGAAACTGTAACATACCAGAAATTACCCCTAAGTGTTCTCCATGGCAAAATTATAATTTAAAAAAATACATCCCCGAAGTGAGACTATATTCTCTGTTTGGTCACTTTGTGACAATGCCACAAGAGTTTGGAAACAGTTGTCTGAAATCTTTATTTCTTGCTACAATTAGAATCCCACCTTTCCACCAAGGAGTTCAAGGTGGTGTACATGCTTCTCCTCCTCTCCATTTTATCCTCACAACAGCCCTGTGTGGTAGGTAAGACTGAGAAATAGTGATTGGTCACCCAGTGGACTCGATGGCTAAGTGGAGATTTAAACCCTGGACTCCCAGCTTCTAGCCTGACACTCTAAACACTGTGGAACACTGGAATGTGCTGAGGAGGAGATCAGGTCTGGAACTTCCAAAACCCTTAGCATTTGCTCAAGCCAATATATCACTTGCTAAACTCTGTATCAGACATACTTCATGTCTGGTATTTTTTGAAGAGAGAAATATTTATGGAATTCTTCAGCCTTCTAGAAAAGGCTTGCACAGTTTAACATTCTCTTTCACAAGGAGAGGTGTAGAAACCATAGGAAGGAGTGGTTCATGGCAGAAACTAGTCCCAAGGTTGCCAGGCCGCAACCATCACCCACACCAGACTTGAGTGAACAATGTTTGCTATTTCCTCTGTTTTGTAATTATGACAAATTTCAAAAGTATTAAGCCAACCACAAAACCTGTTACATGCATAAAACTGGATAAAGCACAACAAATTATATAACCTGTGTGCCAACCATCATCACCCCATCCATATGCAAAGCAGATAAAGAAAATATTAGAGAGCAAGTTTCTGTTTTATACATCCATACTGCTAAACAATGGCATTATAACTCATATAAAACACTGAGAAATCTGTATTACCATTGCAGACAGACTTGCTGACTCATGGTCCCTTGCTGCACATTCCATGTCATGCAACATAATGTAGATGACAGTTGTCTGTCCTCACTGGCAGCACCAAAACTCTTCTGAACATAAGCTTGTTTTAGTATTTTAACTCTTCGCATGTTTTAAACTATTGCCGTATAATTTTATTGAGTTTTTTTTGTAAACAGCTTTGTTTTTTCTACAATCAACAGTGTATAAATTTTATGAAATAAATAAATAAATGCTAAAATATCAGCTAGCACCAAAATAATAATAAAAAATAGAAGCTAATGCTTACATGCCTGTCACAATGAGTCACAGACCAACTACAGCTCATACTCGAAATTAAGTGAAGGTTCACCACCTCCCTTATTTGTGTCAAAATAAGTTGCACTGAAATCAATACTTCTTATGTGGAAACAGGTCTACTTATCATTTAAAAGAAACATCTTGTGTTTCTTTCAGATCACTCCAGGAAGCAAAGCTTCACAAGCCAATTTGTGCCCTGGTGACATCATTATAGCTATTGATGGCTATGGCACAGAGAACATGACTCACAATGATGCCCAAGAGAGAATTAAAGCAGCATCACACCAACTCTGTCTGAAAATTGAGAGGTAAGATTTTGCCATATGCTTGGAGTACAATACAGTGGTACCTTGGGTTACAGACGCTTCAGGTTACAGACACTTCAGCTTACAGACTCCGCTAACCCAGAAATAGTACCTCGGGTTAAGAACTTTGCTTCAGGATGAGAACAGAAATCGCACGGTGGTGGTGCAGCGGCAGTGTAAGGCCCCATTAGCTAAAGCGGTACCTCAGGTTAAGAACAGTTTCAGGTTAAGAACGGATCTCCAGAACGAATTAAGTTCTTAACCTGAGGCACCACTGTAATGGATTCAATATTTCCCATCTAAATTAAAGTTTGCCATTATCTGATGATTACAAACATTCATAGCCATGGATCCAATAAATTTCTGGGCACAACCTCCTAGATGTTCTTGGCATGATAATGTGGCAAGATTGCCATGACAATTCCTAGTCCTGTTTCCCTTGGTGTAATATATCTTCTGCAGCTTCTCAGACTATTTTCTACTAAATAGTCCCACTGTTAAACAGCACTGCTCCTTACAGGTTCGAAACAAAATAGTACTCAGTTTGGCCTTAAGTTTGGCCTTACACAATGGAATGAGGCTGTCTCCTAGGCCACCCATCAGTGGGTGATTTGAGAGCAAGAAATGGTAGTCAAGGGGCCAATCAGGCAGAAGCAAGCAAAGTAAAGACAGGGAGAAAGCATGAGCACAGAATAACCTGCTGCTCAAGAGTGAGCTGGAATTGGATTGTGCAATGTTTAGTTAGTCAGGGCCCTGCAGGGCTCAACAAGAGGAGTGTGAGACTGCAGAAACTGGAGACAGTAGCTGGATAAGATAACAAGGAATTCAGCAAGGGAGTATGACTCTGAGGTATAAGGAAAGTTGTCTCCAGGCCCAAGGCTGCTGGTTCAAATTCCAGTATGCTATTGTCTATGGAAACTTGGGGCATTGCTTCTTCTCACAGACACCAAAGCAACCAAATTCTAAATCCTAGCTCAATTTGCAGTAAAGGGCAAAAGTTTGCATTTTGCCTAATTGCATTGTAAGATATAGCCCACCCATTCTATTCTTGATGTTACCATTGTCCTTACATGCTTCAGCTTTTCCACTGTACACATTCTTACCAAGCACAACCTTTTCTTTTAAAAAAAAACCCAAAACAGGTTGATTGTATCCATTTTATGTTTTGTTTAAAAAAACACTCTTTGGATTCAGAAGTGGCTCACCAGTTGGGACGCAGCCACTTTGCTAGCTTCCTGGTAGGTGTGTTGCTGTTGCTTACTGGGAGGGACAAGGCAGTGGGGAGGTTGGTGTGGTGCAAACACACCAGATTAGTGCCAACATCCCCACTGCCTCTCCCCTCCTCTCCCTCTGAGTAAGCAACAGCAGCCCATCTGCTAAGAAGCTGGTATAGTGGTTCCACCCCACCCAGCAAGTCACTCCTGCCTGTATTGTTATGGGGTGCTCCCAGATAGATATTTATTGGGGGATCAGTGCTGCTTAGGCAAAGTTTTTCACAGCATCCATACACATTGATTTCAAAATGCCAGCTTGCATCCCACCACATTTAATTTAGATTTACCCTGTCTGAGATAATTCTGTTAAGTTGACATAACTTGTTGCCAATGACCTATTTGCAATATTAAATCCCCATTTGGAAGCATCCTTAGACTTTCACAATTCCTCTTATCTTTCTTTTGCCACAAGTAAGCCCACAAGCATTATCTGAAATTTTCCCTGCTCAACAAAAACTAAAGGACCACTGTTCTATTTTTCTTTAGTTACCAATTCAGTATTGTCTACTTTTCATAAGATAATATACAAATAAACAGTTAACTTATTTAAAAGATAAGTTTTCATGTTGTGATAAATGGGAGACAAAAGCTTTGGGGGCTTTAGGATTGCATAACACAATGAATGCAGATGTGCTATATTAAGGATTCTTCATTTTTCACCCTACAGGGCAGAAACAAGAATGTGGTCTCCGCAAATAACAGAAGATGGTAGTCCACATCCATTCAAAGTAAACTTGGAAGCTGAACCACAGGTAGCAAATCGCTTTAAATCAGCAGCATTCCCATTGTATTTTGCAGCAGCTTACTTATATTTTTATTATGTTTCCCAATGTCTAATTAACCTCCTGTTAAACATAAGATATCTTAAAGCAGTACATCCCTATACTTTTGTATGAAAAACCATTGGAAGCTGTAAGATTCTTACATCTGTTCTGGACATGATCTTGAGCCATTAAATTCTTAATACCTCACATGTTCCAGAGCCGAGTCCTGACACTGAAAACAGCTTCTAGGGAAAGGCCCCAAGGACCCCTGGTTAAATTTACCCATCCTCACTCACCTGAGTATCACACCTAACCCAAATAAGTCTACTGTCTTAACCCAAGCCACATCTGCATCATACATTACTGTATATCACTTGAACAGCCATGGCTTCTCCCAGAGAATCCTATGAATTGTAGTTTGTTAAGGGAGAATTGTTCGGTGACCCCCTGCCCTCACAGGGCTACAATTCCCAGAGTTTCCTGGGAAGAGGGACTTATTGTTAAACCACACTGGGAATTGTAGCTCTGTGGGGAGAACAGGGGTCTCCTAACAGCAGCCTTAACAAGCTACAATTCCCAGGATTATTTGGGAGAAGCCATGACTGTTAGTGGTATAATAGTACTTTAAATGTATAATGTGGATGTGTCCCCAAATTGAAATTTTAAAGTCTCAGAATTCTGAGGGAGTCTTATCTTCCTTGGTCAGGCAGAAACCCTCTACTGTATCCTCAGCCTGGTTGATTTACAGCCATCCTGGATGTAACACTGATGATGTAACTTTCTTAACAATGCATGCTTATGGTTAGTTAGTGTGTGACACTAAACGGATTACCCATTCGGGTAGTCATTATTCTAGATGAACTGATCTACTTCAGAACTTGTGATATCTGTTAGGGGCACACCACACAGTGAGCTCGAATAGTAATAATATTTGGAAACTAAGGCATGCATAATAGAAATACTGCATTGTTTGAAATCTCAGTAACAAAATAATATGTCAAAATCAAAAATACTGAATTCATTTTACAATGCTGAAAATGGTCTTTTCAAACCACACATTTTAACCTATACAATGCCATCCTGATAAACAGGCCAACTGGTTTGTTTGAGAATACTCTTCTGCTGCTTGTAAAATTCAAACAGTGTCCACCATTTAGAGCTATCTGTGTGATTATGCCCCTAACAGCTTTGTTGGGACTTATAAATTATGTGCAGTGATTACTATTTAAATTTGGTCTTGAGTTCTCAGTGAATTTATCAGACAAATCAGCCAAATTTTAGAGGTTTATTCATACAATAAATGCAAAAGCTGGACTGTTATTTTTTCTGTTGCTTGCTTTGCCATTTACACTTTGCGGACATGGTGATATTTCTAGAAACTAAAATTAACTCAAACTCATTGCAGCAATGATATACTTTTACAGTAAGACATTACAAATATGATGTTGTTATAATATGCACTCTTTCTGCACTTCCATCTGTAAACTAATCCCAGTTAAAAACTAGTTGATGATATATTTATCAAAGTTAATTTACATATAACATGGTTTCTGACTATATAGGATTTACTTGCATTCTTAGAAATGCACCTTGATTCCACAAGCACATTTACTTGGAAGTAGTCCCCACTGATAGTATAAACCTTTGCATTTATCAACCATCCCATTAGGTTGATATACCAAACAAGTGGAAATCTTGCTCAACCTGTCTGGCTTTTGAGATATTAACAATTATTTCCCTCATATTTTTAAGAATATTTTCTCAGCTATATGAACGAAGGGTGGGTGTTTGAATAAAAAAATACAACTGCAGCTTTTATTGTTAGGATACTGATGGGCTAAATATGGCATGCTATGGGTTTGCTGCATTTGCTTCTAGCTACAGAATGTGCACAGCTGAAACATGTGGCTGAGTTTACAAGATATTTCAATGCCAGGTGTGCCCACACTATTTAAAGATTAGTTTACTAAATCAACCAAAATGACTCAAGCAAGTGAATAGCCTCACTTAAGTAGGCTGTAGATCTAGGCTTTTGGTTTCAGTGGCACATTTGTCCTTTGACTTCAGTGATATTGGAAGCATTCTATTTAGAACTCCACACTATGGTGTTTGCTTATATGCTGGGTCTTTTTCCGTTTAGTCTTGTCTACTTTTAGAACACTGATCTAGCGTGCGCGCACACACGCACGCACACATATATGTACCTATTATGTGTCCATGTCTTTTTTACTGAAGGTTAAGCTGATTTATGGCTGTGAGACTTTTCGAGCAAATATGCCTAGACGTTAATACATGTGGAAAATAGATGCATTAAAAAAAATATTAAATGGCTATTTAGCCTTTTCATTTCAAAAATTGCTGTGGGCTCTGCCAGACAGCTTCTTTATTTAGCATTAATCTTGACTTGCTTGCACAAAGCTTATGCAAAAGTTAAGATTATATCTGGTCTTTATGGAGCATTTGTTCTGATGCGTTTGTGGGAGGAGATACAACAGGGGTCAGCAAACGTTTTCAGCAGGGGGCCGGTTCACTGTCCCTCCGAACTTGTGGGGGGACGGACTATATTTTTTGGGGGGAAATATGAATTCCTATCCCCCACAAATATCCCAGAGATGCATTTTAAATAAAAAACACACATTCTACTCATGTAAAAACACCAGGCAGGCCCCACAAATCACCCAGAGATGCATTTTAATTAAAAGGACACATTCTACTCATGTAAAAACACGCTGATTCCTGGACCGTTTTTGGCCAGATTTAGAAGGCGATTGGGCCGGATCTGGCCCCCGGGCCTAAGTTTGCCTACCTATGATATACAACAAGGAGCATTCATCTTGATTTGCTTACAGGGTGTTTATACATCTTCCTGTGAATCATTTGCTTATTCCATGCTATTTGCCTATCACTTTCCAAACTGAAAAAATCAGATTTTTTTTTTAATGGCTTTGTTGTGCTAGAGTACTTTGATCCACACTAATTGCACAAACCTAAATTTCCTGGAATGTGCTTGAATCCCTCCTGCAAAATATTATTAGGATTGTTTCAACAGTAGCCTCTAAGTGGTAAACAATGTTACAAAAAATTCAATAAGCACAAATCTGGTTAAAACATAAAATCAGAAAATCTTAGTATTAAAATGCCTGCTAAAATAAGAAGTACCAGAAGTCAAACAGAGAGGCGGACTGTTTGATCCCAGCCAGAAGCATATTCTGCAGAATTGGACCCACAATACTGAATGCATAGTTACGAACTGTGCATGTGAGCTATGGGGGATCACTAACAGTGACTCCCCCAAATACCTCAGCAATTAGGCAGGGATATAAGAAATTAGTGGTCCTTGAAATATCTGACCCCAATTGTTGTCTTGTAATTGTTGGGATTTGATTAGAGGCTAGGAGAGGATATATTTATTAGATTTTATCCTTCCTCACATTGTGGAGTTGAGCAGAGTGCCATTCCTTTGCCACTTAAAAGGGAGCTTGTATAAGCTAGTTTTAGCCTTTTAGTATTAACAAACCAGGGTGCTTTAAGGCAGACTGGATTTTCCTGATATTACCCACCTTTCCCTCCCCCTCAAATAATAACCACACAATAGGTTTTCTGGCAAAGTGAAAATAACATTTACTCACTCAGTCTACGTCTTCAAGAACAGCAGTTATGGCAGCAAAATGTAGGCAGGCTTAAAATGCTATTTAAGTTACTAAGAGACATTAAAGTCTAGCTTAGAGATGGAGTCTGAGCTGGAGGTTACAGGTATTGTAAGAAAAAAGGGTGTGCCCAGGAAGGGAGGAGCATACTAAGTTATACCTCTTCCTGTCAGGACACAAAAGGGAAGTGATCTCACAGACTTCTCTAGTAAGAACCGTAGGAAAACTCTATGAGCTTCAGCCCCTATTATGTGCCTTGCTAGAAAAACATGAATTTTTGATTTGACGGCTATAAATATCCTGCAGTAATTAATACAAGAACCTTGAACCTGGCCCAGTAATATATGGATAGCCAGCGCAAGCTTTTAAGCACTAGAGTCATGCGCTGGTGGTAGTTTGGCCCTACTGGCAATCCAGCTGCAGCATTTTGCACCAGCTGGAGCTTCCAGACTGGGCCCAATGTTGACTCCACAGAGAGCACTGCAATAATCGAAGTCTTAAAGTTACCAATGCCTTGTAGCCAGGGCAAGCTATCCATGTCCAAGACTGACTGAAAGTATCCTTTCACAGTTTAATCTGAAACATGTTTACTCTGACATAAATCCTACTGATTTAAATGGGACCTACTCCCAAATTAAATATGCATAGGATTGCAGGTTTCTGTTATTTAATCTGAGACAGAGAACCCCCTCCCCAATCCCTGATAACGTCTAGCAATCCAAACTATGTCATTACATGTGTAATGCAGAGTTTTGCCAATCCCATGTCCCTTTATTGGATGCAATTTGCAGGGACAAATAAATTTCAATGACAATGTGAGTTGACTCATATTGGGACTCCTAGAAGTTACTGGGGAAGACAGAAGGCATGGTGGCTGCTAATTTTGACTGCACCTCTTACGTAATATCTAAAGGTGAAGGTACCCCTGCCCGTACAGGCCAGTCGTGTCCGACTCTAGGGTTGTGCGCCCATCTCACTTAAGAGGCCGGGGGCCAGCGCTGTCTGGAGACACTTCCGGGTCACGTGGCCAGCGTGATGAAGCTGCTCTGGCGAGCCAGCACCAGCGCAGCACACGGAAACGCCGTTTACCTTCCCGCTATAAAGCGGTACCTATTTATCTACTTGCACTTAGGGGTGCTTTCGAACTACTAGGTGGGCAGGAGCTGGGACCGAAAGATGGGAGCTCACCCCGCCGCGGGGATTCGAACCGACCATACGATCGGCAGGTCCTAGGCACTGAGGTTTTACCAACAGCGCCACCCGCGTCCCTCTATGTAATATCTAATTACGGCCATATTTAAGCTACACAGCCAAATTTACAGTTTCTTCTACAAAAATTAGCAATGACATGTTATTGTCTATAAGTATATATCCTCCCTATACTCCTCCATATATTTTCTATGGTGAAACACAGGATGCTTGCTTAGTAGTTTGCAGCAAGATGCGTTTCATTAATAAGTAGCAGCATTGCCAATTGTGCTTGTTATTGGCTTTAATGTGCATTGTAGCTTTGTGTATTTTGTCTGCCTGTTGTGCACAGGAATTCAAGCCCATTGGTACAGCTCACAACAGAAGGGCCCAGCCTTTTGTTGCAGCAGCAAACCTCGATAACAAAAGACAGGTGGTGAGCTCTGCCTATAACTCTCCCATTGGGCTGTATTCATCTGGCAATATACATGATGCTCTTCATGGACAGCTACGGGGCCTTATCCCCAATTCACCTGCAAAGTAAGTAAGATGCTCTAAGATGGTCTTTTGCTGCAACATCTGTTTAACTGGCTTCATGGTCTCAAGTCCAGCTCTTGCTATTCTTTTTTCTTTCTTTCCTGATGCTCAAAATATACAAAGTGTTATTCAAAAAATTTACCTCTAAAATGAATCTTCAAATAAGCAAGACCAATATTATAGACGTTTCTCTTTCAGAGGGTTGGCTACACAAGACATTATTATTATTAAGCACATTCCAGCCAAAGCTAAATACTGAAGGCACATCCTATGTGCATGCACACACAAGATGCACACAGGAGCAAGCCCCATTGGTTTGACTTACTTCTGAGTAAACATGGATAGGATCAGACTGCAAGTCTTATTGATTGCAACAGGCAATATAGAAAAATGGTGTGCAGCCTCATCCTATGTGTACACTGTGTTCAATGGGACATATTCCAAAGTACGTGAGTTTAGGCTTGTAGCCTAAAAAGTTAACTTTGGCTTGATTGTTCCTATTGTTCTCTTTTTCTCACAATAACATCAGATGTATTAATGTTACTACTATATAACTTACAACTCAATAATTTACAACATGTATGTTAACTAATCTTTTCTGGAAGCAAATATGCTTGCTTAAGTTAAAAACAACAACAACCCTGTATTTCCTTTTCTTCTTCTTCTCCAGGACTTGGGCTACTTTGAACACAAGCATAACATTCGGCCCAAACCTTTCATAGTCTCAGGCCCAAGCAGGTTATAACTTCTCTGTGTAATCTGTAACTGGGTGCATGGTGTTTTGTTTTTTAATGAAAACAGTAACAATGCTATTTCAGTATGTTGTAAAGCCTTCTAATGAATAAACGCTTGCTTTGCAGCACCTATAAATCTGAGATCAAATGCCATCAAATGCCAAAAGACACACCTGTTTCATTTGTCATGGAGAATAGTAGTGAAAGGGCACACTTTTTGTGCAATTATTGATCAAAGTCACAACAATCTGCCAAGCAGTAATACGCCTGCAATCAGGTTAATTTCAACTAAACCTACATCAGAGAATTGTTTGGTGCATTAGAGATCAAAACTGAAATATCACACGTAACATTACTTATAGGGCTTTAAAATATGTAGTAACGTACATACAAACAAACTACACCACCACTATAATGTTGAGCTAGAAGGGAGAATGAGAAAAGGAGGGAAGGACCTCATATGGAACCTCCACGGGCTAAGGCTATCCAGTGTACATCCAAGGACGCCAGTAGATAAGAACAAGATGGCACTCTTATGAAATAGAGCAGGGATAGTTTGATAGGGATGTTTCTGTCCTTTATGGAATGCTGAATGACCATTCTTATACAATTCTTCAATGCAGGATGTGATTTGAGGGTTGAAAATGGAGTGCTACATATGTTTATGTCCTGCAGGGAGCTGACCATTTTGCAGTTAATGTGTCATTAACAAATTGCACATCGGTACTCTCATTTTCTATTTCATAGGCAAATGATACTATTTTGTTTATTTGGTTAGATTGTTTTGCACATCGCCTTTCATCTGAAAATCTTAGGAGTGGGTAGCAGTTAAATTCAGTAAAATACAGTTCACATCCGTACATACCATTAAAAACACAATAAAAGCAAAATAAGTTACTAAATGTCAGTGACCATTCCCCCAAATCTAGATAAAAAAGCTACCTTTTGAGCTTTTTAGAGTAAGTGCCAACTGAATTTCAAGGGACAGGGAGTTTCAAAGCCAGGGTGCCACCACAGAAGCTGGCATGCACATCACCATGCCTAGTGCTGAAGCACTAATTGCGGGGCAGGGGCTGGTGCACAATTCGACTGCTGGGCAGAAGTCCAGGAGACCAACATCAGGTGGAGTGAGATATGATGACAGGTGGAACCACCTTCTGACTTTTTGTAGGCAAGAAGGCAGGCAGAGTGCCTCACTTGTAGTTTTATAAAACATTTAATGCGTCACCACGAATAGAAGTTATTAATATTGCAGTTGCTGTATAAGGGATTATTATTATGACCAGAATGTAATTGAAATTAATAAGATTTTGGAATGCAAAAATAAAGAAAATCATCAAACCATCAATTCTAGCATGCGGGGGGCCACCTTATCTAAATTATATAATTCAGTATTTAAACGATTGGAATTGGTAATTGTAGTATAAATTGGTATTGTTATAACGAGGCTATTATTGGATTGCAATTGAAAACTAATAAAAATTATTATCAAGACAGGCAGGCAGAGAGAGACTGGCTGAGATCAGTGTGAGGTTGTTGGGGCAGTACCCCGTGTGCCCTAGGACCAGCGCCAACAGGCAATAGCTAAGGCCTCCCTCGCCAATCTCCCAAGTTGTGTTGTAAGAATAAGTTGTGTTGTGTTGCAGAGTATATAGTTCCATGCTGAGCATAATTTTTGAGTTTACATAGCAACATAAAATATCAGCTGGTGGGCATCTGAAATATTTTGCTAAATGCACTCCTTCTCCTGCAGCACTCGTGGGCAGTGCCCTATTGCTTCTAACAATACCTGGCTGTTAACAGTGCACTTCAGCTTCTGGAGTTAACAGCATCATTATTGACAAGCTTTGCTCATGCTTTCCAAACATGGATCCTGGTTTTATTTCTGAGTAACAGTGTGTGGCTGTATGGCTATCCCCTTGTATGGATATTTAGCTTGAGTGATCTGGCAACTGTAAAGTTTCTTACTTGCTTTGGCACATGTGCAGCTCTTCTGGAATTCTTTGTCTTGCCTTTGATGGTAAGGAATGCACTTTTCTTAAGGCAGTTGACAACATGGTCCTACTTAAATTCCACATGGCATCCCTGAGGGAAGTTAGTTCAGTGAAAAAGGATCCATGATGTAGACAAAGCTGCCATTTAGCTGTGGGTGATATTTCCCTTTTTATAATATTTGTGACAATAAACACCTGAAATTCAGAGAAAGATGACAAATAATGAATATTGTGAATGTCTGAAAACTCAAAGAGGTATCAGTAGATGCAGCAAATAATCTACATATGATTGCCATCAGTCACTAAAAGTGGTGAATCAGAAATCTGGTTTCAATGTTCCCAAAATTTGGCATTGTGAATGTTCACCAAATTCAGGACATTAAGGTTCCAGTCCAATAATTTTACACCCTTACAGTCTGGGAGGCAGTAATATGCACTGAAACCAGTGGTCTTACTTTTGAAAAAGGCATAGGACTGTTCTGTAAGGCTGCTGTCCTTTGCACACATGCAGAGTATAATTTCTTTCTGACGTAGCATGTTTAGTAGGATTATGCTGCTGTAGTATTTACATATTAGTCCTACAGCATGTTTATCCATAATTAAAACCTTATTATTTCTGTTATATTTCTGCTAAATAAGTCCACATCCTTAGAGTAGTTTCACATATCTTAAGAAATGTTAGAGTTGTCAATAGAGGATGTGCAGCTGAACTGTCTGTTCACTCCCCACAGTTCCCGTCTAACAACTAAAAAGAGCACTTACACACCTCTCGTTCCCTGCTATGGGCGCCCCATGGGCATCTCACCATGGGAGAAATGTACAAGTTGCCCATTTATTTCTTGCCAATTGCCTCCTGCAATATTCAAAGTTACCCCTAAGCTCCCATTTTAAATTAACTGTAGGTGATCAAGGGGGTTTCCATCTGTCTTAGTAAACCATGCTTAGGAGGCAAATCATGCCATATAACTATTATAGGGCTTGTTCACAGCTGAGCATTATTTAGCTAGTAATCCACTCCCATCCCATTCGAATTAGACTCAAGTAGTCCACCCCACATATATCTGAATTTGTGCATAAAAATTTATTAAATAATAACAATAAATAATAAATACATTAGGAGCAACTTGAGTCTTTCCTGTGTTTTTCCTCAGCTTCTCATTTGTTGATTCTATTGGTAATGTTCCAATGGCTTTTAAATAGGTAAAGAATGCACAGCTTTTCCTACCACAGTGAGATTTGTGTCACATAGCAATTCTGAACCAAGAAAAAAATATGTGGTCAACTGCTAATACATTCCTAGTCTATGTAGTTTGTGTCTTGGACCATTGAATATTTAAAATTGAGGACTCTAAATTAAAAACTGACAAAGAATGCATGCTTTTGTAATCCAAAACGAATGCAAGAAGAAAATCTGACACGTCTGATTATTTCTGTGGCATCAAAGACTAAATAATTAACAGATCTTCAGACCTGCTGTATTAGCATACTGGTGCTTGGGATGACTTGTGGTGCCATTACCTCAATGTGTTCTTAGGAAACAGATTCCACTAGTGCTGTTGCAATGCTGTGGAAGCATCATAGTTATGCATTGGCACAATACTGGAAATATCAGTATTATCTCACGAAGTTGTTATTTTATACATACGATTGGCAAGAGAAGTTTTAACTTCCAAAATTTCTTCTGATTCTGATTTACTGTTCGAATCTGGCCATTAACCTGTGCCATCCTTGATGTAATTATGTGCTGAAGGAGGTAGTATGAGACAAACAAACATTTGATGAACTATAAAACTTAGAAGTTTTGCATAATAGTTGTGATCTCTTTAAAATTATGGCAGATTATACTCAGTAGAAAAATACACAAAAGTTGTGTTTCATAAAATTTGTTTTTTCTTGCATTTGATTCTTTTGGGCACTTTTGTCACTCTGGAGAATACTTCTGCTCCCTGTTATTCATCTTCTTTTCCTCTCTGGTTTGCATCACGTATTTTTGTGTACTGGTTTTTGGCACAGTGTTTGCAGTACTCCTTCCGGTATTGACGGCGGCAGCGGACGTAGCACACCCTCTTCAGTTAGCACTGTTAGCACTATCTGTCCTACCGAATTGAAAGCTGCAGCTAAGATGGCCCCCAACATTCCTTTAGAAATGGAACTGCCTGGTGTCAAGATTGTACATGCTCAGTTTAACACACCTATGCAATTGTATTCAGATGACAATATTATGGAAACACTGCAGGGGCAGGTTTCTACAGCACTGGGGGAAGCCACCCCGATAAGGTAATCCAAGCCACAATGTATGGTTAGCTTATTTCTAAGGCATGAATAGTGCTGCCATTATTGTTGCTTCATTAGTCGTTAAGGCTTTTAAATATATCTAAACCATGCCAATTTGAAAGTCAATGTGAAATTCTGAAAGTCAATGCCTATTTAGTCATCAATTTCAGTGGGATAAAGACTGCCACCTTGGTGAAAATGTTCTATGGAAGATGGACAGATGGACAAAATGTAGCCTAAATTGAGAATTATTAGGAAAACTACTGTGTCATGCCAGGGAGATTAAAAATGAAGTTTGGTTAGGTTTCATATAAATGTTTTTAGGTTTGTGAAAATTTTATGCATTCTAACTTGTGTTTAAATTAGGGGCAAATGCTTGAAAGAAAATATTGTGACTTCCTAGGGAAATGAAGAGTTTTAAGTTTGGTTAAGTTTTTATATAACTTTATACAATTTGTGTAAATGTTACTTTGATATGGGTATGTAGCTCCCCTTATGTGTCCAGCTCCTACTTTGTGTTAGTTTGACAATTAGAGACTTGATAACAAATCTCAATCTATATGCACTCAGCTTGTAAACAGTCACAAGAGTCCCATAATTGATGTCAACAGGAAATGAGACATTCAGATAAATTGCCCTATATATAAATTACATTTACATTAAAGTATATAGCAATTGTCCTGCTAATCTGCTGGAAATTGGGCATCTCTAAACTTTTAGAATTTTGTGTGCACTCACAAAGTAGCTACATTTTCTGGACAGTGATTCCCTGGGGTGTTCATTAAGTGAACTGACTTTACCCATACTGCACTCCTGGACTAAATATTTATTTATCATATTACAAGTACTGGCAAGCATGCTTTTGGGAACCATTCCAGTAAAAAAAAGCTTTGAGTTGTTTTTGTTGATGGGGTTCATTTTCACCAAGTATGAACTTGGAAATGCCATATTATTCCCTAGGGGTATTTTGTGTCTGGTAACTAATAGAAGCTTTAACCCTTCTTGTGGGATGCTCCAGTTGCCTATAAGACGATTATTAGAAATCAAGAGTTAAATCTAAAGTGATTAAGCTTTAATTTCCTTTGGAAACTGGTAAACTTCATTTTCTGAGCTTTATATTTGTTCTCTGCGTAGATTTTCTTTTGCACATTGCTAGAATGGAACATTATCTGACTTCGTTCAGTTCTGTGCCTTCCACTTTTGTTTTAAACAATGCAATTATAGTGAACATTTACTGGTTAACTATCTCATACAGCTCATTGATTTTTCAGTGACCCAGTACCAGCTGCAGTGCCCCAGTCTGATGTGTACAGGCTGCTACATGATGATCAGCAAGGATCAAGTAAGCCACGTCAGTCCGGTTCCTTTAAGATTCTCCAAGACATGGTCTCTGATGAATCTGGTTAGTTGCCATTTTTGTACGGCATCTCTCTTCACTTACACTGCATTACATTTCTATGATGCAGCCAGGCACACCACCTCCTAGGGGAAGAGGTTTCTTCGGCCCTCTTAATATATGCTGGCAGGGGGGCAGGCCCCCTCGATATTGAGAGGGCGGAGGAGGCTGAGCACGACACACTTTAGTGGCTGCCTCCTCCTGAGCTTGAGAAAGGAAGCTGCACGATGCAACTACCTCTCCTATGCTCAGGAGGAGCCAAGCACTAAACTGTGCTGCACTCGGCCTCCTCCTGCTGGTGCAACATTGCACATGCATCGTGTGCCAGGCACATGACATCACTCACACATGATGTATGCCAGTCCCCAATCTTGCACGCAAGACAGCGCCTCTGGATGCAGCCACTTTGCTGAAGCTAAGCAGGTTTTGGGCTTGTTAATTACTTAACAGGAGGCAACTCAGGACATCACTTACACATTGTCAAAAAAGAGGGAAGACATCACCAAAAAAGGGCACAAGCTTGCATAAAATTTGCATGCCATGATTAACATATACAGAAGTGAATTAAGAAAGAATTACAATAATTTAGCTAGACGTAAGATACTTCTCATTATTGTGGGGAACACTGTGACCAGGTGACCTGTGTGCCTACTCAACCTGTTGATAGGAAACTTCAAGGTTGCTGTTCTCTCTTCTTACAGAGATGGGAGACTTGGATTGGAGTGCACTACAAATAAAATATTCCTTCAAAGAGTGGGCTATCCCCTGATAGCCATTCAAATAGAGAACTGTAAACCTTGAGTTCCATAATGGAAGAAAGGCACTAAATAAAGTAAAGCCTAACTGGAACATGAACAGTGATACCAATATCAAATGTTAACCAAGAGGGTTAAACATATGCAGACCATGTGTTCACAGTAAAAATGAGAGAGGGAGATAAAAGTAGCAGCATATATCTACTGCTTAATTAAATGGAATCCCCTAACTTACTGAGCAGTCCCATAACTCAGAAGTAAATCCAATTGTGTTGAATGAGGATTGCCCCCTAGGGTTTATCGGAATGTGCCTAAGGGAGAGAGGCTATAGACATGGCACCTGCATATAACTAGTGAACTTCTTTTTTAAAAACAGCTTAAAAATTGAGGAAATCACCAATATTATGCCAGAGAATTTGGATGGTTAAAATAATAATCAAGCTTCATGTGTTTTGTTAGGCAATCCCTTGTTTTGTTTTGTTTTGTTTTGTTTTAATACTAATTAGCAATCTCATCTAGTAACTTTGCAGATGAGAATGTAACACTAAGGGAGTACTTTTAATAATTTTTCTCCTACGCCATTTTCTCCGTCTAAATTGCATTTAACCCAAGACACTTAGAAGAAGCCTTGAGCTCTGTCCTGTCCTGTAAACAAAAGTGGCATCTTTTTCTTTTTCTCCAGATGGTCGGGCCCCTGCTATAAGGAGTGTGAAAGCACCAGTAACGAAGGTACCTGCTGCTGGAGGAAGTGTGCCAAAGGTGCCCTTGTGTGACAAGTGTGGAAATGGAATTGTGTAAGATATTTTATTTTAGTTCTAATTGATTTATGGCATAGGTCTTTGGAAAAGTTCACATCAATCTAGTGGTGGGTGGGTATCTGTGATTTCTCTTTCATGAAGTTATACAAAATTCAAAGCATTCATACCTCTTTATAGAGCTATTCTTTATTGCACATTTTTATGCATTTTGTTTTATTTTGTTGGTGCAGCATATATTTTTAAAAGGTTAAATAAGGTTTGGGACAATGCTATAAATAAAGTCTGCATAGCCTGTGTTGCTCTAAAAGAAATGTTGGCGAAGCTTCTTGATTTTACATGCTCTTCTTAGCTCCCACTGAAATTCAACCTCAGCAGGGTGCCTAACAGATGCTGTACAGATTGGCTGTAACAGCATATGATCAGGAGCTGCAGAGGTGAGGGTATCTGAAATTTACTTAGTGGTTTTCATCGGTCAAATTTTGGCTTGCAGGCATCTAGGTATATTTTATTTTTATTTTTAAGAAACCCGATTTTGTATATTCATAATTGAACTTTAACTTCTTTTATTTTTACCCCCCTTTCTTTGATCTACAGTGGCACAGTGGTGAAGGCACGTGATAAGTACAGGCATCCTGAATGTTTCGTGTGCTCTGACTGCAACCTCAACCTGAAGCAGAAAGGCTACTTCTTTGTGGAGGGGCAATTATACTGTGAAGCTCATGCACGAGCTCGTATGAGGCCCCCAGAGGGATATGAAGCCGTCACTGTTTATCCCAAGGCTTAGCTGTCCGGAGAGACACAAATATCTGCATGCTCACATAAGGCACTATCCGCTTACAGCAGCAATACGACTGAAGGCAATCCCGCATTCTGCTTTTTAAAACAGGGAGGGAGACAGGATGGAGAAGTTGGGAGAAGGATGATCATTCTTGTAGCCCATGTTGGTATCTATGGGATTATTTCCCAAAACATTATCACTATGGCTGCCAGTGTAATCCAATGAGTTATAAATCTGACATGCTATATTAAGATCCTTTGCAAATTGAGTTCATGTATAATACTATGAGTAATCTACAGTGAGAGAACCATACTGTATTTTTAAAATGTTCCTCTGTTTCTCTGTACAAGTGCAATTAAATGGCTTTTTTAAAAAAGACATGTTCTGCAGCAGCATTTACTCCCCAGTTACTTCATATCCAGTGGAAGTGGGAAGACACATTCAGGAGTATATTGTCTGAAGAAATATGACTTGTGGTGGTAGAAGCAGTGGTGGCAAATATCACAAGTTTTTAAAGAGGAGTGAAACAGATGTCTCAAATTAGCAGTTGTTGCATCTGCATGGGGCAAAATACAACCTCATACATTTTTGGAAGAAAACTCTGTGATAAAACAAATTTAAGCTTGTGTCTAGAGAAGTCAAGTGCAAGACTGTTGACAGGTGATGGCTAGTATGAAAATGGTATATATACCTTAATGTTAAGACTGCACCCTACTTTATCTCCCTAAGGCATTGTTATTGCAATGTTCTGATGTAACCTATATCTTCACCTGAAGGAAAAACATCAGTCCTCAGACCCTTTCTAAACTAATCCAGGCCCCCATCTAGCCTCTGGCGCTATCCCCAGGCCACATCCCCCACCTGAAAATATGCCCCTTCTCTGGGAGACACCAAAATGATTTTTGTTGGGGAAAGAGTAGTGGTTGGGAGTACATTGAAAACAAATACATGAGAAGAGATTGCAAAAAGTACTTGTGAATTGAGTTCTCAGAGGAAAGGAAAGAGCTGGAGAATAAAGCTATCAGAGGGCACGATGCATATCGTTTTCCCAACAGAGACACAAGTAGCATAAGATATGTGAACCATGTTTGGTTGTGTGCCAGAAGTTTATGCCAGCACACGACACTTACTGTGGGGTCATTCAGCAAGTTAAATACAGGCTAGCTGTAGATGTTGGGGGAGAGATTAACTCTGGTGAGTTACCTTACAAGGACAGGTGTTCGGTCTTCCCAATAATAAAAAATCTACATTGTCAGTGTGGCAATCCTCACAAAGAGAGCCCAGACAGATGACCAAACTATCCTAGGGTACCTTGGTTATCTGTATCAACCTGCAGTGGAGTTCCAGGGCCCCAAAGGCAACAGCAATGGCTTACTATATTTTGAAGTCAGTGAAGTAAAACATTATCATCTGTGGAGGCCTCCCTGCCTGAAATCCAAAGTCTAAAATGACTGAATTGCACAACTGTCAACCTGCCAATTGCAGTGGTCGACTGAAAAGTTGCTGCTATCTGGGCCAAACTGTGTCCATCAGCTCCCTTATTCTATGTGTGGGGGAAAATAAAAGCACAGTTGCCACAGCAACTAATAAATTTCCTAAGACAGGCCCTACCATGTCAAGGTACCATTTCTTCAGCTGGAGGCTTAAGCGGTAGGGAGTGCACATAGAAACATAAGAAACTGCCTCATATTAAGTCAGCCCATCAATCCATCTAGCTCAGTATTGTCTACACTGACTGGCAGCAGCTCACCAGGGTTTCAACCAGGGACCTTTCCCAGCCCTATCTGGAGATGGCTTGGGGCTCATCCTGGAACCTTCTGTAAGCAAAGCAAGTTATAAAATTTGTTTTCACCCATGGCTTACAGGAAGGATAGGTCTCACTGTGAACACAGAAAATCTTCCTTCTCCAGTGAAATAGATATTGAGCCTGCAGTCACGAAACACTGACATATAAGACTCAAATCCTGCTATATTAAAATAAATGAGACAGAATCTTTTTGTTCTCTATAAGAATCTACTGGAATGGAAAGGAGAAGTGTTGCTGCTGCTACCACACGACAATGGTGACATCATGCCAGGTCTAATTTTATATGCCAGTCAAAACCATTATAACAAACAAAGGTACCAGCAAAATCACAATGCAGAGCAAACTTTTAAATATAGCAGTAACATATACGCTGTTGTATAATATTGTTGGGATCGAGCCCAGTTGGTTGGACTTCTCAGCTGCTGTGGAACAGGTGTAGGAAGGGTTTGCTAACCGTGTTCTAAATGCTAGAACTATTGGGAGACCCTTAATAGTGGGGCTACATTACAATATTTCCTGTAGTTAAGAGACCTGAACTTAAAACAACCAAGAAATAGTGTCCCTAGTTTTCAGATCTTTATAATTTTAGGAACTCTCTCACCTCCCCCTCAACTTTGGTTTCCTTTTTTTGAAGTTTTCAAACAGATAAAACTTTATTATTATTATTATTATTATTAATGCTATTTTTCTAGAAAAAAAGGTGCCAGAACTCACCATGAACTTCTCCCTCATTCTCTTATAATGGAAATGGCACCCACCTGAGAGTTCTGACTAAAAAAAAAAGCCATTATTATTATTATTATTATTACGTACTGGTTTAATGGCTGGCAGAATTTCAATCTGATTCTGTTCTATGGATTCTTCCATACTTATTGCATTTATGTTTCAATCTGGGATTTCTTATTTTGCACAGTGCCACCAGCCTTGAGAAGGCTTGGATCTTAAAAGGCAAAATAGAACAAGAACAAGAACCACCTTTTTGGACTAATGAATCCCACATAATTAACGTACCGTAGAAACTCATAATACGGTGTGTCCCTCACCCCTGGGTGCTCAGGTGCTTTGCTCTACAACTCCCCAGGTGACAAAATCCGTTTAACGAATATCTAAAATGACGGTTATTCCAACTTTTCGAATCTACCTCAGAATTTACCTCAGAATCCTGCAGGGGTAGCGCGCGGCCTCCAGGGGGCGTAGCGAAACGACGCGTGACGTAGAGAACGCTGCACAAGCAACCTTCCCTCGCGCGCGCGCCCCCCCGTCTCTATGGAAACACGTTCCTTAGCAACCCTAGGTAGCCGAGTGGCGGTTAGAAAGCCTAAGAGCCTCAGTTTGAATGGGACGAGGATCGTGCGGGCGCACGCGAGGAGGAGTGATGAGAGCCGGTGTTGGCTATAGTGAGTCAGGCGGGAGCGGGGAGGGGTTAAAAGTTAGCCGGGCGGGCGAGGAAAGCTTCCGGCAGGAGACATCTATATTAACAGTATTAACGGCAAACTGCGTTGCAGGAACCCAGGAGTGCGGCAGGACGAGCGCCCCCAATTTCGGGAGGCTGAGGGAGGAAGAGAAAGGCTCTCCCGTGGGGCGCCAAGACGCCTCAGCTGCAGGTGAGCCGACTCCTCTCACCTGGACGTCGACAGGCCTATGATGACACTTTTATTATTGTTGTTGAAGATGCTGCCCTGTCCTCCTCCCTGGTTGGTGTAGGGATGCTGCGATGGGCAATGATGTAATTTCCTGCAACAGCACAGCGCCGTGGTGGGTTATTGTGCCCACCCTCTGTGAGATGTTTCCCTGCACCCTTCCTCCATCATAATGTGAAAATAACAGTTTTTAAAAAAATCATTACTAACAGTCTTCAGCACCCGGATGCGCCCTTGCACCTCTCTCCCCAAACTGCTTACTCTAGCAGTAACCAGCGGTAAAGTACTTCACTTCCACAGCTGTCCCCAACCTCCAGAATTAAGGTGCCACTGAGTGCCAATTTTCTTTTTCCTGTGGTCAGCAGGGCAATGTCACTTATTTATTTATGGGAGTTGTACCCCTGCACTTTAGTTTAAAACAGTGTCTCCCAAATGTGGGTCTCCAGTGGTTTGGGGACTACAATTCCCATCATCCCTGGCCACAGGTCCTGCTAGCTATAGGGATGATGGGAGTTGTAGTGCAAAAAACCAGCTGGAGATCCAAGTTTGGGAAACACTGGTTTAAAAGGCTGTTGGAGAGACTTACCAAAATCAGTACTAAGATGGCCCACAAAGACATGACACATTGGGAGGAAGGGAGGGCTGTCGGTTTCACTCTCCATGGGCAAAAGCCAAGTGGGGGAGGAGGGTTTAAGTCAGCCACAGCAACAAAGGCTAAACTGGCAGGAGAACACATCTTCTTTGACCCTGTTGAATACTATTACACAAAAGCAACAAGCTGTCCACCATAAATGATTCCTTATGGCTGTGGAACATTTGACATATAGGCACATGGACTCAGTTGAGAGAATCATAGAATTGTAGAGTTACAAGCCCCAGCACAGCAGGAATCTTTTTGCCCAATGTGGGGCTGGAACCCACAACCCTGAGATTAAGAGTCTCATGCTCTACTGCCTGAGCTATCCAGTGGCAGGTCTGGTCATATATTTTTCTCTATTTCTCAGGAATAAAATATTCTGGCATATCTTCTAGTATCAACCAGATTATACGATGGCAAATTTACTGCTGGATATAGTGTTTCAAACAGGCTTAGGATCTTTGATATGTAAATTTCCAAGCCTTAGAAATTGTGACTTTTATGGAGGTGACAAAAAAGTAACTTATATTTGTTACCACTTTGGCATGAATACTGAATATGCTTACTAAGAACGAAACAGGCACATAAAAATACAGAATGTCGGAAGGAACAAGTGTAAATATGCATTAAGATGTTCTTGATTTAGCGAACACACTCTTGGTCTAGGTCAGGGATAGTGATTACGTAGTCTTCCAAAAGCTGTTGAGCTCCTACCATTGCTGACCACTGACCATGCTAGCTGGGGCTGATGGGATTGGAGTCCAATAGCATCTTAAGAGTCATAGATTCTCCACTCCTGGTCAAAGTACTAAAGTTTAAAGCCTCCAGACGTTCCAACATTATATTCTTCAGGGCTTATTGCACTTATTTTTCAGATAAATCTGCTTCAGGAAGAGATGGGCAAGTCCAGCCACCATCAGCATTAAAAGTAAGTTTATCTGTTTGGGGGGGGCGGGCGGGCTGAGGGATAATATCCTTGCTAAAATACATAAATAATGGCTAGAAGAGAAGGTGGTTCAGTATGGATTTTAACGTTACCAAAGTTCTTTAGGCTGTTCCCTTGTTCTTACATAATATGTTGTTAGGATTGTCCAGCCTGTGCTCCTGCAGCTGTCTACCAGCTCCATCAGGTGCACCAGCTGGGACCCTACTTGCCTGCACACTGGATCGCCATAATTTTACATGCTCTGGTTACCTCCCGCTTGGATTACTGCAATGCACTCTACATAGGGCTACCTTTGAAGGTGACTCGGAAACTACAACTAATCCAGAATGCGGCTGCCACACTGGTGACTGGGAGTGGCCGCCTGGACCATATAACATCAGTCCTAAAAGATCTACATTGGCTCCCAGTACATTTCTGAGCACAATTAAAAGTATTGGTGCTGACTTTTAAAGCCCTAAATGGCTTTGGCCCTGTATACCTGAAGGAGCGTCTCTACCCCCATTGTTCAGTCTGGACACTGAGATCCAGCTCCAAGGGCCTTCTGGGGGTTCCCTCATTGCAAGGTTACAGGGAACCAGGCAGAGGGCCTTCTCAGTAGTGGTGCCCGCCCTGTGGAACACCCTCCCATCAGGTGTCAAGGAATTAAATATATATCTGACTTTTAGAAGACATCTGAAGGCAGCCCTGTACAGGTAGGTTTTTAATGTTTGTGTTTCTTTAAGATAAAAAGAGAACATGGGCTTGCCTCATTATCCTGAAGCATATGGATAACCCAATCCAAAGATATGACTTTTCTTTTGGCAGCAATGTTGTGAACATAGTACAGAATTCAACATGCACAATACAGATATCAAATATACCTGGATCAACTGTTTCAAAACTGTACATTAATTAATTTCATTAATTTATTATTTATACCCCACCCATCTGGCTGGGTTTCCCCAGCCACTCTGAGCAGCTTCCAACAGAGCACTAAACTACAATAACCTATTAAACATTAAAAGCTTCCCTAAACAGGGCTGCCTACATGGCCTAAAGAGAGATCACTGTCTAACAGAGCAATCAAATTCCTTCTCTGCCCAGTTTAGCCAGCCAGCAAAGAGGAGTCCCACCAGCAGGAGTCAGTGGAAAAACTCAAAATGTGTTCTGGGGGCAGAGCTGAGCTGGCATGGGATCCATAGGATCCTGAGCAGGTCTCAGTACTGTTGTGCAGTGGCATGAGACCTGATCTGGGCCTGGTGGCTGCGCCAGCTTGGAGTCAGATCAGTGATCAGGCTTGGATTTGGCTCTGCCATTGTGCCCTGCCATACCTTCAACAATTTCCTCTTGCTACAATGGTATGCCGTTTATATCTGGTAAGATAATAAATAGCAAGTAAAGATCACAATCTAGGCATAGGAAGAAAAAGTGCAGACTATGTCTAATTAATTAATTTTACAATATAGATCTTACAACAGCAGTTGGATTCATTTCAAGCCCTTCGACAACAAACTTTGCAGAATGTCAGCATGGTAAGACCAAGTCCTAAACAAGGTTTAATTCCTCATTCAATGCACAACCTTTCTAAAGGCCTCTAATATTCGCATGTTGCTTTTACATGTCAACTTTTTCTTGTTGTTCTCCTGCTCTGGATCACCTCATCCTCTCAAAATTCCTTGCAATGAACATCTGCCACTTGGTTCCCCAATTCCAGATAGTAGATAAACTGCAGCTGGCTGACTGTTGGACACTTTGTCTAAATGCCTGTGGTGAAGAAGGCCGTTTCAAGTGTCAGATCACCTTCCCTTTATTTTTTCCAATGATTCCCATTCCTACAAGATATGGTTAAACGTATATATCAAAGTTCTGATAAACTCTGGGGTTTTCCCATTGTGGAAGCAAGAAGGGACTGGTCATGCTTGCCAACAATATATGCATATATAAATATTATTATTATGTTTTTTTCAGAGGTTCCACAGTAAATAGTATAGTCAGAGATACCATGGTTTGCTATCCAGCAACACATCCAATAATAAGTAATACTAAATATTTAAATTCTGCAAATGCTGTAGGGTGGGGTGGTGGTGGTAAGTCCCACTGAACGCAGTGGAACTTGCTTCTGAGTAAGTGACATGCATACATTTGTACTCAAGTATTTTTAAGAATAAAAATAAGTTGCTACTAGGCTTAAAACATGGGTGTGGTTCTCCCAATATTAGCGGGCTAATACAGTTCCCATCATCCTTGACTACTGGCCATGCTTCTTGGAGATGATACAAGCTGGAGTCCAACAATGTCTTGAGGGCCACAGCTTCCCACCTCTGCCTTTAAACCAATATAAAAAGGATGAAAGCAGGAGAAGGATAACTATCTCACTTCCTGTTTCTTCAGGTTCAGTCTGAAATCAACCATATACTTAATAAAAATATAACTGATATGAAGAGCCCAGAATTTATTCCAGACAATTTACTTTTGACCAGCTCGCCTATCAACACTACTATGGTATGTGGGGTTGTTTTGCTTTGTTTTGCTTTGCTGACATTAATTATATAATGGCATTTTACGGTTCAAAGGAACTAATCCCTCGGCTGAATTTACCATCATTTCTGATCCAGAGAGCAGTCCATGTAATATGCACCACAGTGCTCCATAAAGTAGAGAGCAAGTGTACTGCCACTTAGGATATAATTAATTCTCCTTGACTTTGTGACATTATAATCTTGGACAGAAATGCCCCAGTTTCCTGAGGTCAGGAGCTGGAGTCAGGCGTAGGTCAGCAATAAAACAAAAACATGGTGTCAGTGAAGATAGCTCTTTATTCAAAGAAACCAAACTGGCATAGTGATCCAAGCAATTCTTCCCAGTAGGTCTTGCCCCAATGAAACAGTTGTAAGGACTGAAGGTCCCCACCTTCCCAACACACTCTATGGCTGCTCCTCTCCAGGGTCTTTCCCAAGCAGTCGCAAACTGCATCTGTGCACAACCCAATTCCTTGTTGAATTACTCTTTGCTTTTCCCTACTATTAATGATTTTTAAAATGCCTTAAAAGCTAGATAGTGTACAATGATTATATTCAAACAAACCTACCCTGCCCACAGCCCTACCATCTTAAAAACAAGCACCCACACACAAGAACTAAAGATGGAAAGGAGAGGAGAAGAGACACAAAAGGAAAGGGAGGCAGTAACTAGAGGTCATAAATTGGGGAGAACTAGCATACTTTCAAATGCTGTTCAGACAGTTGCAAAGAGAGAAAGGCGCAGATGTCAGGAGGCAGTGATTCTGTGGAATAAAATCTGTATCAAAACCTATATTCCCTTTTGAAAACAGCCACTCTATGCAACTCATTGGTGGTTCCTAGCTATGTTTCCTCGGTTGTTAAATACTGAAGGCCTTCTGATCTGACTGTTATCCCCTTCTCCCTCTCTTAGCCAAGAGGGCATCAAGAAGCGCTTCCGTTGAAGAAAAAACTTCATCTTGGTAACAGACCAGGTGCCAGTAATTGTCTACAAACCAATTTCAACACTGTATTTGGAAAGCCGGTCACAGGTGAACGCGTTCCAGATCAGGCTCTATCAAAATATATAACAGTAGAAAACCATGCCCCAACGTGTAGAAATAAAGGTATTCTGCCTTGGAATACTGACCAAATATTGAAGAGGTCTGCCAACAACTTTTCCTCCCCATCTTTTGTTGGTTTGGAAGAAGAAGAGAGGACTCTTCGAAGAGAGAAGAAAAATCGGGATGAACCTAAAGTGTGTGTGGCATTCCGTAAGTATGAGGAGGAAGAGGAAGAGGAGTCCTTGACTGAGAGTGTGAGTTCTTCTTTCAAGGATACAAAAGACGACGGCAAAAAGACCTATAAGCATTTTGAACGTCAAAACTCTCCTAATGTTATGAGTGGTAAAGACAATGATTCTGGTTATCTGTCAGAACAGGATCTAATAGAAAAGGGAATGTCATATGAGGATTTTAAACCTAGGGGGATTTCAGAACTAGAGGATTCCGATGAGTTGCATATTAAAGAAAATATTGCACAAGCAGCATATGATAGAAAGCTGCAGATGAATTTCCTGTCCCTGTCCAAATACAGACCAACAAAGATAGACCAACCAAGGCAGCAGCTTAGCACAAACCAAGAGCTCAGAAAGCATCAGGAATTCTGTGGTGCTGTGTCTGATGAATATGCTAAAAAAGTTAGATGGTTAGAGACATCTGACAGAGAATCTGAACATGTCTGTAATAAGGTGATGAGCCATGAAGATGAAAATGAATCGAAACCTCTTACTGATGTTATACAGTCTCTGACAGAGCAAAATTCAAAATATCAGAAGCAAATCAAGGATTTGCATGATGAGAAGAATAGCCTTCAAGAAAGGCTAGTTAAATCTGAAGAAGATTGCAAGGAATGCCTTAAAGAAGTGAAAAGACTACTGAAGAAATGCAAGGAGTTTCAACAGCAAAAGTCAGCTCTGGAAGAAAAGCAGGAGCAGCTTTATTCTGAGAATCAACGTATGATGTCTGAGATAAATGATTTACAACAGAAAGACCAGAAAACACAGGAAACCTTGGCTTTTTCCACACATGAAAAAAGCGATCTGATTGTGTCCTTAAAAAATTTGGAAAAACAAGTTTCAACCCTTCAAGAAGAAAATAAGAAGTTAGGCGGGGAAGTACTTCAGCTAACAGACAACAAGGGTTTGTTAGAAAAGGTGGTTGGAGAAAACCAGAATGAAATGCAACAACTGAAGATAAATGAGAAAACTACACTATCGAATCTGGAGGCTCTTATTAGGATGACACAGTCGCTTAAAGACGAAAAACAGAGTCTTGAAAAGGCATTGCAGGAGGTGCTCACTGTGAAAGAAGTCCTGCAGAAGGGGCTCGAAGAGGCCCAGTCAGGCAAAACTAATACTGAGGAAAAACTTCTGATGGAACGTAAAAGTACAAAAATAGAAATTGGTGTTTTGAAAACTAACTTGTCAAACATGGAACGAGAGTGTGAGAGGATGAGAATGGTAGTAGCAGACATGACAGACGAAAACCACATTCTTAAAAAGGAGCTGAATTCATATAAACAGGAGGCTTCTGATTGCAGAAATAAAACAAGACTACTGAGCGAGCAGCTCCTGCTGATGGAAAATGAAATACGCTCTACAGAGAACGAGAGAGATGTGTTGCAGTTTGAAGCACGCCGTCTCCAAAAGAATAATGCTAGCCTCAGGGACCAAGTTACGGCTTTGGTCGATCAACAATTTAAGCAAAGGCATAATTCCAGAAGCCAAAAGCAAAACGACCAATTTGCAGATCCCAGTGAAATCTGTGAAGAAATATCTAGCTATCAGCATATTTCTTTAATACATAACTCACCAGGTATGTTTTGCTTTCTGATATGTAAAATTCAACTCAGTTCTAAGTCTTTATTATTCTGAGGAAAATGACAGTTGGTATCATCCTTAGGGTTAATGTAAAATAAAGGAATAAATGCTTAGATTAAAAACAACAAGAAATCACTGGCAATGCCTGAAATCTGAGGGTGCAGTTCATCAGGCCTTTCCCCTCCCTCTCAGGCAAGACCCTTGGACATGTGTGAGCCAGTCATTTCTTGAAATGCACCCAGGTATATAACTCATATAGTCATTAGTGGTCCCCCTTCTCAATATGCCCTTGGCCCAGAAGTATTACAGACCTGAGCATGAGGTCTGGAAACAGCTGGACTTGTGTGGGGAAAATATTGTGCACTCAATCTATAGATATTTTCAGCCACAACCAATACTGAGATAAATTGCTAGGTATAGCTGATTTTTAAAACACATTTGATTTTGTCTGTGTTACATATAAAAAAATTCAATGAATTCAGCTTTTTATAAATTTATAGTTCTGGTAAGAAAATAGTTTTTAAAGTGACTTTTTCTCTGAAATGTGTGTAGAATATGATCCTGACAGATGCTTTTTACTCATTTAAGTCATAAACAAACTGGGAGAAATTTATTTAATGTTGATAAAGAGCTGATCATAAGAATTATTAGCTTTGATTGCTTTTGGAATTGGTTTAAACTAACCTAACCTACCATCAGTGAAATATTAGCATTAGCTTCAGTGACTTATTAGATTTATTCCTGAGACATCATGGTTATATAGGTTTGTAGATACCACAGTCTCCAACAGTGAATTGCTCAGGGGGTTTTTTCTTAAAGAAAGCTGTCCTTTTTTTCCAGGCAGTTCCAGACAAACTCCAACAATCTGTCCTTCAAAGAAAGCATAATAAAATTTTCTTCTTTGAAACCTGTTTTTAAACTCTCCTATCCATTTACTACCATTTCCCCTTAAGTCTTTGAATAAAAAATTGGGTTGATGTTTTACAGGTAACCAATGATAAGTTTTACACCTCTTTTTTCACATCATATCATTGCCTAATCCAGTATAGTATATACATACCTGATGGCTAAACAAGCAATAATGTAGCCTGATGAACTAGCAGAAGCTATAGAATTATAACATCAAGTTCTAACAATACCCGGAAACAAAACCACCACATTGAGACAACTATATAGGGAAGAGTGCATTAGTCAAATATGTTTCATATCCTACATGCATCAAAGTAGTTTGTATTGCTTCCAAAGAGCAGGCCATATGAGAAGATAAAAATATTTCCTTTTGACATTAAATCCTGTTAGCTCAATCCAGTTAATCATTGTAAATTTTGGTAGCAGCTATGCACAATATATGCACATTTTAAAATGCTTTACACCACAATCCTATGCCTGCCTGCTCAGAAGTAAGATGAAATGTATGTAAAACACAATCTTATATATTTCGATATGAACGCCATAGTGAAGTTGCACTAATACCGTGGTACCTCTGGTTGCGAACGGGATCCGTTCCGGAGGCCCGTTCGCAACATGAAAAGAGAGCAACCCGCAGTGGCGTGTCTGCGCATGTACAGGTTGTGATTTGCTGCTTCTGTGCATCCGCGAGCGGCAAAACCCGCAAGTAACCCCTTCCGGTACTTCCGGGTCACCGCAGGACATAGTCTGAAAGAACGTAACATGAAGCGGACATAACATGAGGTATGACTGTATTGACTTACTGAATTGATAATTTCTAGGACAACCTGTTACCCTCCAAATGTTGTAAATTTCCAACAGCTCCCAGCCATTATGGTCAACGGTCAGTGATGATGGGAGCTATAGTCTACAACATCTGGAGGGTAGCATGTTGATTTCCTTTGCTCTCGGATGACCCCACTGTCATGGTCAGACCACTTCCTGTTGAAAAGTACCAACTTACCCTTTAGCACTGGGAAACCTGTTAGAATGGCTTGCATCTGGAGACTTGAGTCCAATGGATTCTTGAATGCTCTGGGAGATTTTCTGGTGGATAGAAATGGTGATCATGTGAAGGCCCTTGTCTCACTAAGGGCACTAAGATGCAGAGGACCAGAGATATGATTGCTCCTGAGTGCCCTCTCTGACAGTGTGGAGCATATTTGGCTTCCTGGTACACTGGGGAAGTACATGCAGTGAAACAGGCTGGATGATTTCCAGAAAGCAGGTGATGGAAATACTACTGCAAAGACAACTGAACATGCATTAAGAGCACATAACCATGTTTGCTGCATGGCAGTGAAAGCAGCAAAGGCAACCTATTTTGCTGCTTCCACTGTGTCCTCAAGAAATTGGCCAGCAGAACTCATCAGGGTAGGCCAAGACTGTTAACACCTATAGTGGTAGATGAGGCTCAAGATACCTACCTCAGATACCTACCTCATTTTACCAACTTCAGTTGCTAAGATAACTGGCTATTCCTGGATCAGGATAGCTTGCACACAGTTGTGCATGCATCAGTAACCTCATGGCTTGGTTACTGCAATGTGCTCTTTGCAGGGCTGCCCTTGGGGTTAGTCTGGAATCTGCAGCTGCTGCAGCCTGCCAAGACTAGGTTGCAAACGACCACCATATAACAGTTTACTTGCAGGATTTGTACTGGCTGCTGATATGCTACTGGGCTACATTCAAAGAGTTGGTTCTAACATATAAGGCCTCATACAGTTTAGGACCAGCTTGCTTGAGAGATCGCCTTAGCCCTTATATACCCAGTAGATCACTGTGGTCTGTTGGCAGATTTCTTCTGTAAATTCCAAAGATCTCAGAAGCCTGCTCAGAGCAGGGCTTTGAGTGTGGCTGCCCCTTCTGTGGAATAGTGTTCATCTCACTGTGACAGGTCTCCACCTGCACTTTCTGGAAACAATTGAAGACATTTTTGTTCCGATAGGCTTCCCCAACTGGATAAATGGATCTTTTCTGTGAATGTCTGTTTAGTAGTTTTAGCTTTGTTTAAAATGTATCTGCTTCTTTGAGAGTTTTTATTAGTTTTTGCTGTTTTTATTGTACATCACCTTGAGATGATTCTGTAGATTAATAATGATCACAGACTCATTGAAGGGACCCCAAGGGTAATCTAGTGCAACCCGTTGCAATACAGGAAGGTTATATTGTTAGCAATAATACGGCCAGGGTCTATATTTTTCTGTTACATATATTTCTATAGTCTCTGAAGCATGGTTTATAACCCAGCATGTTTCTTTGACAACAGTAGTCAGATTTTGAAAATTTGCAAATCTTTGGCCTGTTCCTTGTGTTTCTTTTGTGATTTGTTGGCCACACCTTCAGATTTGGCCAACCTTATATGCATGTATAGTATAATTGGTACTGAAGCTGAAGCAAATCCAAACCACTGGTGTCTAGGACTTTCTACATAGTTACACAAAGCATTTGAGATGCTATTTTTTCCATAGAATGACACACCAACCAAATATATGCAGTTACTGTCAGTGGCACCAGTCTCTTCACTAGACCTGCTGCTATGTGGAGTCCGTATAAACTATTTTACCACACATTCTGTTCAGACTGAATAATGCCACATCTGTGCAAATAGTGTCCATGCCAGGGGGTCATAAACATACCTACTGCAAAATACAGATATACTATTTCAGACAGACTGCTGAAACAGCCTCTGCATTATTTACATGCACACAAAAAGGCCATAAAAGTTTATGAGTGACTTAACATTAATGTTACTTCAGTAGAAAGAGTGATAGCTTGTAAAAAATTCATACCCTTTGCTGTCTGCCCATAAGAATTAATATGTGAACCTATGACACCTCTTCTGACACAATGCAGCAATTTCATTTTTATGCAATGGTGTATATATCTGTAATCTGACAATTGCATTATATTGCAGATAAGCAATCAATTCATGTCTATATTTGCAAATCTTGCGGAGGGTGGATTTATGTCTGTCATAAAAGTATAAGAGCATGAATATTTTAGGGCCTTTTTGTTTACAATGTGAATTCTAATTTCATTCATTTGCTTTTTGAAAATTGACTTAATATCTTGATGTGTCAGAACACATCTAAAACAAGCTTCCCTCTAATTATAATTATACCTAATGCAATTTCCTGTGCTCTGTGCACACAGGATTGGGCATCACCTTCCCAACTCCAATGCAAGAGCACAAGTAAGTCCCTATGTAGCACAGGTGGTTCCCCCTGCCTACTGCCATGGCATAAAAGTGAGGTGTGAGTGACAGCATCCTATAGTCCCTTCACAGAACATTCTGAGTCTTCCAGATCTTTAGGGGTTACAGAGGGTGGCAACAATCTCACTGTAGGGTTCAAAGGTAGGGACTTTCATGCCAAGTAAATTGGAGCCAAGCAGCTCTGCTCCATCCTTTTGTAACTGAAATAGAGCAAGCCTCTGCTTAGGTAGATTAACAGACTTAGGCAATTTACTCTGTATTTATGAATACAGAGAAAAATCCACACGAAAAAAATCAGACAAGAAGAAAGCTTTCAGTTGTGGTTACAATTACTGCAATAATCAGGATGATTGTTCCACGTTTAAATGTGAAACAGATTAAGTATATAAACTTGCTTGTGTGTGGCACTTACCATGTTGTCCTTTACTGGAAGATGATAGCTGTTGCTGAAATATCTCTTTCCTAGACATCTACTATCTCCACAGAACATTCCTATACACTAAGGGCATAGGTCAAGGTTTAAAAGGTCTTGCAAAGGCAGGGATGTTGTCTGTCAACAGATTACACCCTCTGTCCTCATCTTTGGCAGAATCATTGAGCTCCTGTAAGGCTAACCTTTGAGTACATTGAGCGCCCCACTAACTCACCTAGGAAGAAGAGAAGGTTAAACTACCCTGTCTATTAAGACTGCATACTATATTATTTGTTCCTAAACATCTAAGGGAGAGATATATACTTATCAAACAGGGAAGGAAAATTTGTTTTACGTCCTATCAGCTGTGGGAATTCCACTGCAAATAATTAAATTGGTTAGTTCATTAGATCTTAAAGCTATCTTATCTTCTTTCCTAACATTTCCAATTTGGTAGAGTGTGGAAAGATTTCTGAAATCCGAAAGAAACTGGAAGAGGAGGAACTCTATACAGAAAAGAAGCGCAACACCACCAAGAAGCTCTACAGTGCTTTTTCAGTCAGCTGCACCACATCCGTCTTTTATGAGTCGGGTTTTCCAACTGCTGTGCGGAAGAAATATAGCACTATTTGCTCTGCTACTTAGTGCTTTAAGGGTTATGCCCACAGAAGTTAAGCACTACTCTATTTTCCAATTGTTGTGCCTGAAAAGCATAACAAAGAGCAGAGCAATCAGAAATCCAAGTACTATGAAAGAAACTAACTTGAGGTTGTAGATGAGAAAGAGATTTGAGCTGCACACACATAATACATATTTATGGTTACTTTTATACTATTCCCATTCGTTTCAGCTGGAGCTTTTTCCTCAAAGAATGAAACACCTGACAATGTTTTGAATGATATTTTATGCTATTTCAATTCCAAGAAAGGAGGTAATCATCTGAGCTTTGTCATAATTGTTCACTGAATATAAAAGGATGCAAACTGGAAATAAAGACAATTTCTGATGAAATGTAAAGCTTGAGTATTGTACCCAAACCAGTCTTCATTTAAAAATCTTTGCATTTAAAACACTTAAAAGAGTTTTATTATTGCTGTGCTTTATATCAATGTTACTTTGGACACTATTTATAGTTGGTAGAGAAAAACAAAACTAAAGTAGAAGTTAAAGGTACCTTGTGGGAAACCATAATACTAGGTAATCCCATTAAGGACATCTTAGCTAATTATTCATATGAGTTATTGAACATAATAAAAGAGGCAAACACTTTTTGTAGATCATGCATTTAGAAAATGGACTACTTAGAAAATTCATTTCCTCTTCTCTTTTTCATAGGAACAATTGCTCCTTCTAAGACAGTGTCTGCCATTTATAGTTCTTCCAGTAAACCAATAATGTTTTTAAATAATAAAAACCCTGCTACCCAGAGTAGCATCAGAACCATATTTTAAAGTTAACCAAAAGCATTTTAAATGGATCTGTTGATTAATCACCCACTGCATTCCTATCAAAGCAATAATAGCATTGTGTCTAGATTATGGTTACCAGACGTCCCCGTTTCCCGGGGACAGTCCCCGGATTTACAAATCTGTCCCCGGAAAAAATCTGTCCCCGGAATGTCCCTGGATTTATATTTTAAGTGTTGTAGATTTATTAGTAGAGAATGAATGTTGCATGATTGGTTCAATGGCACAAGACACATCATATGGGGACTTCTAGACACATCTTCTATGGGGACACATCATATGGGGACATCCTTAAATCTTCAACTTTAATTTTAGAAACTCTTAATTTTTTGGAAAAAAAATGAGAACGTGATATCCAGTGTTAGACACACTCAGAGTAGACCCACCAAAATCAATTAACGTGTCCATTGTTTTCAATTGACCTACTCTGAGCATGACTCACAATGGATATTACCCTTTGTCTCACAGCACAGAACCAGCCCTTATCTGCATGCCTATATCCTAGATTCCATTCTTGTAGCCATACTAGAGTGTTTAGGAACCCAAAGAAATAGCTTTTAGTAGATCAATGTCTATTAACTAGGACCAGACTAGATGTCCATAACAAGATTTTGTAAATGGCTGGACATAAAGCTTGAGGTTCATCAAGTGCAAGTATTTATTTTTGCTAGTGCTACATACAATCAAAATAACATTTATACCAAAATATACTTCACATTTTATATACATTATTTGTAAATATATTATCTATTTCTTTATATATATAAAGAATATATTCATAAAACATCGTCATGTGTGGTAAACAGTTTTGGCAAAGGATAGCCATATTTGACATATTTCCCACATTTTTTTATTTGCTTCAGATACCCTTGAGCTGTTAAAATGCTACTGTTTGCAGAATCTAAAAAGTTCATTCACCTTGCTTTGGGTGCAGCTAATATGACATCACTTGCGGATTCGTGTAGTTGGTTGCATTTAATGATCTGAAATTCAAATTTGAAAGAAAAGTGTCAGAGCATTTAACTGAATTGTGACTTTTTGCTAAGATAAATAGCCATTTCTTCGCCCTGGCTTTCCCACATAAGCTCTTCATTGTCAAACAAGATCTTAACCCATCAAATTAGAGCTTATACAGTAGTCAGTAACATATTCTATTCTTCATTTTAAAACCTATGGTGTTTTTTAAAGTAATAATACTAATAATATAGAGTATTATGCAACTTTTGATATAATACTATTTTCCCATAGTTGGTGAAATTGTCTTAAACAATGAACCTCTCCATAGCTGCATTCCAGGCCACTGAAATAAGCCCTGGATTAGAGGAGAATGGATGGATGGATAGGAAGGAAGGAAACTTTACAATTTCAGCCAGTTGCATAATGCTAACAGTACCTTCCTTTCACTTAAATTTATCTCTTGAGAAGGTAAATTGGCAACCTGCTCATTCCTCCACCCCACCTAAAAAGGGTCATCATATTCCTTGCAGTACTAGAGGCACAAATTCATTAGATTTGTATCCCACTTTTTAAGGCCTATATGGAAGTTGGGCTCCAAAACACATGAAGTGGCATATATGGCAAACAGACCTAAAGGAATCATCACAACCACTCTTCATATTACAGCCACTATATTAAAATCAGTTTAAATCAAGCCATATTTTATGAAGCAAATCATTAATGTGCTGGCATCTGGTGATGCCTTCCAATTGTTAGGATTCTATGAGATTCCTGGGAGTCAGATAGAGAAACCTAGAGGTGTGCATTCAGCTTTAGGAAATTGAGGCTCCCCATTCCTGATCTAGAACATAAGGAGAGAAATAGATCAAAGTGCCCATGAGTATGTTTGGAGTATATTACCCACAGCAATGAGTAAGTAGTAAGAAAATTCCTACAAATAAGAATGGCTTCCAGACCAGAGGATGTTGTGTTCCGACAGAAGGAAGCCAGTGGCGGAAGAAGCCTCTTGGGCACCTGGGGCGGTGCGCCCAGGGGCAGGCAAACCACCCATAGGGGCAGGGGGCACTGCACCACACGGCACCCATAGGGACAGGCAGAGGTGGAGCTTGTGACGGCGGCGTGCATCCCGGGGGGGGGGGTTGTTTGCCGGTGGAGAGCGTCCCAGGGGTGTGTGCAGCAGCAGAGAGTGTTCTGGGGGGTGCACCTGCGGCGATGTCAACCCCCCCCCCTGGGATGACACCCAAAGCAGACCGCCCCCACCTTGCTCTGCCTCTCAAAGAAGCCCCAGCAAACCTTATCACGAACATGAAGTAATTAAAGTTATGTCATACTTACTTTTCAACATTTAATGACATAATACTTCTTACTGGTCTGCTCTTCGGTCCAGGAGAGGGATGAAATACCCGCCCTTGTTTATTGGTTGTGACAGGCTTTGCCTGTTTAACGATGTAAGGGTCTACGGAATGGGTTGGATAAGGATCAAATGTGCCTGCTTTCATGCCCCCAGGCTGGAAAGCAAGGATAAAGAATTTTGATAAGTTGGTAACAAAAATACTTGGCACAAAAATACAGAGCCTGAAGCAGTAGTTCAGAAATATTATTTCACGAAACACAGTGTATTATGTAAATAACAAGGCAGCCAAAACCCAAAGGCACCACAGAGAAAATTTGCTTATCACAGCCCCAAGCAGCACAGAATGATGTACATTTATCCTATTTAATCCACAAAAGTTGTGCACAAGAGTAAATTTCAGCGGGTGTACTTTGCATGGCTACGTAGAAGTAGGTCCCATTCCGTTAGGTGGAGCTAACTCCTGGGTAAGTGTACATTCAATTGCATTTTTACTCCACTACAATGAACTCCACTACATTCACCAAAGAAATCTTAGTCAATTGTTTAACTTTTAGTTGATTAATTAAATTAGCACATAAGTAAAACAAATAGTTATGAAGCAAAAAAAATATTTTTTTACACTGATTCACAAGTGTGTCATTGTGGTATTACATTGGATGTAATGCCTTACATTGGATGTAATGCCTAAGAAAAGGCATTACATCCAATGTAAGAGATAAGGAGGAATGCCTCATAAAATGCTGCATTTTTTAAAAAAAAACTATTCTGTTAAAAAAATTAGCATTGGTATTTTAAAAAAAAAAATTGGCTGTCCAATTTATTGGGAGTACCATTTTAATCAATTTCAAATGTTATTAATTCCATCGATTAATGTATCAAACTTTGGAGCCCTAATAAGTTTACTTTGTATATTAGCACCTTCAAGAAAGAGCTGAAGAAATTAGAAACATGTCAAATGAGACCTAAGAATAACAACAAATCACTTCAGGACTTGTGGATATTTCCCACTTACTTTTAGCACCATCTTTAAACAAAATGCCATTTGATTAAATAAATAATTGTAAAAACCATTTTTCAAACTTATTTATGTTTCCACCATTCAAAATAGTTCTCTAAACTGCAACAAAAGTAAGCCACCACACCCATCTTCTCTTTCTAGCTAAATGAAAATGTCTGCAATAAAAATTAAATGACAAAGAAGAAACGTTTTTAGAGAACAACTGCACCTTCTTTGCAGGAGAAGTTGGCTTAAATGGATGGGTAACTGGTGCTGGCGGGGGTTGTTTCTTTGGTGGTGGCAATGGTTTGTCATCATGGTAAGGATTTACATCAAAATACTCTCGTGGGTAAAGATTCAACTTGAAAGCTCCACCTTTCATCAAACGGTGGTGTTCTTCACTCATTTTCTGTGTAAACCAGAGAGGAAAGATATCACATTGAATACTTCTAATTAAGATTATTTTCAATTGGGAATGACTAGGAAATAATTTATGGCTGGAATCCTATGTTTACTTATCTGATAGTAAGCCTTACTAAACTGAACAAACACATGCACAGGACTGTACTGTTTGAGATGATAATGCAATAAATGCTACAAAATAGATGCAGATGTGTAACAACATTAGCGATCTGAATATGCCAGGAGTGGGACACCTGTAGTTCACCATCCCAAACCACTAGCCAACAATATCCATCCATCCATTGATTTTAACGCCACCCTTCATCAATTAGATATCAAGGTGGTATACAGAATAAGCTCAGAACAAAATAAGCCCAGGTAAGACCTCTGGAGGGCTACAGAGTCCCAATCCATGGTATATGTCAAAGGCTTATATCAGAATGCTAACACATGATTTGTACCAAATGTGTACCATGGGAGTGCTGCAGAATGGAGGAAATGATATCTTTCCTTCTTGATCCAAATAATTAATGCTTATAAGAAAAAGAATAATCAGCCTAGCTTTGGACTGCCTCAGATTAATCATTGGAGTTACTGGCACAATATCATATTCCTCAAAAGCTTCACACAGAACCATGCAAACTAGATATATGAAGAGTATGGTCCTTACTGAAGTAATAGGAAACAGAGCAATGCTTGTAAACCTAAATGGATTTTTTTCCATTTCCCCGCTTTTCCACTTTCCCAACACCTTCCAATTTCCCCCCCAATAGCAGGGCTTCGTGTCACTGGTTCCATCTGGGACAGACAAGTGGGCCCCAAACAATAACTGTACCAATGGGCCACTATCCAAATCTCCTAGTTGTTGAGAAAGGACTTGAGCAGCTTATATCCAAAAGGGACGTGGCTTAAGTTCATAGTAGACTAATTTCAAATAGTAGACTAATTTACAATGTTAGGTCTAAGAGAGCTCTAATGGTGTATCCCCCGCCCCCCAACACACACACCCAAGAAAGTAATCCATCAAAATGATCAGGTCAGTCTCAGTACGGGGCACAGAGGGCTGTAAACCTTGCTACCTAGCACACTGCTGATACTAAATAACAAACTATGAACGTTTAGAAAGTACTAATAAAAATTCTTATAAAACAGACAGAATGCTACAGTGGAACAATTCCCATTTTTGAATCAGCAAGCTGAAACAACAAAGAGCTAACAGTCTTAACTAGTTCATTTTACAAAAGAAATACGATTCATGTACAGTCTCATTTGCACAGAGCAAACTAAGATCTGATCATGTGAAACAGGGTAATGTTCTCTATTCACAGACATTAATTAAATGGAAATCCAACAGAATTTTACCTTAAAGTTTATCCTTCCTGTGTCATACAATTCCACTGAGTGTGGGTATGGTTTACCTATGGTAAGATTTGCATACCTGGGTAAAGAAAAGAAAATAATGGTGACACCAACATTCAAAAGCCTCTAAAATTCAAGAAAACATATCAGAGACTATTACAACTCTAGAAAGTTGATGTCATGTTTTACCCGTAGCCAGTTCCCTTCTTCCCTGGATTGGTATAGAGATTCTTCCCAGGTGGGACATATGGCACTTTGTCTTTTGCTTGTGCACTGAAGTAAGCACATGGGCCACCGATTGTTCCATAGTAGGTTCCTATACCACAACTGAAATAAATAAAAAAACAAATAAGCAAATATTTATCCATTAAATTTGCAACTTAATTGTGTAAGAACAGATGAGGAATCTGTGGCCCTCCAAATGTTGTTGGACTGAAACACTGCTAGCTTATGCTAAGAAATATTGCCTTAAGTATTGTGTCCAAGGTTTTCCCTCCAGGGACAAAAGGTTCGTTGATTCAGTAAAGGCTCTCATCAGTGGAGTGGGATGCTATTTTCAATGAAACACACCCACCCACACACACACACACACACAGAGGCAAGCGATCTATGCCACCTCCTGTGCTGATCTAAAGGGCCCCTCAATCCTCTGGAGCAACTGGGAAGGTGATGGGAGTTTCAGGGTAAAAAAATGAGCATACATAAGCTGCCTTTCTTCCCCAGTGACCACGACTGAACTCAGTTGGACTTCCTTCTGAGTAGTTATGTATAGGATAGCACTGCAAGATGCTCAAAACCTTATTCAAACGTCTGTATTTGCCAGTGGTTGGCTGCTTATTTTTATTTAGTGCTGCATTTTAATATTTGGTTTGGTTAGCAATACAAGAATTAACGTACTATATCAGACCAGAAGCCCCATCATGCTCAGAATCCCTTTTTTTTTTCAGACAAGGGCTAATGCCTGGATTATCCTGTGGGAATATAGGACAACAGACAGCCATCTCCAAATGATTCCCCTTCATCTCTCTGCATGTGCCTTCGGCTGCCATATTGTATCCTAGAAATGGCTCCTGGGAAGTTTGAGAAAGTTTGTAGAAATTAAAATAAGCAGCCCCAGAGGGGGAAAGGCATTTGTGGCACATGTGTCAGTGGAGTAAAATACATTTGTCATTTCTTCTTCTATATTCCTCTCCAAGCCACATTAATCTACTGATTACCAACTCTGTCGAGAACTGCTTCATTTTCAGGATCACTAAATGAAAGACCTCCCTAATCTAGGTCTTCCCACAAGACCTTGGCCTGTGATTTAAAGCCCAAGGCATGCATGCTTCCTTGGTTTCTCTATGAGAAAGAACTAATCTGTGTGCTCATGAACATTTTCCATTCCACTAGCTGTTTATTCTCCTTTCATAGAAAAGAAAAAATTGTGATGCACAGTGGTGGTGGGTGACATAGAGACTGGGGGACCAAAGGTATATATAAAATTCAGAAGTAAATACGTTTATTTTAGCAAGAAATAAAACCTAACAAAAGAATCTTTCAAGGTTTCTAAAGTTATTTTAACATGTAAAAATAAACAGAACCCATATGATGACCAAAATTAACGCCTTTCCCCAGCACTTACGGATATTTCTCTCCATTACTAGGAAGGAAGGGTTTGCTCAAGTTTTTCTTTGACTCTGCCATTCGGTATCTTCTCCTTAGCTGAACAGGATTCAAATAGCTTTCACCTTCAAAAATTCTTGCATACACGGGGTCAAAGTAACCTGCCTGGGTAGCTGCCTTCTCTTTGTTACCCCCTGGTAACATCTGCTTGTTCTTGCTTGCAGCTTCATTAAAAGGGCCTTTAAAACAAGTTAGTGCTGTCAGTTTTGGTTTAATAGGTGTGGCTTTACTTAGTTTTAACTTTTAGATATGTACATCTGTGCCAGATTTTCAGACTCTCGAACTTTGTAGAAGCAATTTAAGGCATGAGCTGCTACTACATCTATGCCAATAAGGCATTACAATAAGCTATATATCTTCAAGATGCGCTGAAAAGTAATAATTGTGAACATTTGTTCTAAACTAAAGACCCTGACCCTGCCTCCAAGTAGAGGGTAGTAATATGACCATATGGAACCCCTAGTTAGAGGTTTTTGGCCCTTTCCCCCTGTAAGAACATAATTTGTTTCTGAGGAATAGACGCCTGGAATAGATTTTAACACAATCTAAAGATCTACTCCTACACCAAAAGGAATGCTGTTGCAAAAATATTCCCAGGGCCCCTTAGTTTGAGAATTATTGAGCCTAGAATCTGTTTAACCATACAGAAGTTTAACTGAAGGATGATGGGGCAGAAAATCCAGTCAGATCAGGACAAAATCACAGATTGCCTCTTTCAGACATAACAAGAAACCATAATTATCACAAACTAGGAAGTGAGAAAGGTCAACTATGTCCTGGTTCCATTTGAACAGGGCGTTTTTCCAAGCAATAGCAGAAAAAGACTGCCTTCAAAACACATTTCCCAATATATATAAAAGAATTTTAACCACATGGGAGAATAACATCATGTAGGGCTAAAAGAATTGGGGTTAAACTGCCCATGAACTGATAAAGAAAGAAAAGTTCCTCTCTGATAATCAGGACCCAGGTGGAAGTTATTATTGTTTTATGAAAGATTCTAATTGCAAAGAAGTATGCGTGAATTGTCCGTATAGTTAAAGCCATGGTTTTCCCAGTAGTGATGTATGGAAGTGAGAGCTGGACCATAAAGAAGCTGATCGCCGAAGAATTGATGCTTTTGAATTATGGTGCTGGAGGAGACTCTTGAGAGTCCCATGGACTGCAAGAAGATCAAATCTATTCATTCTTAAGGAAATCAGCCCTGAGTAGTCACTGGAAGGAGAGATAATGAAGCTGAGACTCCAATACTTTGGCCACCTCATGAGAAGAGAAGACTCCCTGGAAAAGACCCTGATGTTGGGCAAGATGGAGGGCACAAGGAGAAGGGGACGACAGAGGGCGAGATGGTTGGACAGTGTTCTCGAAGCTACCAACATGAGTTTGACCAAACTGCAGGAGGCAGTGGAAGACTAAACAACAACAACAACAATGCGTGAATTGCTTTCAATCCAAGTACTTTTGTAAGAAAAGCCCCCAATTATTGTGGATGAAGTTTATAGAGGCTACTTTCTCAATTCTATGTGGTGGCATACAATGCAGAACTCTAGTGGCACCCTCTGTAAAGCATTGGGACACTGCCTAATAGCCACAAACCCACTGTCATTTCCTATTACAATATATAGACATATGTTGTTCTTTATTCTTCTAGTCGTGTCTGACTCTTTGTGACCCCATGGACCAGAGCACGCCAGGCACTCCTGTCTTCCGTGGGACTCTCAAGAGTCTCCTCACCACCATAATTCAAAAGCATCAATTCTTCGGCATATAGGCTGCACTAATGTAATTGGCCAACAGCACGATGGAGCAGCTCTCCAATCATCCTGCCTTCTTTACTGCAGTTTTACCCAAGTTCCCATGCCGCAAACTGGATTGGTTAAATAAGGCAAATAAACTAACATTTACTGCTAGCTACTACCAAAGCAGTGCTTCCAACTCATGCTGCTATACATATGCAGTGTCCTGGAAACATTGGCACAATTTTTAAAATTATGTTGGCCTTTATTCTATACATTTGAGGTTTACACAGTGAAGGATTCATCAAAGCAAGTTTTAAACATTTCTCATGTTTAATGAGGAGTTAATGTCAAACATACCTGTTTTATTTTCCTTGCTATAGCCCATTCATAGTTTTGAAGATTTTTTTTCCCCAGAAAGAAAAACCACAGTATTGTAAAATGAGAAAAAAATATACTTACGGTTAAATGGTGAGACATATTTATCCCCAATAGAAACATATTCCATTTCACTAAAGAGGCCAATCCTCTCCATGTCTGATTTTCCTGTTTCTGAAGGCATGTTTACTTTTGTATGATAACCCCGCTACTCTAGAATATGTGCAAATTCCTTACAATGCCTAGAGAAAAAGAGATGGATTCATACATGTCAGTTTTCAAGACATTTCCAAAACAATCACTGTCAATTTACTGCTGAAAATACTGGTTTAAACAGATAGCAGAACTCAGTAGTAAATTTCAAATTAAGGTACAAACAGAATTTTTAGTTCCTCTTTGGCACAGCGGATGAAGCAGAAGTAAATTCATTTGAATCTATTTTATCAGACTCTCTGATCCAACTGATGTATTGCTCTCCCTCACGCTCATACACCTAGAATTATACCACCAATCTGGCATGTACATAGCTGATCGTACTTTTTGTCTCAATAAGTAATTCAGGAAATATACCAAGCTCGGATTGGGCAAACTGAAGTACAGAAATGGCTCAAGCCTCACCTCAAAAACAAATTCACTGCATAGCCTTAGGCAAGCCCCTCATTCCTTCATCTGAAATATAGGTAGAGTGTTGTAAGACTTGAGATAATGAATGTGAAGCAGAAGTGCTAATATAAATAATATTACCATGAGGGGGAAAACAGTACTCTGCTGATACCAGGTGTCATTTGGAATATACACTCCTTATTCCCAGACGGAACATCCTGACAAGGGGGAGACCAACCTGGCTCATCCCTTTGGCCACTGAAGGTGAAGCTGTTCCAATGCTTGCTTCCCTATCCCCCCTCCATTTGTTGTTGTTTTTTAATCCACCTTATATTTTAATATGTGCAAAGATTAGTATGTTTATGTGATTTATGAGCATTAATATATTACTGGATTTCAAAAATCCATTTATTATTATCTGTTTCATTATGCTGACACAGTTTAAGCAGATAAAAATAGTTGATTTTTACGTTATGGATATAAAAGTCTTCCAAATATTGATCAGCAACAAACTACTAAGGATGTGCATCATATTCAGAAACCTGGTAGGATCTGTATGAGGCAACACAAATCAAAACAGGGACCACTGAAGCACTTTGTGGCACCTCAGCAATCCAGACTTTAAAAAACGATGCAGACAAGCGTCTGCTAAAAGCAGTGCAGTCTTGAGACACGAATTCAAAAGTTCAACAGCCTCTTTGCAATAAGCAGATGGAAAAGTATGGGAGAGCTAAGTGTCCTCTGCATACTGATGACACTTCTACCCAAACCTCCCAGCAGGTTTATATAAATCATTAATAAAGCATAGAAGAACAGAATCCTTAGGGAACCTCCAGGCTTGGGAAAGAATTGCACCACCTGCTGAGAAAGAACTTTTGCCACAATCCTAAATGCCTATGGATAAAATACTAGTCGTACCTTATTAGGCATAAAGCAATAAAAGCACCATGTAAAAAAAGAAGCACAAATTCAATTGTGAGCCCTTGGAAGAATAGCAAGGGCAAAATGGCAAAATGACTGCAGTCCACCTGGTGCCCCGGGAAAGGCTTAAGCGCACACGTGTAATGCTGTATCCATACACATGACACGCATTTATCGTTGCACGTTAAAGTTTCTCTTCACAAGGCGCACACACACTTTTAGGGAGGAAACTGCATTACAATTAGGCTAATTATTCCTTCAGTTTGCACCATTTATGCCTCATAGCTCTCGGAAACAGGGCTTGGAGCTCTGTGCAGGAAATGGGGAGCCCTTGACTTCTTGTTGTTTATTAAATTTGTATACCGCCCCTCATCCGAAAGTACCAGGTTGGTTCGCAACAGAAAAAATACAAATTTAAGGATACGAAATACATTTTTAAAAACTGTCGTCACCCACCTTCTTTCTTCTCTCCCTCCCTTTCCCCCCACCAAGATGGGCTACTCCGGCTCAGCAGCAGAAACTTCCTCGGCCTCCCTCTTCCATCCACAATGAGCGCCAATTTCTCCTTTGCGCAGAAGCGTCTCTTTGTTGATGCGCGGTTGCCATGGATTCGGGTAAGCACCATTATTAAATATTTCACTTCCTCCCCCCCCCCGCCCGCAGCTCTCGTATGGCACAACCCGAAAGGATCGCGGCGGCGGCGGCGCGGTGAGAAGGGCATGACGGGAAATGTAGTCCAAGAGCCCGGATGCCGGCGTACGCAAGCCCGTCGGTGGCTTTAAAAAACAACAACGCAGAGGGGTGTCTTTGCTTTGCCCTGGAGAGGCAGCGAGAGGGTGACGTGTCAGCTCGTTAGGGGCGTGTGCAGAGGAGTAGCTCTAACCTTGCCTCAGGTTGAGGGGGAGGAGCCATGCAGCCGCCCCTGAGCGTGCCGTTGACGGACGTGGTAAGTGACGCGGGTAACCGCCACTCTCGCCCCGCGCGAGGAAAGGGTCGCTGTGAGGGGAGAAGGAAGAGGAAGAGAGTGGGCTGGGGGACGGTCGTGATGCTGCCATGGGGCTCCTCTGCCAACAAAACAGAGGGCATAAATTTAACTCTGCCATGAAGCCGGTGGGCACTGGAGTTGCCGTGGCCAATGAGAGGAAAGACTGGGTTCCCCCTAGTTTATTAACCCCTCCATCTTCCCCACCACCAAGAATATGGAGTGAGGTGGAGGAATATAATAAGTGAACCAAGACCTGGAAGACAAAAGTTCAAATGCCTACAGCGCCATGAAGCTCACATTGGGCCAGGCACCGTCTTCCAACCTAACCTAACCTACCTCACAGGGTCGTTGTGAAGTTGAAATGAGGAACCATGACTGCCATTTTTCTTTTTTCCTCCTCAGAGGATTAGTGGGGTAGGATATAAACGTGATTGTGAAGAAAAGATCTGGCCTGTCCACACCCAATTCTGAGTTGGGGTAATACAAAAAGAACACCAGCCCTAAAATAAAATAACAATAAAAAAGAATCTTGGAGACAACCAGGTTATATTAGCCTATGCACGTGAGACGTTACAGGCAGACAAATCCAACGTGTGGATGACTTGGGACAGGCTTGCCTGGGTGGGTTGTGTAAGGCATGCTTCTGTACTAAATACCTGCTCCAGAGTCTGATTTACAAATTTTTAATTGGTCTAAGTACTAGTATGCGGGTGGCGCTGTGGTCTAAACCACTGAGCCTAGGGCTTGCCGATCAGAAGGGCGGTGGTTCGAATCCCCGCAATGGGGTGAGCTTCCATTGCTCCGTTCCAGCTCCTGCCAACCTAGCAGTTCGAAAGCACATCAAAAGGCAAGTAGATAAATAGGTACCGCTGCGGTGAGAAGGTAAATGGTGTTTCTGGTTTCGCCAGAAGCGGCTTAGTTATACTGGCCACATGACTTGGAAAACCTGTCTGCGGACAAACGTCTGCTCCCTCGGCTAGTAAAGCGAGATGAGCGCCATAACCCCAGAGTCATTCATGATTGGACTTAACTGTCAGGGGTCCTTTACTTTTTAGTAGGGTTGCAATAAACGGCATGTAATACATATAAGATGCAACCTTAAATAATGATCAAATTAAGCAGTTATGGATTACATGTTAATAGGAGCCAACAGAAGAGACCTGCTGTGGCTATGGCCAGCATTTGTTGCACACTTCCCGCACATAGATGCTAAATGAGCTTCCCTTAGCAGATGGGGAACTGGAGGATTTGGACATTAATATGTAAACATGGTGCCTAGCACAATTTTCCTTCCACACATTTGCACCTTTTTTATTGAGTCTTAAGATTAAAAAAATGTCAACTGGCTTTTTGTGATTGCTGTCATGGCCTTATCATGAGACTGGATCTGAGCATTCCTGAGCACTCAAATCTCAGTTTGAGTTCAGTCCTGCATCATATTTCAGTTCCATTGTGAAGTAGAGGTGTACTGTATTAGTTTCATCTTATAAATGAGATTCAGCACGTTAACAACATACAGTTTTGATGCATGGAGAGTAGAATTGAGTGTTAGGCATGGGCCACACTCCAATCACAACTTGTGAAAATTTACAACCAAAGCAGCAGCACTTCATACTAACTCAGCTTTTTCTTACCCTCCAAATAGGTCATCTTAGAGACTATGGACATACTTTTTAGAATAAGAGGCGGCCTTGATCTGGCATTTCAGCTTGCCACTACTGATGGTGAGTCTTCATATCAAACACTGTGTTACAATATTATTACTGAAACTAATGTAAGGAAAATATTTCATTTTAACCAGATTGGCATGGGCAATAAGTTTTTGGTGGATCTAGGCAGGAATAATTTTTAAGGATTCAGGTCCTTTAAAAATATTTTTTGAAGGATCCACATACAGTTGCAATGCTTTGTTAGCACAACAGCAGCAGTGGGTCCTTTTGCACTATAACGTTCTCTGGTTTTGCATCAGCATATAAACAATACAAAGCAGCAGAAAGTGAATGAGCCAATGTTGGTTTTATGGGCAGCATCCAAAGTTGCTTCTGTAAGACATAAACCAGAAAATCAGCACAAGCACTTGTGCCTCTAATTTATTAAGTGGTTTGCTTGAAAAAATAGTTGAAGCTGAGTGAATCCATCCTCCTTCCCAAGTAAAGGATACCACAGAAAAGAAGGCAGAGCTTTGCATGCCAGAGGTTCCACATTCGGTCCCTGGACTATTTCCCTTTAAAAAGGTGAGATAGCAGATGATGGGAAAAACTTCTACCTGAGATACTGGAGAGTCATTACCAGTCAGACAATAATGAGGTAGATGGGCAAGTAGGCCTGAGGCAGTTTTATGCTTTCACTTTAACAAATAGTTTTGACAACTAAAGAAATTACTATTTCTTTTTGTTCCATCATCCTTCAGAATATTTAAAATGTGCAACTATCTCCCCATTTCCTTTCACCTTCTTTCTTTTCTCTGTGTGTTTTAGATTCGTCAACAAAAGAGGGACTGAAGTATGTTTTCAGTGATCTTTCAGCCAAACTGGCTTCAGATGTGCTGGTATTCAGAATCTGTCACAGCTCGGTGTATCTGTGGCCAAATAGTGGTAAAAATTCAGTTGCAACAGAGCTTACAGATGATTCTGCATGTAAGGAGATACTACGATTTATTCAGTGAGTATAGCTCAACAAAAATAAGAATGATTTTTGAGGGTTCTGATAGTATACGCATTTCTTAGTATGAGTTGATTTTATTACTGTTTTTCAGATTTGAGCAGGAAGATGATAACAAACGCAGGTTTTCAAAAAAGAAAGATAAAAAGTTACAAGAACTGGTATGTTTACCTTTCCTTGCTATGGCTTTGTAGAACTGAATGAGTGAAACCATTGTGACATTTTTATAGCCAAATCATGCATTTGGTGTAAATGCAGAAGTTTACACATTCAGATAAAATTTTAAAATCACATCTGCGATTGTTGACTTGCAGATCCTAACATGTTCCCAGTAGATCTGCCTGCAACAAAGGCATAGCAGTCCTGCTGTTTTGATATAATACTGCACTAGTAGATTGATCAGTCAACTCAACCCCCTACCCCACCTCCTTGCGAGTCTGTGGGCCAAATTGGAGGAGATGTTAGATATCTTTGTCTCTTAATTTCTTTTAAATGCAGTTACAGGGCACCTAATTTGGATTGGAACTGTGACGCTTGGAGGAGAAAAGTGTTTAACCCTTTTAACATGGTCAATTTTAAGAATGAGATTTCCCTCCACAAAAAATATTTTGTGCTTTGTTAAGGAAAACAAGGGCAGTAAACTGCACAGCTTGCACATTTAAATTTTTATTATTTACAGCAGCCTATAGTAAATATAGATCTTATGCTGGAAATGACAACTTCGTTAGATCCTCTTTCTCCAATCATTGAAAAAGAGAGCAGGGGGCATCACTACATAAGCATGACCTTGCCAGTTGATGCTGTTGTCTCTGTGTCTCCAGAAGAAGTGTGGCGGAAGTAAGTGGATTATGTATAAAGGATGTGCTTGAGTTTTTCTATTGTATGATCTTTGCATATTTATCATGCGAAGGTGGATATATCTCTGCTGAATTTTATAACATCCTTAAATCTACAGTTGTAATAATTAGGGCGAAAAGAAGTGTGCTGAATTGTTATCTTGTTACTCAGAAAAGTAGATGCCCAAGAAGCAGATTGTTCAGAAAGACTGAAATACCTAAAGGTGTGCATAATATAACCCAATGTTATAACTATAGGTTATGCACTTGGAAATAAATTAAAATCTTCTGGCAGGGAATAGTTATCTTCATTGGGCTTGAGAGAAGTAGTATTTCAGCTACACCATGATGCGAAAAGAAAAAGGCACAGTGTTGGTAAACTTTGGGCAGTGCTAGTTTATATTTATGCATACAAAATGTTATAAACCATTTAAAAGGTTTCTTCAGGCCTAAGCAAGGAAGAGATAGTACCGGTATATTGTACAATGTAATCCTGCCATGTATTGCAGTGAAGCATGCATCCTCTGTTTCCAATATATAGACTGCCATTTATATAAATATTAAACTGACTAGGTGCCAATAGGCAGGCTCGTTTTACTCATATATGTGCCAGTGTGTCGTTATTGAATTTAAACGAGTAATCCTCAGTCTGCATTGGTTTCTTTTAGTTGATTCCTGATACGGTCTCTGTCTGCCATATCAAAAGCTGCTGATAAATCTAAAAACGCTACAAAAAGCTGATTAGATGTAGCCTAAGTTTTTTATTAGACTCTGTAATCTAAAACATTGACCAATGTGCAAAATCCCCAATCAATTCTGTCATCTTGAGCACATGCTCCATGCCTTCTTTCGCATATGCACACTCTCCAGTCAATTCTCATTAACCCCAGTATTGATACAACTGTATAAAGTGTAGCAAAGCAGCTTATTAAGGGACTTTTTCTCCATCTCTTGAAGAATACACATAGTTTGAGAGTAAGAAAGTAATTCTGATTTTCTGGTGTTCTTAAATAGTTTCATCAATATCTTGCAGTGTACGAAGTCTCCTGGTGAATGCGATTCATACACAGCTAACTGATATGGAAAAGTGCATTTTGAAATATATGAGAGGAACAACTGTTGTGGTGCCTGAACAATTTCATTTCATGCTACCAGGAAAAAAACACCTTGTAACTGTCTCATATCCTACAGGCGTTTCTGATCAGCAATTGGAGACTTACAGACAGGTACCTTATGTTGAAAGATTGTTTGGATGGTGATGACTAAAACACGGCATAGTTAATAGTTTTACATTATATAGTTATTAATAAAAGTAATGTATAGTTCCCTTTATTAAACTAAACTGGACTTTAAAAAGTTATGTTAGGTTCTATGTACGGAAGTTCATTACTATCACGTGGCCTATGTCTACTGCCATACAGATTATGATGTATACTGTTTTACTGACTATGATATTTTTAAAATAGCACAAGAGTGGGGGACTGTTTTCAGCTTGAAGGTCACATCCCCCCATAGGAAACCCTCCTTGGGCTGCATGCTGATGCTGGGTGTGTCCAGAGGCAAAAGTGAGTGGATCAAGTGGATATAACTCTGATGTTTACCTTTGTAAAATAGGCTACCTCACAGCCATGCAGAAATCAGTTTTCTTCATTCACTTTTGCTTCTCCAACTTCCATCCAGTTAAGCAAGAGGAATTATGCAGGAGACCTTCCAGCCAGGCAAAAGTCTTCAAGGAATGTATGGAGCACATGTGGTGGGAGTGTGGCCTGAGGAGAGTGGGTGTGTCTTTTCTATATACAAATTGCTCTGTGTTTGCACAGGGATTCCTTATAGTGTGTGCTGGGCACTCAGTACAAACAAAGCCAGACATTGTGATACATGTGTGTGGCTACTGCCAAAAGCTGTAGTGAAGCATTGCTCCCTCCTCTGGTAACATGCACAGAAATGAAGGATGTAATGTGATGTCATCAAATTCCAAGCTTTCCCTTTTCCTGCGCTATTTCATGGGTTGCTTTTGTGGGGTGAGAGAAAGTTGGAGTGTGGTGCTGCCACATGTTTTTCCCTCTACATATTATCCAGGCAAAGAGAAAGAAGAAATGCTAGGTTACTGGATTCTGTGTTGTCCGCACATCTCTCACACCATCTAGTTCTTCCTTCAGAGAATCTGGGTAGAGCTTAATGGCTTGAAATCTGCAAAGGCTTTTCTGTTTCCTATGGATACACATTCTCTCATTTTTACCTTGCTTTTAGGAATTACATAGAAGGTTTAATCTACCGTTTGACAGACCTTATTTCCGAAGGGCTAATGCCTATCATTTTCCAGATGAACCATTCAAAGATGGATATCTCAGGAACCCACATGTACATCTCAATCCACCTGGTATAGAGTCTGGGATGGTGAGTTTCATTTGTACTTGCTCTCATCTAATGGCCCAATAAGGAAACAGGTACATATGCTGACTGCATTGCAAGAGAACTGGGAGCCTCTTCTTGGGAATTTCAGTTAACATTTTGACATTGATGGTTCTTCCTAGTGCATGCATACTTAGCGGTATCCTAGTTCCAGTCCCCTAATTTGCAAACAAATTCACTGTCTTCTACTGGGAAATATACTGGCAGTATTGAAAGGAGAGGGGAGACAGCACAGAACACACGATGGGACTAGCTGCTCTTAGCTCTCCCCAGACTTCTTTCCCAATGGCTGTTCCACATGGTCATTAAACATTTTATGACAAATTATGAAGAATTACTACCTGATTCTGCTTGCTTTCCTGTTGGCTCTCCATCCTTTTCCCCCTTTAGTAGCATATTGTTGTTGGTTTTTACAGCCCCCAGAAATCTTTAATAAAAATACTTTTAATAAAATTAGTAATAGCAGTAATAAAAATACCAATTTGAAATACAAAATTACTATCATAATATTCTGAACCTGACTTGCAGGACTACAATGTGCTTTTTCTTTCCTACCCAGGTGTATGTGGTATATGGCACATATAGTTACCATCATTACATGCAGGATCGTATTGATGATAATGGCTGGGGCTGTGCCTATCGGTCTCTACAGACTATATGCTCATGGTTCAGGCATCAGGGATACATGGACCGATCAATACCAACACACAAGGAAATCCAACAGGTACTGAAGACTTCCAGGTTTGGGTTCCTTGAAAAACAACAGCTCCCAGTGGAATTGTATGTTTGGAATAGCCCACCTACACTTACCAGACTATATGCAGTTTGACATTTCTGAAGCTTGCATTTTGAATGATTGGGTGCTCCGCTTTATGTTTGTGCCCCATCACTGCAGCACTGAACGGGCAAACCTGTGTCTGCATTCCACTTTAGATTAGAAATGGACACTTACATGATAAAAGGCTCCTGTATACACCATGTTGGGCAGAAGGATCCTAGTCTAGCCTAAAATTATAGTTACATACATTTTCTATTTTGATATTTATCATATACTGGCTAAAAGCAAACTTTATTATGGAAGGGACAGTTTTGGCGTCAGATGTAACATCTTAAGTCAATTTTAGCCTAAGAAGCTTTTCCACAGCACACCTTATGTTAATAAAATTGCATATCAATTGTGATGAATAATTATTTAATTTTGTAAATATATTTTCCCCTCTTTACCCCGTTTCTAATAAACCAGATTTAAAATAGTAGTAGACAGGTAAATATTATTATTATTATTATTATTACTACAGTTATGGTACAAATGATTTGTTACTTTTGTATTTTCGTTTGTGGTGGTTACAAAGGCTCTAGTTGATGTTGGAGACAAGCAACCAGGATTTGTTGGATCACGCCAATGGATTGGTTCTATCGAAGTGCAGCTTGTACTGAACCAACTCCTAGGGATAACTTCAAAAATACTCTTTGTCAGGTAAGAATGCTCATGGGGGAAACTGAGGAAGGGCTGCAGCTCAGTGGCAGAACACATGATTTGCATGCAAAATGTTCCAGCTTTAATCCCCAGCATCTCTAGGTAAAGCTGGGAATTAACTGCTGCTTGAAACCCTGAAGAGCTGCTACCAGTAAGTGTAAACAATACTGAACTAGATGGATCAATGGTCTGACTCAGTGTAAGGTAGCTTCCTCTGTTCCTAATTTCTAACAAAACCAAGATGGCTCAGGAATCGGGTGAAGAAACAAGTGCCTCAGAGGATGAGCCATAATACCAAAGCACAAATCATAGAATACACCATTAAACGACAGATAAGGCACCAGATTCCATGTTAACAAAAAGAAGCACAGTCAGCACCTGAGTGGATAGTGATGGGATATTTTGTCATTTAGTGACCATTATGTTCATTATCAAGAGACTGTAAAAATATATTGATTCTGGATTGTTTTGTTTATGGTGGTTGTCAGAGGTGAGTTGTAAGTGCTAGCGGAGATAAGAGTCCGGGAATCCAGCCATATTTACAAGATTTATTGCTTCTTTCATGCTATTTACAATCAGCTCTGAAAGTCCATTCCGATCATGGCAAGTCAGTTGCCTCAACTAAAGTTGCTTTCGGTTTCCCCCAGCATAACCACCTCCTAAGCCCAACCCCTCTCCTTCCTCTCTTACGAGAGTGGCTTGGCACCGGAAGTGCCTCCCCCCCTCTCAGATTCATTGCCTCCTGACAGCCTTTCATCACCTTCCTCGTCCGAGGAAGAACAGCTACTAATTAATGGAGGTTTGTCTCGATACGTTCCCATTCTCTCCCCCTTCTCTGCCTCCCATTCCCTGACAATGGTCAACTCCAAAATGGAATTAAAGACAGGACATTTTATTCAATAGTAATTTCATTCTAGACCAAACACAACATTTTTACCATTGATATAATACTATAACCTTTGTAAAATTGATTTCAGTTTCTAGGTAAAAAAATATCCTAATGTTATTTTCTGTCACTGTTAGAAGCAGCATACAGTTTGCTTTAGATTTTTATTATTGGGACTGACAGACATCCCAGCAGTGATGTTTTTATAGCAGTTGTAGAGCACCTTGGAGATTTCCCTTTAATGTGTAGTCTATGTGCTGTTTTAAGTGATTGCAAAGAAAAAAACCAAGCTATATAAGTTCCTAACTTGTGTTATGAAGAGTGCAGCTTAATACACTGACCTGTATGCTGTATAGTTTCGTGAAGAATATATTGAAAAAAGATAAAGCTTGGTAACTATTTGTCATAGGTGGCACTGCCAATATCATTCCTTCCAATATTTCTCTAATGAAAATAGGAAAGTCCAGTATACCATTCATCTGCTGAAGTACTTAAAATGAGGTGTGTTTTTTCAACTGAGAATGCTGCAACTGACACATTGCCAATAGTTCTGACTACGATGTTTTCAGGGGAATCCATTGCAACACACCTTAATCCATTGCAACACACATGCTCAAAAACACAGGTCAGGGGGGAGGCAGAGGGGGCTCAGTCTTTTGTGACGTTACTGTTTTTAGCAGGCTATGGTGTGCATGATTGTGAGGAATATAATAGATTGGAACTTGTGGCTTTCATGAACCCCCCACCCCCAATTTAAGCACTAGCTGAAAACGACGACAACTTTTTTCTTCTAGCCAAGGGTCTGAGCTGGCTTCTCAGGGAAGAGAACTTGTTAATCATTTCAAGACTGAGGGAACACCAGTGATGATTGGTAAGATTTTAAATACCACCCAATCCACATTATCCCAACTTTTCTATTCTAAATATGCTACTGACCCTTTAAAAGCAGTGTGTTGGCTTTGGAGATTCTGGTTACTTTCTTAACTCCTGTCTTGGGACTGTGCTACTTTAGCACACAGATAAGGGATTGCTTGTTAAATGTTTGAATGTTCTGCAACTATTTTTCCTGGGAGAAAATAGCACATCCAGGAAAAGCTGCTTCTACCAACATTTTCCTTTTTATAAATGGACACCTTTCAGTCATGTGATCCTATTTGCATTTTGAGGTGATGCAGTCTTGGGAATTGCTGTATCATGTGAGAATTTGGAACACATGGCTCAGAATGTTAAGCTATGTCTGTGGCAACTTTTTTTCACTACTGACATGTTGAGTCTATTAGTTCAATGTTCCATTTCCAAAGAACATCTAAGCTATTCCTGAGATATGTTTTTGCTGGTCCTTACTAAGAAATCTATTATTCAAAATAATGACCTTAACTTAGAAACTGAAAAAGGCTATTCTTTCCCCAATTGTTTTTAAAGTCTGCAGGATATACTTAATGATTTCCAATCTGGGAAGCTATAAATTGAGTAACTTCTTTTAGACTGCAGTCCTATCCTATGCACACTTTTCTGGGAGTGGACACAACTGGACATCCTTCTGAGTAAACAAACATAGGAATGCAGTGTTTAAAAGCAGAGCTTGTCAGGAATCTTTAACAAAAACCTCTGTCACCACATGATTGTGAATCATGGTCTTTCTTTTGTTTATCTTGCTTTTTAGATAGCTTTGAAGTGGCTTAACAGCAGTAAAGAAACATCTGGCCTGTGATTTATTTTTATTTTTTATCCCGTGTGTGGCTCCTTAATGAAAAAAGATCTTCTGGAGTCTTAAGCAAGATAAGAGTCCCTGTATAGCTGTAGGTGACCTTCATCCACTAGTTGTTTCTGTCCCATCTTACTTTGGAAAGTAAGTCTAATTAAGTCCCACCTTAAGAAATAAGATGGGCTTAATTAAACTTACTTTCCAAGTGACCTTGTAATTATCCATACAATTTGAATGTCTTCCTTGCCATGTTTTCACAAATGACACTTTTGGCAAAGATGTACTGCACCCAGGCATGCTTTCAGAGGATTTCCACATCAGCTGCCAAAGGTGTCGCCTGTAATTTTAGACATTCTATTCAGTTTCCAAGGTCCAAGTCTGTAGAAGAGGGAGTGGGAGCAAAATGATTCAGTTCTCTCTGCTCCAATTTGAACATCACAAGAGTGGTGCTCTTCACGTGGTGGAACAACACAACTTCCATTCCCATTAATGGGATAACACAACTTATGAGCTGGATAGTGTACATCAACATCCAATAAGATAAAGGACCTACTTTTACAGTTTTATGCTTTAGCCTATGCTTGCCCACTTGATGTGCTCTTATGTCAGCCTCCAGAGACAGAAAATGCAGTGTTCACTTGTTCATTTTTTCATCTCTTCAGCACATAGTTCTCAACTTGCTGTTGACACTGTTTTATGCAGATGTTTCATACTGTTTGGGCATATATATTTTTAGACTTCCTAACCTCTAGAAAAGACTTTTTTTTTTTTAAAGGATCATACATGATGTTTTCTTATCAGTTGTTTTGATTGAAAACAAAACAGAGTGCAATTCTAAATATACTTACTAAGGAGTAAGCCCCATTGAACACAGTTGGAATTCCTTCTCAGTTAACTCATTTTATTTTCAGTCCTGTGCATGTTTATCTATAATAGCTTATTTCTTGCACAAGTCCATTTTGGCTACCATGCACTTCCACGAAAGGCTTTTAGAATTGACTTTTAGATGTTCAGAAATGAAAATTTCCTTCTTGACTTCAGAGGATCATTTAAAAGTATGATTAGCAAATGATAATTTTGTCTTTGAATGTACTGTCTTACCTCTCCATCTTCTTTCTCTCCTCTTCTCTATTCAGGTGGTGGAGTCTTGGCTCACACAATATTAGGAGTAGCATGGAATGAGATCACAGGGCACATAAGATTTCTGATCCTGGACCCACATTATACCGGAGCAGAGGATCTGCATATTATATTAGAAAAGGTGAGACTCTGCCTTCACATTCCAACTGCATATGTTAATACTGAAAGGGAACATTTTGTGACATGTTTTTAAAAGTCTGTGATTCACTTCTCTATCATTAACCATGACTTTTTGCTTCATCTTTACCTGACAAATGGTGATGTAACTGTATCTTGTTTGGAAACAAGCTATCTTCAAACCATTGTTTATGAAGCTGGTTTGTTGCAATAAGCCATGCTTAAGATTAATTACAATTTAGGCTTCAGACATAATTTTAAACAATAGTTAATCAAAAGTGGGTGCAAAAGTTTCCAATCTGGCCATGATGGGGAGAGAAGAGGAATTGCAAGCCAAGGTTTCCTGCTGCACATTCCCAACAGAGCTGAATAAACCAAGAAGTGTTTTGTTATCCTTTGTGTGTATGAATTAGTAGAACAAAGCTTCTGACATTCATCTCAATTTTACTAAAATGCCAGCTATTTTATTAGAAGCAACAGACTTAACAGTGTAATGTTTTTCTTCTATACAGGGCTGGTGTGGATGGAAGGGTCCAGATTTCTGGAACAAAGATGCTTATTATAACCTGTGTCTTCCTCAACGACCAAAAACTATTTAAATGGCTATTTAGATGATCATGGTGAACTACCAGAAGTTCTGTAAATACATATAGGTACACAAACACACTTAAGCAGTGATTATTTAATTTACCTTAACATAGTATTATGTTGCTCACCACCTGTTAAAATAAAAATGCTAATCCAATATATTAAAGTCCAAATAATGAGGGGGGAGGGGTTCAAAAAAAATCTGATTATTAAACATTGTTATTTCCTAACAGTGCAATCCTATACATATCTGTTCAGAGTCACTGCTCAACAAAATCATGTACATTTTAATCCTCTGTTTGAACACTGGTTAAAGGTATTTGTAAAGTGGATCTTGGGACCTCATAACAATGCTAATTTTAAATATACCATATTTGTTCCTCTGCACTCGAGTGTATTTGTGTGTATATATGTGGAGCATTTGTTGTGGAAGGAACAAAATACCAATCACAAAATCAGTGCTAGATGTCACATAGTTACTTGGGGCATAGATGGTAGAAAGAGAGGGCACAATTTATACATATATATATTTTATTGTGTGAATACAGGAATTAATATTTTTTAAAATCTTCTTCAAGAAGCAACCCATTCTCCTTCTTAGAAGGCACTGTTCAAAATATTTGGTTTTGAGATGCAGACTTATTTCTTTGTAAAGTTCTTAGTGTTCACACGTCTTCTTGCAGTAATTGGCTTTCACGTGACATCGAAGACTTCATCTTTATTCTATTTAAATGCAAAGAGAAGATTTGTATTTCATATATAAATCGTGCATCTGAATTAAACATTTGCTAACCTATACATAGCACTCGGTTTCAGCTTGGCATATCTCAGTCTTAGAAATCAGTTTTGTGGGAGGTAGTTGCTTATTCCCACTGCCTTTGGCAGCGTAGGTGCTCTCCCCCTACCCCTTGCATACAGATTCACCATGACAGGGTTGTTACAGCTTTCTTTTCTGTTTAGAACATTTTGTGTCAGTTTTCCAACTTACATAAGCAGTCAACATAATGACCATAGAGAATTTTTAAATTAAAAAAAATCCCTTCAGAACTTTAACAAAACAAAAAAAAAGCAATACCTGAACACACAGAACAAATCATCCAATTAAAATGAGTGGAGATGACCAGGTATACAGTACCAGCATAAGAGCGCAATAATATGGCTATGAACTGTAAACATTTTTTTAAATTGTTTGGGGCTGTGTTCTCAAAATGTCAAGAGAGGCTGCAGTAGCCTTTAAAAGAGAGTTGAGAAGGCCTAGGCAGATACGTGAAATACCTGTTACCTGTCCTGGAAGGAGCCCTTCTCCTTAATTCTAAGTGCATATTGCTGTGTGGTGAGGAAATGACACTCTATATAATGTTATATAAGTGTGCAATCTGTATTCCTCACATTGGAGGAGGTAATATTAAATGGGTGCTGTTTAAGGAGGACGGATAGGGTTCCTAGACTGGGACAGTAATACTAAACACTCTTACTAGGAATTTCCACTAAAATCGAGTGGGCTTGCTTCTGAGTAAGCCTGTTCAGGATTAGGTTGCATAACTAACAGTATCTGAAATATATTTTGTACTTGCACTACTGTGATTGAAGTGTCCTAGGGCAGGGGTGGGTGAGAAACCTTGGGCTCAGGGGTCAAATGTGGCTTTCCAGGCCTTCCTGTCTGGTCCTGGGGCTCTCTCCAGGCCACACATCACACCAGCTGTGCTTCATCTCCACCCCCCACTTGAGTGGTTTTGCATGGCTGGAACATGCCCTTGAATTCTGGTTTCTTGCTTGCCAGGTTAGGTGGGTGTGGGTGTGGGTGTGTAAGCTAGCCTACTATACAAATGAATATGTCAATTTTCACTGTGCCTGTTTGATACATCTTTTATCAGATAGAAGTTGCGTCAGATAAAACATTGTGCTTTGAAGAAGCTGCCGTGTATCTGTTGTCTAGTGAAAGCTTAGTGCCATACCATTTGATCTCCTCCTCTTCTCGCTTATGGATCTCTTGCTTTCATATGCTCGTTTCTGTCTTGCCTCTGTGTCTTTAAGCAAGCTGTCATCATGCAGAGAGTAACTAAGCTGTGTTATTGCTTTCCTGTTTTGAATGTGTTTCATTTTCCTGAGGAACTGTGCACAGTCCAAAAATCCAAAAGCCCATGCAAGGTCTTCTGCTGTTTCACCATTCTTATTGCACAAGCTAAGAAAAGAGAATTAAAACAAAATAAATACATTTGACTGAATGATGATGATTATTATTATTGATAAAGTAATGCAAAATAACAAGCGTTAAGTGAACTATTATGAATTTAAAAAACACTTTTAACGGTGCAATTCCGTAAATACCCAAAAGTGGGTCTCAATGAGTTTAGTTGGGAATCCTGTGCATTGTTTTGGGGGAGTAAATTACATTGAATCCAATAGGACCTACTTCTGGCTAAATGTGTAAGATAGAGCTACATGGCTCTGATCTAACTAAAGGTCATGATTGTTATGTTGAAATCAACATGACAATTTAGGCATAGCTAATTTTAAGCCCCCTTGATTTCAGTAAGACTTAAGTATATCTAACTAAAGTATATTTGGACCTAAAGTTCCATCCTTTACCAAACTTGCCTCAAAGGCCATTGTAAAAGTTGTATGCAAGTGATTATTCATAAATTAAACTGCAATTCGAACTTGTACAGCATATTTTAATTAATCAAAATAACTCCACTGTAATAATTCCCCTCTCCTTGCATTGTTTCCCAAAACTAAAGAGATCAGTTATATTTTTGTTGTTGTTGCTAACTTTAGGATTCATATTCAAATCTCCATTCACATTTCCTCAATATAAACGCCATAGCTTTGTTTGGATACATTATGTGATTAGTAATTGAATTTGTACACTTACTCAATGTCAGCATGACTGGCAACCAGCAAAGTGAGACACTCCAAACTCCCAACTTTAGCTGCCTTGTGAATTGGAGCTTCCCCAAGCCAGTCCTGAATAAACAGAGAGGTTTCCTTTTGTAAGCACAGCCATACATAATGGTGTAATCAGTTACTATAAAAGTGGTGGGGATCTCTAGCGTAGTGCTGTACTACTTAAAATTGCCACAATCTCCAATCCAAAAATCCTTATCTTTAAGGGCACAATTCACAAACCAAGACCAACTCCTGCAACAGAATTAGACGTACAGCCCACAGTTCTCTGGATTGGGCCCCACTGGGAAAATATGTGCATTGTAACCAAACTTACTCTCTCCCCAAATAGTGATTTTTTACATTTTGCTATACAATGGCACCTAGTATATGCTAAACCGAAGTACTATCAAAACTATTCTAGCATATCTAGCTTTGCATCAACCTTGTTCGTAGTGTTAAGTGTTACACTAGAATGGACAGCTATTGTTTAAGAGGATGAGGTCTGTTGGAACCGGACTGCCTTCCTGAAAAATAGAAAACATAACTTATACCTGTTGGTTCAGATTGGCTCCTGTCTGCTGTTGCCAAAGTAGGAAGAAAGCATGTCCTCCACAAGCAGCCAGATGAGCTGGGGACTGACAAAATCCATCAGCAGCTAAATTCACTTCAGTCCCAGCTTCCAGAAGGTGGCTCTGCCCATCAGCCTACAAGTCAGATAAATGTTTGAAACATTTATTGTTCCTAGGTGTGATTTACCACCCCCCTCAGTAGCAAAAACCAAGGTTCCCAATAAATTATGATGAAAATGATGAAGCATTTGCTGCGTTGTAGAAGTGTGACTTCTCATTGATCTTAAATGTCTGTGAGTTTAACCGGCAATGTTAACATCTAGAAATCTAAAAACACATTAAAAACAAAGGCTTTCCAAGCATTACCTCTGTGTTGCAATCCAACAGTAACATTATTTCTTCTTGCCTTCCTCCAGTATACTTGCGGCAAAAGTTGTGGTTGGATTGGTTGACTTCCAGCACAGCTTTACTCTATCCAGTGAATCTAACCCAAGACTGGCAGTGCCAGCTAAAGAACAGAGAGACACTCTGGCTGCAATCCCGCCCTCTCTGCCGGGAGCTGTCTTTTGCACGTACACAAACAAGAGCACATGCAACTCGACCCGCCTTGCTGTGTCCTGATTGGCTCCTGCTGTTGCTTTCCGCATGCATCCTGTGTTTGCTATGCTTATGAGATGGGAGGCAACAGGAAAGACTTATGGCAGGTGGGGCAGCCATGGAGCACAGTACAGCTAGACACGTATCACACACCCACACACTGAGCCACCCGCAGTCTGCCCCCCTCCCCTTGCAGCATCCTCCAGAGAAGAAGGCAGGAAGCAAAACAATCCCTCTGTAATAAGTATTGACATTTCCTTCTGAAGTGGGTCTTGGATAAAATACATTGGAGATACTTAAGCAAAGAAATAAGGCCAGAAACCAGAAAAGATAATGCTGCAAAGCATTAAAACAGTCAACTACTGGTACCCATAAAGGCACTAAAAAAAAAATAAGCAACACCATAATCGCTTACCTGGATATAGGGAAGGAGGTAGCCAGCTGAGCCTCTCTTAGCGAGGTACTTCAACAGAGTGGATGCTATCACAAAGAAGGCTGGCTGGCTGGGTGTCACTGCTCACAAAAGCTCGGAATGAAGGGGCATCCATAGCAGCTCCTCTCTTATTTAAGGTATGAGAAAGCCTATGGGGGAGTGCTTCTTCAGATATCCTGGACCCAGATCATTTCAGCCTTCATAGCTCAATGTTATAGACATGTTTCTTTAAAGAGCGTTCAGTGGGGCTTAGCATTTATTAGCAAGTGTGTTTAGGATTGCAGCCTTAAAGGTTAAAGACTAATACTGAATTGGACTCAGGACCTCATGGTAATCAGTTTGAGAGCTGGGAGTTATACCTGCTAGAACCAGTTAGCCAAGGATAAAGCTATGCTGGGCAGCCTAATGGGAATCTTAAGTTCTATGATCAGCCACAGGCTCTATATTTAAATGCCTTTAAACTGCAGCCTGTTTCTATAAGATGTGAAGCAAGAAGTCTTACAATGTGATTGGTCATGAAAACACTTGAAGCAAATAATTCCATATGGAGCAGATACTAAAGTGTAAAAGTGGTTCACTACTTCAGCGCTGGTGTCTCAAATATTTGAGAGGATCTAGGCAGAAGTAGTGAGCAAGAAAATAATTTGGACTGATATTTGTCCATGTTCTAGTAAAATAATGATTAAAAACTAATTGCTTCATATATGTTATCTCTAGTAATCCTTACAACAGCCCGGTGACGTAGCTGAGTGCTGTTATTTAGGAGACAAATAAATAGTGGCTTGCCTAAGGCTGCAAACTGGTTAATGGCTAAGAACCAAACTATAGGTGTGGCTAAGATCAGTAAACAGGAACTTAGTCGGCTGAGAAGCTGGGGTTTTCTTCACCCCCTTCATTTTCCTGGTTTTAAATTACTGCTTCCTCAAGTTGCTATTTGTGTCCCATGTGGGGAAATGCATACATAAGTTCATTCTGAATTAGTAAGGGGGGGGGCTTCCTGACCCCCAGAGACAGTTAATGGTTGCCAAGCACAGGATCTTTCATCCACGCAAGCCAACTCATTAGGTTGGGATAACAGCTGCTCTTGCTACCCTTTGTGTTTCTTATGCCGGACTTGGCCTAAGTATATTATTACATATGTCCATACAAGTAAACAATAGAACTGGAAACATCTAGAACCATATAAATGGAAACCATATTGCTTAATGTTCAGTTTATAAATAGTATCTATGCATAGCAATGGTGGTTACAAATAGAAACCAAAGAACTTGAGTTATTTCTCAGAAACCTCTAGATACTATTGACAGTTTACAGTTCACAGTAATCCATCTAGCACACTGTACTGACTTAAAGGCAATAGACGGCATAAAGAGTTTATTAAGAAAAGGGAGTTAAGCAAAGAAATATCTAACAATTAGCAACTAAGATAGTAAACGGAGATTATTCTTACATCACAATCCCTCACATTTTATTATGGGTGTGTATGCCAATCTCCTGCAGGGACCACTGTAGTATATTCAACACACTAAGTTAGGAGAATACATTCAGGTAGACTGCCCACAGGACTTAGTTTTTTAAATTTATAAAAGCTTATCTGGCCTATGATAAAAACTAATTCTAAACCTAGCAAATACATTCACTAAAGTTGTTTGTTTTCAGAAATATTTCCTGCCCCATGCACACATGCAGTATCTTCGTTTGACGGCTTCTTGATGAAACAGAATCAAGAGCTAATTCAGTCTGGTTTCAATCCTGATTTTTCGACAGAATTGTTAAGATGCTACATAATGAAGCAAGAAGAAAGCTTTGAATCTTGCTTCTCCTCTTGTCTGGGTCTTGTGTAATTGGGAAGATGTGTGCATCTCCCCCCTGCCAATTTACAGAAGAGCTAGAAATGTAAGAGAGAACAATTTACACTTTGTCACTGCCACTGTGGTGACAAAGTGTGAATTTAGCAGTGCTATATTTAGTGAGATTGTCCATGTAATGTTTAAAAGTATAAGACTGTGATGTGCCTTTGGCTACTGCTATTCTAAAGAGAATCTAATTCATTATTGCTAGCAATAGTCACCCCCCCTCCCTTTATGGGCATAATTCATTCATCACAGAAACCAGCAGTGAGTCCTAAATATTTTAGCACATATCTGTAACGCAGGTTTCCCAGCACCTGACACACACTACCTTTTATGAGTAGATAGCGCTTTCCTGTAAAACACTATAGTTGTAATTTTAAACTAGAAATCTTAACAGTCACAGACATGGGAGGATGCAGTTTGCATACTGCTGCATTTCCTCTCAAATTGACCGTCTTGCAGGGAGTCACTGCAGCGTCTCGCCTAGACAGGAACGACAGAATTAAAACATCAAATTTGTGCACCTCCCTCCGGAGATACAATTTGAGGCCACAAGTGCAGCAACATAACAGAATAAAATTACGTAAGTAATAACAAAACTCCCGCAGTCAAAGCCATGCAGTGAAATGCTTCAGGAAAGCTGATACTGTGAGCAAACCATAAGGCATATATATCAATTGGAATTAGCTATTACAAACTAGATTATTCCAGTAGCTTCCTGCCTCATATGCTCAGAGGCACTCTTCTTTTTATCGTCACTTTCCCAGAAGCCCCTCTTGATTTTGGCTAGGTTGCAATGATGTAATTATGTATTTATTTATTTTGAGGGACTGCCCTGTTTAGCTGCTGAGGAGACAACGAAATGCTCCCTCGGTTGCAGGCAGCTTCTGGAGTGTGCGCGCGCACTGTCCTGTCATCCCTCCTCTTTACCGGCACTGAGGAGGATGAGGATGAGCGGGGCGGGGCTGTCTGTGACCTGACCGCGCGCGCGCGCGCCCCTCGTTTGCCCCGCCCTCAGCAGAGCGAACAAAGGATTCCCGCTCCCTCAGCGCCTCCTCCCCACTCTCCTCTCCCCGCCAAGTGCTCGCGCGCGCGCCGCAGCACTCGAAGAGGCGGGGCACTGGGAGAGGGCGGGCCTTTCTGGGAGGCTCGAAGGCGGCGTTGCCAAGCAACGCGAAGCTGGCAGGAGGCGGGCGCTGGGAAGCGGGAGAGAGAGTGTGAGTGAGCGCGCGCGGGAGGGCGCAGTTCGCCATGGGAACCGGTGGTCAATTCAGTGAGTCGCGCGCGCGGGGGAACCGAATCGGGCGGGTTCATTTTGCCTTTCCATGCACTTCTCTCTCTCTCTCTCTCTCTCCCCCGCCCCCGCGCACACAACAAAGCGCCTGGTTTTGCCCCCTCGCAAATGTTACATGGTACATAATTTTTAAGTCCTGGGTTTCGAACGCCACTTGGAAGTCACACACGCATCAGACCCCGAGGCTAAATCGCAGGTGCACGGGTTAATTTTTTGGTGGCGCTGGTGTACTCTGCGCATGGTCAGAGGGCATACCGCAGTCTCGGCCCTAGAAGCTCCGGTTCGAATTAAGACACACCCGCCTTTCCCTTTTTCGCTCACCTGTCGGGGGCAATTCCTCCGACGAGACGTGGGGAAGGAAAGGGACACCCTCGCCCTCCAGATTTCCGAAGGAGGGGTGAGGGGCAGCCATGGTCACAGAATCGTCGTCGTCGTCATCATCAGATCACTGACCACCATCATAATAAGCTGAGAGGGTCCATATAGTGCTGAGGAAGTTCACTCAGGATCGGGGACCTTCTAAAACGGGATAAGTCACCAGTGCGCCTAGTTTTTCTTCTTCTTCATGTCCTACATGTGTGAGAATCTCGCTTTGTAAACAAAACGTCCCTCCAGACTTAGAGGTTAATCCCTTTCCGTCTGTGAACAAGGCATTTATTTCCACAGTAATAGGGTCAGGAAAGTCCTTTTGACCTTAGCAGGACTCTTTGCTAGGATCCTGGCAACAGACTGTTGGCACAGATTGATATTGGAGTAAGTTTTAGGCACTTCTTGTTGGCCTTTGTCTGTTTCGAGAGACAATGGAGTGCACCTCCAGGGGGTGAAGTCAAACGGCTGCGTTAGGACTGAACTGACGCCCCCCAGGGCGCAAGTCTGGGAAGTGTGTATGGAGGTCCTGGGATGTGGGTGGCACTGTGGTCTAAACCACTGAGCCTCTTGGGCTTGCCAGTCAGAAGGTCAGCAGTTCGAATCCCCACGACGCGGTGAGCTCCCATTGCTCTGTCCCAGCTCCTGCCAACCTAGCAGTTCAAAAGCATGCTAGATACATAGGTATCTGCGGCGGGAAGGTAAATGGTGTTTCCGTGCGCTCTGTTTTCTGCCGCGGTGATCTGTTGCGCCGGAAGCGGTTTAGTCGTGCTGGCCACATGACCCAGAAAGCTGTCTGCAGACAAACTCTGGCTCCCTCGGCCTGAAAGCAATATGAGCACTGCAACCCCATGGTCACCTCTGACTGGACTTAACCATTCAGGGGTCCTTTACCTTTACCTGGGATGTCCAGATGATAAGACCCCCCCCACTCTTGGCCTTGCTGCTGTGGTCCAAACAAAGGCTGTGCAATGCATTTGTGGCACCAGGTTGGCTGCAGGAGTTGCCAGAAGGAGGTGTACAAGATGCTATCCGACAGTCTTCGTGACTCCACACTGGATTTGTGTAGGGTTTACTCCTGAGCCTTTTCTTCTCCCAAAGATATCCCACAGAGCAGTGGAGGTTCAGGATTAGAGTTTTCCTTCTTCTAAATTCCCAGGTGGACAAGTCCCATCTGCCCATCACTTCCCTCTCTACAGCATGCGCAGAAACCACCTTGTTGACCGTTGGGCCCAGTATCGGTCTTATCCTCTCAATCTGTCAGAGCCTGTCTTCACATGCAGGGGAAGTCCCTAACTCAGCAAGGGTTTGAGACCCAGTCGTAGCCATTGTGTGGCCACTGTTGCATGCTGACAGCTTCTAGGAGCCCCCAATGAGAGTTGAGTGCACTGACTTGAGCTTCTTGGGGAAAACGCAGGTTAAAAACATACAAAATAAATGTCATTATGTTTCAGGGAAGACTTGCCAAGAGATTTGTTGCTACCATTATACAATGGGGGAAACCAAAACTATGGAACCTCGTAAGATTTTGCGCCAGGTCCTGTCACACTGAGAATGTTTGTGCTGTTCTGGATTTAGAATGTGTTTTATAAAAACCAGATGACAGAATGAAGGGAAGTTGATGGCTTGGTCCAGCTAAAAATTTATAAAGGGGGATATGATGTTATAATAATGTTAAAAATGGAAAAGCAATAAAAATATTATAAAAAATAGAGAATGTTTGTGCTGTTCTGCAGAGCCCAAGGCAGGGCAGAGCAAACTTTTTAAGAAAAGTATACAAGATGACCCCCCCCCCAAGTTTGCTTTCTCTTATCCTATTTTGAGCCCTTGTTAGTAAAAGTTTTCAATTGCCTGGAAATGTGTATGTATGTAGCCAACAGCATATCTGCTTGTTTTCAAATGTTGGATTAGTGGTATGTGTAGACATCAGGCATCTCTTTTTTTTTTGCCTCCTGTTTCAAATCAAGCCTCTCAACTGTTTGGAGCCTGGCCAAGATCAGGCAAAGTGTAGAAGGTGCCCTTCATAACAAGAGGCCTTTGAAAGCTTCTGGCACTGTGCTTTCCCATAAAGGTAAATGTGGGTAGTATTAAAAATCAGCATGAGATGTTCCTCTTAAGAATAGAACCTTAAAGGATTAGATTGTAGCTTCTGAATCTCTTATTTTTGATGGCTGAATGAGGCACAAGTAGTAATTATTCTGTGGTCCCCACAATCTCCCAAGCCTGGGCATTTACTCCTAATTTAATCATTTATTCCAGAAAGCAAGAGTTTGAAAGAAAGAAATGGAGCTAACCAGTGAGCCTTTGCCTCAAGAAAGTAGAAGCGAGACCATTCTCCAAACCATCTCAAAGGTCCAGATTTCTGAATCAGGAGAGTTCAAACCTGACCCAGGTAATTATTATTCATTAAATTTGTATACTGCCCTTGATCTGTAAATCTCAGGGTGATTTACAGCATACAAATACACTACAAAAACACTGAATACATAATAAGAACAAGAACAAAACAAACCAGTAACACACACCCCAACCTCCCACAAACACATTTAAAAGGACCTAGGATGTTAGTCAACCAAAGTCCTGGTTGAAGAGGAACTTTTTCACCTAGCACCCAAATATAATGAAGACCCTGGTGCCTAGGCTGTTCGATTTTTCATTCCATATCCCATGGATGGAATCATTAAAAAAAAATCTGTTCACAGTAGTTGGCTGGGGCTGATGAGAGTTGGAGTCTCACAACATCTGGAGAACAGATTCCCATCTCTGCTGTGAAGTAACACTCCTTCGCACTGCAGCTTCTGAGCTGAATGGAAGCATATTTTTTAGTAGAGAGGTGATGTTGCTGCTTCTTTACTTCATCTGTTGCGGTGTATAAGCAATGTATATAGCCACACACATCCTTTTTAGTTGCAGCCTCTAGCCCACACCCAGGGTGAGGATGAATGAAGGGAAGAGATGGTGCTTGTGCGTTTGTGTGAATGGATGTGTGTGTGTGTGTGTGTGTGAGAGAGAGAGAGAGAGAGCGAGCATGAATGAGGAGTATCCCACACCCACCCACTTCTTGCTTTGGTCCCACTTATCGCCACCAGTATTGCAGCCCTTAGCTCTGAAAAGGCTGTCTACCTCTGGCTCGTGGGATCTGCTACTACTTTCCTAAACACATGGAAGAAAAGAACCTCAGGTTAACAAGGAGCTTTGTTCCTTGATCTTAATTTTGCTTCAAGGTCGGATTTATTTTCCAGGAACATTTTGAAATCATTCAGGCACATTGACACAAAGAGGGCAATCTGTGCATTGTGTGCATGGGCCTGCTTTCAGGATTGGGCCCCTCAGGTGCCAAGGAGTGTTGTAGATTTTTTTAAATAAAAAGAATACACACACGGTGAATGCTGGGTTTGTTCAGCAAGCATATTTCCTGGCAGATGGTGTGGTCAGCTTTGATATTCCTGTGGATATGGCTGTTGAAGGTAAGGGGGCTGAATTTTGGCTCTCCTTCTCCCCAGTTTAATCAGCACTGTAAAAATTGACTGTGCCATCTGTATAGCTGGTACTCGCTGGCAGAAACTGTTGTGTACGGTGATCTTTGGATTGGGGCCACTTACTCTGGCTGCAAGCCCCAAGTTGTATTTCGCAGGATGCATGCAGACAATATCAAAAGAAGTCCGAAGAGTGTTTAATGCAGCTTGTAGTGTAGCAAAACAAGAACTACGTCATCTCATAGGTGATGATAATGTAATGAAGATTGTTTCAACGTTTCAGGATCAAATACTATTTTTGTTTTTTAAACAGAGATTTACAGTCACGAGCATCTGCTTTCAAGGGCTGAATTGTTACTGGAAAAGCGGATTAAAAATGGAGATCCTTTGGCCTCTTTTCTCAGAGGGCAGATGTATTTTGAAGAGGTGGGACTTTGCGCACACACCATATACATACATGAAGAAGTTTGAAATTGTGTTGAACAAGTATCAGTGTTGAAATGTGGGATTAAGAATTCAGATGTCAATATGTTAGGAAAATTCACAACCATTTACCAGGTCAGATTGGTGTAATATGCTCAAACTGGCACGTTTTCTAACTGCTGTAAGGGGAGAAAATTTAAGGGGAATCTTCCTGTCCTGCCAGGAAGATGCAGAATTTCAAGTTTATTCATGCTTTTATATTGCTCAGGACTTATATTATTCTATTCAGGCTTTACATCTTTATTTTTATTTTACTGATTTCAATTGGGCCCAACAATTTAAGGGGCAATCCAGTGATTTGCCAGAGAGATTCAGAATTTTATGTTGTTGTATGTAGTTTTATTTGGGTCAGTTTTATTTATGTAAACTTATGTCATTTTTATGCAGATCTGTAGTTTGCTAACATTCATGCTTTGTGATGTCCAATGGCTAGATACAAATGAAGAAATTGAAATCCATTTAGGACTCCAACCATTTGTCCAGTGATCCTTTGTGGCTCAGTGGGAACCCCGATATCAACTCAGGCTTGTCCAGTGACCTCAGTGAAGGAAACTGCTCTCTGTACACAGCCCATCACAAAAGCACACACAAAGTTTTGGGTTCATGTGACTTGTTCTTTCCAGTGGTTTCTTCCCAAGAACCTCTCTTCTGTAGTGCTTGCATTTTTTTTTAGGGGAGCAAGCAGAGAACCTGGCCCGTTTAGCAGGAGAACAAAAACAGCCAGTTCTTATTCCAAGGTTCTCTGCTGAAAGTGACACGCATCTCTCATGGCTTGGATCCAGGCATTCCACGTGTTTTATTAAACAGTTCGCATAATTTCCATATTCCAGGATGTCTAGTGACAGTTTCTGGATTGGATTTTATATTTTACTTACAATATTTTATGTTAAAATGACACAATTGTATCCCAAAGGCTTCAGTAGCTAGATTTAATCCTGAGTATTTGATCTCTCGTCGTTTCTTGCACAGGGATGGTATGAAGAGGCACTGCAGCAGTTTGAACAAAACACAGATTTTCAGTCCATGTATCAACTAGGCGTAATGTACTATGATGGACTGGGGACCCCACCAGATCCTGTAAGTTGCAACCAGATTGGTTCCCCCCTTTGGTTATTCATTAGGTAACAACTTTTCTTACTTAATAGCATGAATTTCAAAGATGCAGATTAATAAGCAAATGTCTGAAGCATAACATCATTGGGCAGAGCAAATCGGTGGAGCCAGAAAGCAGAGGATGCTTCTAGACTGTTAGCGTTTTCAGGTGGCAAATTCAGTCACTGATAAAGTCAGGTTGTGCAATCATAGTTTATTGGGGGGATCTTGCCCCCCCAAAACACCCAATTCTGAGAGCGCTGTGCTTTTTATTTATTAAATTTCTATACCATCCATCTGAGAATCGGAGAACAACTTACAATATAAAAAACACAAAAATGCATACCATAGTAACAAACAAAAGCAATAACCCAGCCCCACACAATTTAAAAAGCCATAGATTGTTTTGCCAAAGGCCTGGGAACGAAGAGGAGGGCTATCCATGGAAAAGGTGGTCTAAAATATTCTATGGCCTCTGAGAGGCCCTACTGAGGATCATAGGAATGTGCCCTAAATATGGTAGGCAGAGTCCAATATTGTCACAGAGAGACTTTCCTGGTGCTCTTGTTATGATCTTTTGGGTGCTAAGTAAAAATAATAATAATAATAAAAATTATCTGTACAAGCCTTTTTTAAAAATCAGGCTCTCAAAGTCAGACTTGTAATTTGCTGTACATTTGTGCTGCTGTCTTGGTTTTATATTTTCCCCCACTCTACTGGTAAAAATAATTTTATGCAGCAACTAATTGTTTTTGACTTTTTAAAATATTGCATTGTCTTCTTTTTGTGAGCAGCCTGGAGAACATGGGTGGCTTACATAGATGCTAGGTAGTATGCAATGCTACTACAGCGGTACCTTGGTTCTCAAACAATCCGTTCCGGGAGTCCGTTCAAAAATCAAGGTGCGGCTTCTCATTGGCTGTAGGAGCTTCCTGCAGTCAGGTGGAAGGTGCGTCGGACATTCGGCTTCCAAAAAACGTTTGCAAACTAGAACACTTACTTCCAGGTTTGCGGCGTTTGGGAGCTAAAACGTATGAGTACCAAGGCGTTTGAGAACCAAGGTACCACTGTAGTCCTATCCCTGAGTGCTGCATTCATGCTAGAGCCAGATGTTTGCATATGTGAATTCTGATACAAGGTTTTTTTTTAAATAAAAATAAAAATGAAGAAATTTATATGCTGCCCAATTAAGTTTTAAAAGCCAATTACTGTATTACGTTTCTACAATTGCAGGTCAATCTTAATCATATGAAATATTTCCTAATGTCACTAGAGGGCAATATATTTGTTACATTGTGGGGTGGGGTGGGGGTCATTGTAATATCCAAAGGAAATGCTGCACCTGAAACCAAATGAAAGAAGCAGATAAAATTGTGAGAAATCAGGCACACTATGCATCTGGTTACAATTTACCAAACCCTTTTTGTTTTACTCGGATTTGTACTTGTAAAAAAACCTTTCTTCCCACAAACTTTTCCCCCTGGTAACAAACAGTTACCCCCTTGGTAACTGCTACATTTAGTGGAATGTTAATGTTTTTGTTAAGTTTGCCAATATGGATTTCATATGCTGTGTTTGGTAGAGTTTTGTTATGCTGTGTATTTTTGCTGTTTTTTGTCACCTACAGCAAAAGGGAATTGAATATATGGAGAAGATTATCAACTCCAGTTCCCCTAAAGCAAGACATTTGAAGTTTGCTGCTGCCTACAACCTTGGAAGAGCTTGCTACGAAGGATGTGGAATTGAGATTTCAGAGAAAGATGCTGAACGGTAACCTTCACGAGACACCTGTGTGATGTGGATGCACTTTTGAGAAAGGTCACATGCGTTAATGCCCCTTTCACGCACGCACGCACGCATCAGTCTTTGCCTCGTCACACCACATAGCTATTTTACTGGTAGGAAATGTGCATTTTCTCAGCACGGAGACGAGGGCTCAGTCTGCCATTTTTCCAGGTTCCCACTTCATTGTAATTGCATCTGGACACTGCAATATAGAACAGCCCTAAAGCAGGAGTGGAGAACCTTTGTTGTTGTTGTTTTTCACTTGTCAAAGCCAGTATTCACTTAGGAGTAATCTGTCAGGTGCCACTGGTGGGCAGGGACAGAGCCTCTTCATCCGTGCATGCTATCACCTTTTAAAATACATTTCATTCCCTTCTCCATCACCTCCACATAATGGGTTTGGCTGCCAAGAGATGGAACAACAGATTAATTTTGCCAGAGGTCTGAGCAGATAACTTACAGAGCGCTTTTTAACTCTCCACCTTCCATTGCTTCATCTGTCATGGGCTGGATCTAGACACATCAAAGAAGCATTTCAGTTTAAAGCATTGTAAATTTAAACAGGGAAAACAGGTAGAGAAAAACGGGACTCCACGTCGCTATTGTGACACAATGTTGTATCGCACATAAAGGTAAAGGGACCCCTGACCATTAGGTCCAGTTGCGTACGACTCTGGGGTTGCGGCGCTCATCTCGCTTTATTGGCCGAGGGAGCTGGCATACAGCTTTGGGATCATGTGGCCAGCATGACTAAGCTGCTTCTGGCGAACCAGAGCAGCGCACGGGAACGCCGTTTACCTTCCCGCCGGAGCAGTACCTATTTATCTACTTGCACTCTGATGTGCTTTTGAACTGCTAGGTTGGCAGGAGCAGGGACCAAGCAACGGGAGCTCACCCCGTCGCGGGGATTTGAACCGCCGACCTTCTGATCAGCAAGCCCTAGGCTGCGGTTTAACCCACAGCGCCACCCGCATCCCATATCACACATACAATGCACATAAATCGCTTTTTCTTTACCAGTCTAGCTCTTTCCATTGCTTCTCCCTTTCCCTTTATTCTAGCCATGGGTTACCTATACCTGTTTTAAGAGGAACAGGCCAACCATGCCACTCATGTTTTCCTATGTCTTCCAGTTTATGGTTTATTGCTGCAGACCACGGGAACCCAAAAGCAAGTGTAAAGGCTCAAACAGCCCTTGGGATGCTGTATTCAGCAAAGCATCGAAAGGATCTGAAAAAGGTACGTGTCCTGCTTTGGCTTACATCACAAATCTTGATTCAGGTGTGCTGTCCAGTTAAATGAGGCTGTTGTGATTTAGATGTGGCAAGAATCAAGGGAGTAGTACAAAATACTTGTGCATCCACAACTGGTTTGCAATGAAAGGCTGCCAAGCAATTTAAGGCGTTTCTTAAGTACCTGATGCCTTTTGAGATGCAGCACTTTTTGCCAGGGGGGAGAAAGTTTTACAGCAGCACTGACCCTAATCTGCTTGTAGCTGTAGGCAACTAGGCATGTGTAAGAGCTATTGCAGGGGTCAGCAAACTTTTTCAGCAGGGGGCCAGTCCACTGTCCCTCAGACCTTGTGGGGTCTATATATTTTTTTTTGGGGGGGGGGGATGAACGAATTCCTATGCCCCACAAATAACCCAGAGATGCATTTTAAATAAAAGCACACATTCTACTCATGTAGAAACACCAGGCAGGCCCCACAAATAACCCAGAGCTGCATTTTAAATAAAAGGGCACATTCTACTCATGTAGAAACACACTGATTCCCATACTGTATGCAGGCTGGATTTAGAAGGCGATTGGGCCGGATTCGGCCCCTGGGCCTTAGTTTGCCTACCCATGAGCTAGTGGCTCTCTGTGAAGCTACATCTCCATTTGCATCAAAAGATGATCCAGCCATTATGACACTGATGAGAACAGTATCCAGCTGCACGTTTGCAGTGCATGTAGAAGACTGGTTGTACAGGCAAATCCTTCTTGCTTGATTGAGAAAAAAAATACCTATTATCTTTTCTCTATGTGAATAGGGTCTCCCCTCAAACATGCTTGGTATATTAAACCATTTAGAAGAGCTAGCTTTTACTACCTTTCAGAATAAACTAAGAGACACAGTAGCCTTTCACCTTATCTGAATTTAGGGTACCGGATACCCATATCACTTATGATCGTTGCCACTGCAAGAAGTGAAATGTGTGGTTCCCCCCCCCCCCCAGCCATTTGCGTCCCTGAGTTTTCAAGCAAAACACACTTCCCCCATTTAAACCAAATATTCTTGCCTTAGCTTTCAAATACCCAGGAGAAAGAAGGATCCAATTTGCAGCAATATAAACTCAAATAATTCCCCCCCCCCCAAGAAACTGAGCCACAGCAATTATGAGAATAGTTTAATGTACTGTTGTATACTACCCTGCAATCGGTGGATGAAGGGCAGTGTAGAAATAAAATGAAGATGATAGCAGCACTACAAAGAAAAAGAATGAAGTTGTACGCTGGCAAAAGCAAAATTCACTTTCGACCCTTTGACATTTGTGGCCAGGTTTGCGTAATGAAACACTAATGAGCTGCGTGGGTTGGCACATCAGACTTGAATCTCATGATAACAGCATTAGTCATTTGAAGGAAGGCTTGAACATCCTGGGGTAATTTAACAACCAGTCTTTTCTTAATGCCATGAGCTCAACATTTCAAAAAACAAGAAGCCATTAAATATCAGAGAAGTTCTGCATTTATAACTAAGCAAAACATCTGGCAGGCTGTAAATAGAAACATTGGCTTGCTCTTTTTAAAAGACTGTGTTCTAAGATTAAGTGCTCAAACACACTTCCACTTGTCCCACTGCTTTCCCCCAGGAAAACGTGCTGTTTACTGCTGAATCAGAACAAAACGTCAATTGGGTTTTCTGCGGATCAACATTTGTTCCGATTCAACAGCAAGTTTTCCTAGGGAAAGCAGCAGGGCAGACAAAGAACCTCTCGTACCAATGCCTATCAAGCACAGGGCAAGCAGAAGTCTGGTGGACAATCCCCAAGAGTCTATATTGCAGTTGGTAGCTGCCCATACACTACGTCAGAAGTGCTGGCGTGTTCACTACCATTTTCACTGCCATTTATGCATATGCCTAAATTGGTAATCGCCAACATTGTTGGGACCGTGAACAAGCGTGAGAAACTGTCACGGGCACCACATATAAACTCTGCAACCAAGGCCACACCACAACCTGTTCTATGGGCTGCAACAGAATGTTTCTTTCAAGCCTGATTTCAGCCAGGGCAGGGGACCCCGTAGGCGTCAGCAAAAGCCCCTGTGGGAACCACATTGGTATCCCCTAGTCTATGTAATCCTGCCAACCTAGCAGTTCCTGCCAACCTAGCAGTTCGAAAGCACGTTAAAGTGCAAGTAGATAAATAGGTACCGCTCCGGCGGGAAGGTAAGCGGTGTTTCCGTGCGCTGCTCTGGTTTCGCCATAAGCAGCTTAGTCATGCTGGCCACATGACCCAGAAAAACTGTCTGTGGGCAAACATCGGCTCCCTCAGCCAGTAAAGCGAGATGAGCGTCACAACCCCAGTCGTTTGCGACTGGACTTAACTGTCAGGGGTCCTTTACCTTTTTTAGGCTATGTAATAAGAGAGCCCTCAAATCAGTTGGTTAAAGTGCCAATAACATGTAATTTAATGGCCATTATATTATGCTGATTACAAGTCTACATCTCTGCCTAGCCAGTGAGGCTGCTCATAAGCGTATTTTGTACAGTACCCATTCAACCATGTTGCCACTATATATGTTTCAAAATCCCATTCTTTCTCCTACAGGCCTTCTTTTGGCATTCAGAAGCTTGTGGAAATGGGAGCCTGGAATCACAGGGCATCCTTGGTCTTATGTATTTTTATGGGCACGGTGTACGTCCAAATTTAAAAGCTGCTCTGGAGTGCCTGACTGCAGCCTCAGATCGTGGGAATGTCTATGCTAAAGGTCACTTGGTGGAATATTACTACAAAAGGAAATTTTTTACAAAAGCAGCCGACTTTGCCAAAAGGTAAATTAATTCATTAGTAATTCAAGTGGAAGCTAATGATGAAAACAAAGGCATTATTAGATCAGTTCCCAAAGAACAGATACATAGAAATATGGTACCTTTTAATTTTTGTGTTGCTGATCTTAAAAAAACAATTCTGCTTGTTGGAACTAAATTTCCTCTCTGCTTGACTCTCCTTGCTTTCTCCAGCAAAAGGGAAAGACAGTGGGGGGGGGGGAGAGAGAGAGAATCAGTTTTATGTTTTGCCCTTAATATCCACTAAATTCAGGATACTAGATTTTAAGTGGGAGGAACACATGAGTTTACCCAGGAAAGGCATAATTATCTAGTTCATATCTGGTGAGGCATGGTGGTAGGACAATTTTCTTCATGTCACTATTCAATAAAGACTTATTTTACTTTCCAGATTGCATGTTCAAGTGCTAATCTTCTAGCTCAAGGGTTTTTTCAGCAATACATCCAGCTTCAGTTTTAAAGCACTTGGATGGCATTTGAGAATGGAGAAATGATTCAGCACTCTCATTTTTGCCTTAATGGTTTTGCTAAATGATGTCCTAGAACTTTGGGAAATAGCTACCATTCCACTTGTTCCTACCTGGTTTGTGACAAGAATGATACATCTAACCTTTTGCCTAATGGTGCCTGTCTAAGCATGCTCACTCAGAAGCAAGGCTCACTATGTTCAGTGGGGCTTACATCTAGGAAAGTGTACATGGGTTTGCAGCCTATATCTGACATTTCTGGGAAGAGTCTGACTCTGGAGACGAGGGAATGCAGTCACAGACTGAGCAGGAGTGGGTTAGTTCGGCTCCCCTTCATCAAGAGTTCCCAGACTCAGATAGAGCAGCAGATTCAGAAGGCTTGCAGGCAGAGAGAAGGGAGGAGTAGGTGACATTGAGGGGATTGCTATGCAACCAGGAGGGAGGCAGCGTTTAGAGGACTCTTCTTTTGAGGGAGGGGGGAGTCCACCCACCTTGTCCCCGAACCAGAAGAGCTGAAAGTATAAGAGAGGAAGGACTGGACTATGGCACCCTTCATGCTGCGAAAGGGTGACCAACTCGTAGCTAAGAGCGGCAGGCTCGGAGATGCTCTCTGGGTGTTAATTGTAAATAAACATACCATAAAACTGCCAGAGACTCATTAATTCTTATTGGAGCTTGCTTGCTTGCCTGCCTGAGATCATTACAACAAGTCACTATACTACTGTGAAATCTTTGGGCCAAATTCAACATTACATTATTCACATTGCCTGGCCTTGTACAGCTGATTTCATTTTTTGTTTAACCCAGTAGGGGCTGTGTCCCAACTTGCTCTGCTCACCATTCCTCCACATTTACTCCAAGTGGTTTCCCCTTCCCACCCCATGCAACTACTAAGCCTGGTTTTCACCACCACAACCCCATTTCTGAAGCCACTTATCTATTCCTTTCCGCAGCCCTGCTCTGCACCTGGTTTTGCCTTCACTGCCATGTCCATTTGTGGGCTCTGCGTCCTTTTTCTCTCACACAGGAGACAGCTGAAGAATGGAAGAGGGAGATGTTTGAGTACAATGAGAAGGGAGGGACCCTGAGAAGAGAGAACATGCTGGTGTTCTGGGAAGGGAGAGCAGGGAGGAAGCCCCCAATTAGGACTGGTACCATAGTAGGGGGGAAGCCTTATTTCCTTCTAACCTCCAGCATGCTCTCAGTCTGGATCACCACCTTCCCATGTCAGTTATTTGTTTAACACACAGCCAGACAATTTGAACACCATCGTGTCTGTAAGTTGCCTTGAGTCCCATCAGGGGAAAAGGCGGGGTATTATAATAATAATAATAATAATAATAATAATAATAATAATAATAATATCATCTAGTCTGGCCCTTAATTCTCCCAACTTATAATGATTAGCTTGCTTTGCTATGAGATCACAACAAACTTCTAATCTCCCACCTCCTTCTGACAGCAGCAGCAATGCCAGCTTTTGCAGACCCTTCTCGTTCTAATGTTGTTTTGACCAAGAGCAAAAGGCTCTTAGTATTTAACGTCCCCTCCATTTTTCCTGAAAACAGCAACAAAAGCCCTATCAACACGCTTTTCACATTCAGGCAAATGAGAATCAGAAGACAAGATGCGTGGGGGCAGGGACTATGACACAAGCCTGTCTCTGTTGCTGTTTCACAAGGAATATGGCTTTAACGACCCTTTGCTTGTCTCTTGGTTCATTTGCAAAAAGTGGAGAAGGGGCATGAGGATTTTAGCACAAAAATGCACCAACTATACAAGTTATTCCTGCTTCTTCCCTTAAACATCAACATGTAACGACGCTGTCATGCTGAAGTTTGCGTGGCTGCTGGTAGGCCGCCACACCAACTCCAGTATTTAATAAATAAAAATAAAAACAAATAAACAGGGCAAACAACAGGCAGGCGGGTGAGCAAACAAGCAGTGCAGTGGCAGGCAGCCCTGACAAATTTATTTAATGGAGGGGGGAGGCGCATCAGAGAGCTGTTTAGCAAGGCACTCTGAAGTACTTCCCTCCAGCTGTGTTAGCATTCCAGAAAACTGCTCTTTAAAGCACCTCCCCATTGCTTTAAAAGGGGTTAGCAGAAGGTGGGAGTAGAGAGGTGCTTTGTGCTAGCTGTGACTGCTGCGGAGGGATAGCAAAGGGGTGGGTGAGGTGTAAAGTGAGAGGTTTGATCAGATGTGGAGGAAGAACAGTTGGCAAAGTCGTAATGGCGGCCCCCCAGGGTTCTGAGAATAACTAAACTTTTACTTTGTATTGTGAATCCAAACAGGACTGCAGAAAATGATGACGTTGAAAAGTTAGCAAAGGCAACAGACTGCATTCCTTTTTATATAAAGAGAGGGCTTGCTATGGCTTCCTTCTACTTGGCTAGATGTCTCCAGTTTGGCCTAGGAACACAACAAGATTTAGCAGCAGCTAAAAATTATTATTCTAAGGTAAGTTGCTTTAACTCTGTTAGCTCTTTGAGGCGACATTATTTGGATTGTCATTCGAAATACTTTTTTTAAAAAGTGTGTGTCCTCGTAGCTTTGTAATGTAAGCTTTATATAATACAATGAAGGTATAAAGTTCATTTGCAATTATGGTCACTCTAATTCATCTTTGTGTTTATAGGCATGCAGGCTGGATCCCGATCTGGCTTCTGAACTTGAGCTACTGGCTAATCATGGGAGAATTTAGAGCATCGTTTTGATGAATCTGAGCAAGTTCCGGCAGTTTTGTCTGTATAACGACAAATGTCAGTTGTCGTTCAGCTTTTGATAAATCATGGTTATTATTGCAAGCATTTTAGGCACATAATGTTCTGATTATCTTCATCTAAAAGAAAAGCATTGTATGAGTTACTTTCAGTGTTACGTAACCATCAAGTTTTGGTCAACGTGCATTAAGTTCAGAACTGTAGCTCTGTTACCTGGTATCAGGGCGGGGTGCAGGACTGTCTCTCGCCGTTTCTGACAATTCGCCATGCTGACTGGGGCTGATGGAATCCAACAGCATTAGGAAGGCTGTCCAACCCTAGTTTACTTAATAAAAACTGCATCGTTAAATGCCTTTTTCATTGCCTACAAATACTGAAAAGTTTTCAAGGCCAGCTTATTAAATACCCCTCAATTCTTAGATAATTTTTCTTATTTCAGTCATCAGTTGCAGCAAAAGAATACTGTAATTAAACAACTGAAACATCTTTTATATATAAAACTTTGCTGAAAAGTCCCATATCAGACCTTTCTAGTATTGCTGAACAATAGCACACCCTGGAGATGCTGAAGCTTTACAATTTAGTCACCGTCTGTTTGTCAAGACATGCCTCTTGGGCAGCTGCATGAAGCTGGTGAGCACTAAACCCTCTGCCCTGTGTAGGTTGGTACATTGCAGAATCAAAGTAAACCATGAGCTCAGGCATGTGGAGCTGATCACTGACACACTGTGACACGTTGTGTGCATTTGAAATTGTACCATAAAAGTCCCTTGCTACTCAAAAAGCTATCGCGCATTTTTCAAGGCAGTAGTGGCTATGTTTTGAGCTGGGAAAGGATTGAGGCACCCACTCATGGAAAAGCAAAGTGGCTGTGCTGTGGCATTTTTCTTTAGGAACAAGGAATTGAAAAGGGATGTTTTCTCCATCTGTTAAGGTGTGGGAGACCCAAAAGCTTTTTGGGCCCATTCAGGCTTTGGAAATACCATCACATTTCCTAGCTGAACTAAATTAAGTTTCAGAAAATTCAAAAAGCAGGAATCTCCAGCAGTGAATTGGCAAGCTTCGCATTAAATCCAGTTGTTCTTTTACCAGTGCTTTAAAAAGAGCCACATTTAGGGAAATAGCTATATAAATGATATCAAGAGAGGATGAAAGGTTTAAGTCAACAGGTTATTAGTATAATGGTTTATGCAATGAATGCCAAGTCATACATTCATGTGATTTATGACAACATGAAATCTATGTTCTGCACCTTGCAGAATCAGTGCAATTCTCTCTGAAAGCAGCACTTTGACCCACTGAAAGTGTAGCTTAATTATGAAACACTACAGTTCATTTTTGTTATTTATTGCTTACAAAGGCTCCAAACTATGGGAAATCTTTGGTAAAAATAAAAACAATAAAATTTACACAATATCTTTACATATATTGCACAACAAGGCTCTTCAATACAACAAGAAAATAGAGGAATGTTCATTATCCTCAGCAAGGAAATTAACTGTACAACATTCATTGGTATACCACTAAAGCAAAATGCCTTTCATAAATGTTTTAAAATACTCTATAGTTCTTATACCTTATATTAACATTTACATTTCAATCTGCATCTTAAACAGAATTATTCATGTAACAAGTTAAATAAAAGCCAGAAACTACGCAGTGCTGGCATTCTACCGTATCGTCAGTTCTTTCAAGTCTTGTTTGCTCCATGTAGAATGTAAAAAGAAAAGAAAAATACAAATTTGCAGTAGTCCTCAGCCAGCCCTCTGTGGAAAAGAGGGAAATAAGTTACATGTCTGCTTTTAAGAACAGACATGTCTCTAGTAATTCACTTGTGCAGATTCAAACCTGAGCTGCTTTAAGCTGCTCTAAATGAGTTCGCAACTCAGGACACAGTTCAATTAGCAGCAATTCCAATAACACCTGGAAAAGAAGAGAGATTAAAAGTGTTTTCCCCCTCTTTCTGAACCGGTAATTACAAACGTGGATAGCAAGTCATTAATAGGTGCAGAGATCAAGCCCACACACCCTGCCCCCAAGGGCTACCACATGGACCCCACAGTGGTCAATTCAGGAACAAGAGGCATACATGGAAGGAAGCAATTACTGTAAAGTCCACAGATTATTGTGGGGCCCTTTACGCAGAGTGGCTGTCCAGTAAAAGCCTTTTCTAAGGTATTATACCTGGTTCCACAAGATCTCGCTGGAAGCTGCCACGCAACTCCGGCGGTGGGCAGGGCACAGCCCCATGAGATTCCACCACACCAGGTGGCTGCTTCAGGCTGCCTCATGGGTGGGCTTGGCCCTGTCTGGAAGGCTACAGGTTGTCCACTATGTACTATGGTTCATTGGTTGCTTTTTAAAAAAACAATTTGCACATCTGACAGTTGTAGAACCACACATGGAAAAATGCTCTTGGTAGCTCTCTGGGGAGGACCAAATCCTTATTATTCATCAATGTTTACTGGCACATACAGGGCTCTGCACAGATTTTCACATACCTACGAAGACCTCAAGGATTAGTAAATTTATCAGGTTTAGATTATCCCTCTTCCTCCCAGTCTAAACCAAAATCTCAAGGCACAGACCTTCAAGGGGATTTTATCTCCCAAATTCCACATTTCCCTCAGTGGATCTCGCCCATCCCTGGTTAAAACAAATTCTGCAGATAATTCTAAAAGGTTAGAGGATAAAACAGCTACTGTTGCAGGCCAAAGGGTAAATGCCAGAAACTAACACCAAAAATCCAAATTCTGAGGTCTGAAGGAAGAGTAATTTTAAGTAACAAACCCATGCAATAATGTGCTGGTAACTCACATAAAGAAGATGCTTATTGGCCTTGGTTTCTTGAAGTGCATTGAAGACTTTGATTACACCATGGCGAGCATTTTGCTGACCAACGAGATTCTGTAGTGTATCTGGAAGAAAAGATATTTAATTTTGGTGACGTATCTGCTAATGTGTTTTAAGAAATTCCAATGAATTAAATATATATATGCAATGAGCAATGTAAGCTGTGTATTGAGATACTGATTCAAAAGCCTGCATATGCAAAATGTTAAAATAGATTCCTGTTATCTATCTTTTAAAAACAAATCAGGGATTTTATCATCAAGAAGAATATAATATGGATTAATACACATGTAAAGTGCCTTTTTGTAAAGTGTAAAGTGCGGGAGGCAGTGGAAGACAGAAGTGCTTGGCGTGCTCTGGTCCATGGGGTCACGAAGAGTCGGACACGACTAAACGACTAAACAACAACAAAGTGCCTTTTTATTTTCAATATTTGGGCGCAGTAGATTTAGTTCCCTGCTTCTCTGCTTTTTCCATATCACCTAAATGCCACCCTGATTTCTTATAAAAGAAACAGTTCTTCTACACACAGAATAACATCTGACAGATGTCAGGGATCTGTATAAAGGTTAAATATGCAACTCTCTCTCTCTCTCTCTCTCTCTCTCTCTCTCTCTCTCTCTCTGTGTGTGTGTGTACTTGGTTTGCTTAAAATTTAATCTCATAGAATCTCACAGATTTGCTTATTAAAGTGGGCAGAGTTTAACTTTGCCTGTGGAGTGTTTTGAACATTCTAAGGGCTAAACAAATGGTAAATATTGTTTATTACCATAATTTCCTTTGATTCATTACATTCTGAACGTTAACATGACACGTGATTTGATATGCTCACCTGGAATGTTTTCAAGTAATTTTTGCTGTGCTTTCTGTTTCGTCTCCCGGCTTTGGTCTTCACTTCTGGGCTTTGAGCTGGATGCTAGTTTTCCATTTGGCCAAAAAGCATCTCGGAACACATTGATGTAGTAAACAAGCATTGGTTCACTGAAGATCCAATTTACAGTGTCACGAATTTGCCTTGTGGGAGAGGCGTCAAGAAGAAATGGTCATAATACTATAGCCAGAGGAGACATGCTTTTAACCCACTTTGAAACTTCCTAGAGACAACTTGTACATCAAGCAACAAAAATAGGGTTTCCACAAGGCAAATATCCACCTAGATACAATATGTTGCTTAGACAATACAGCAACTTGGACTAATCTAAATGTTACTCTTACAACTGCAATACCTAAAATTTGGAAAATAAAAAGGGGGAAGAGAGAGCTAGGAGCAGGACAGCAGCAAGCAGTGAAAACTAGGTTTGAGTAAAACAATAATTGGCAGTAATAATAAAATTATACATAAATGCAGCTATAATAATATTAACTACGTATAAAATACAAACTTTTTAAGTTTTAACTTAAACTGTGATAGTACTGTATTGTTGGGGGGGGGAGCAGAGGTTTATTTTTTTTTAAAAAAAAAAGGTAGAGGTGAATCCCACTTCAAAATGTTTGAGAAGCACTGTTCTATGGAAACATACAAATAGCTAGAAATCCTCCATTCTCATGCCCCCTCTGGTGGCTTCTAGTCACATTATATTTCAATGCAACCACTGTGTGTCTACATCTAATACTGGGTGAAGAATTCAGCATCCTGAAACTCTTATGCTTTCATTTAAAAGGGGGGGGGGGCAGGCAAGTTTCTAATCTCCAAAGCTGCAAGGACAGGTTTGGGAGTCTGTAGGGCATGCCTGATGAAGTCTCATAAGCTTGGCAATGTGCTGTGTAACTCTCATCTCCGCCATGCCTGACATAATTAGAATTATGCAAAATAAGCAAATATATACAAATTGATGCAGATCACAAATTCGAATTTCCTTGGCACCAAATTTTGGGAAAGCCTGGCTCTCCCACCCACCCTGCTTTCTGGTTCAGCCCTGAGTACATAAGGATTTGTGACATACAAGGCACACGGGGAAAGTTAAGAAAGATTTGTCTGGAATTCTGAAACGAAGCTTGTGAAATTTTAACTTTCCTTTTCTACATACAAAGAAACATGCAGAAGCTAGTTTCTGAACAAACATGCTAGCCATGTCAGTGCTGTTGTCAGCTGTTCCTGCATCAAGCAGCTGATTCAGAGTACAATTCTAGAAGCAGAGAAATCGTAATGCACTCACTTGTTGATGGTTCTTCCAAAAGTGATTTGAACTAGTGCAATTAGCGTCTTCCTCACCCACTTAAACACTAAAACAAACAAAAGCAAGCAGCACACAGAAGTCAACTCCAAGCATGCAGATAGGGTCTACTCAAATACTCTTAAGTATATGTTCACGTTATGCTGTTTACTACGTAAAAATCTGCGCCCTTTTAATTACTACAAGTGATTATGTGACTTTTCCTACTCAGCAGCCTTCATAGGGAGCCCAGACAATTTTTAAAAATGGCCAACCTTTCTAGGGAACAATTCTTTCCTAGTGCTTATTTGCACACAGATAGTTGGAATGTATCAGGAATCAAAACTCATTTATTTATTGCTACCTATTTCCAGTGCTTTTTTTCTAGAAAACCGGTACTCACCACAAAGTTGTTACAGTAAGTGTCATACTTTTTAACAACAAAAAGAGGTGCTGGTATAGTGTACCCTTGAGTACCCCCTAAAAAAAAGCACTGCCTATTTTACATTGAGGATTTTAGCATATAGCATGCAACACTAATACACTTTTTCCCGTGTGGAAATTAGCTAAAGAGTTACACTGCTCAACATGCTCAACTTCAGAATGTTTCTTTAGAGGGTTATTTCTGCAACACAGGGGCTGCGCATTAACACTAAACCATGACTAAGACATATGCAAATGAGGTGCAGGAAACCTGATTTATGTGGGCCACGGGTAGAACAATTTTACCTGCGTAAATGTTGCAAGTGCACCTACCCAGGTCACAACCATGCTAATGCTACATGCAAAAAGCACACGTCTATGCAATGAGGTGCATGTAGAACATTTTACATACGCAAGTGCTTGATTTGACAGAAAACCACCTTCCCATATTAAAACTGAGCATGAAAATGTGGTGCGTTTCTATCATCCTGATGAGTGCACTCACAGAATCATAGAATTGTAGAGTTGGAAGGAACATCACCACGGTCATCTAGTCCAACCCAACAATGAACAAGACCACTGCTTACTTCCTCGCAGCTCAAATATCTCTCCTATCAGCATGAAACAAGGCTCAGCAAGGGCATCCCGTTTCCCATCCACATCTTCTCCATAGTCAGACAGGTCATCATCGTCTTCAGCCTCCTCCTGGACAAACCAAACAAGCACAGGGTGGCAAAGGTGGTTCCAAAATTTATGGCGGCCATTTTTGCTCCCCATCTAAGATAGCAATCTGAGGCTGATTCTTCTACGTAATGGTGGAGCCACCCACACTGCGCTCATCAAGTCCAAGTCTGCACCTCCAGCAAGAATTTATATGCCTGAGACAGGCATCACAAATTATTTCAAATTAAACATTTAACTAAGAAGATACTATGTAATGCCCCTGCATATATAAATCAGCTGTCAGATCCAGATTTACGCCTCTACATCTTGTAGCCATTCAAAGGCTGTCCACTTGTTTTATGCTAATGCCAAATCTTCACTCCCATAGTCCATTATCTCTTACTCTTTCTTGCCAATGAATTAGTGAGGACAGCCATGGTAGGAAAGGTTGAGCAGAAGGGGCCACCTTGATTTGCTAAGACCAATGGTGCTTCTATATTGACAGAAGCTTTCTTGAATACTGGCTAGGCTTTGCTGCCCAGGATTCTTAAACTGGGGAAGGCATGGCTTAGACTTGGGTCTCATGCATGCCATTGTACGTGCTTCAATCACTAAGATTTGTGTACCTGGGCACAAGCCGCAATGGCTTTCACAATAGCTTTCAATGGAGCTTGAACAGTTGGTGCCAGCGAAATGTGGAGATGGCACAAACATTCATTGGCAACCTGCATTACAGTTGGCAGAGCGCTTTAATATGCTGTCCATTAGTTCATGTATTTAAATTACTTCTGCAGATAGTTCCATCTGAGATGCTTCCTATTTATTCTGGGTGCTCATCTACCGTAAATATTGCTCTTTGCCCACTCACCTCTTGATGAGAAAAGAAATCACCGGGAAGCCTCTCCAAAAAAGAAGCGAGTGAAAAAGAAGATTTCTTTCCCTGTACATCGATAACCTTGAGGTGTTCTGGAGAAGGGCTTAAAAAGGCATAAAGTGCTTCACTCTGACAGAGCCTTTCATCAGAAAGTAATTTCTGTGGAAAAAGAAAAGCCACCACAATTGTAATTTTCTTTTTTAAGCAGAGCAGATGAAGACTCTGCATGAGGGCAAGGAGTGCTAATCAGCACTGCCGATGTCAGCCAGTCTTAAGGGTTTACAAAATCAGCAGTGATTTCTGGAATCAATACACTTCAGTAGCTCCTAGGCACATTCCTGGCAAGTATGTTAATTGAAAACAGCACAGGGGAAGCATCCTGTTTATGCTTTTCACACTGGTGCCGTCTAAGTGGGAAGTGGACCTACCTAACAATGGCCTCAGAGAGTTGCTAAGGGACAATCTGTAGGCTTTGCCACCAGTGCGGTCAGTAGCTAACTGGACTTCTCCCAGTAGCTGCATGTCAATGGGTAGCTGGGTGGTTGTGCAGGCTGCACACCCCTCTCTCTCCTTGCATATTGGTCAGTTGGGACCATCAAATAAAGCAAATCCCATCCCCACTCAACAGTACTTAAAAGAAATTACTAAGATGTTTTACATATTATTTGATCCTGAATAAGAGTTACTTAAGCATTGGGGGACGTGGTTGGCGCTGTGGGTTAAACCACAGAGCCTAGGACTTGCCGATCAGAAGGTCGGCGGTTTGAATCCCCGCGACGGGGTGAGCTCCCGTTGTTCGGTCCCTGCTCCTGCCAACCTAGCAATTCAAAAGCACGTCAAAGTGCAAGTAGATAAATAGGTACCGCTCCGGCGGGAAGGTAAACGGTGTTTCCGTGTGCTGCTCTGGTTCACCAGAAGCGGCTTAAGTCATGCTGGCCACATGACCCGGAAGCTGTATGCCAGCTCCCTCGGCCAATAAAGCGAGATGAGCACCGCAACCCCAGAGTTGGCCATGACTGGACCTAATGGTCAGGGGTCCCTTAAGCATTGGGGGAGGGGCTATAGGGCCAAGAGAACTCTAAAAGGATTTCCTAAGCATTTTTCTAAGGATTTCTAAGCATGGAACCCCTTGACTGCTTTCAACAGCAGTTTTGGAACTTCAATGAACTGCTCAGCAGAGCAACCTATTGAAAATTTTCAGCTGCATCACTATTTGGGGTTCGAGAAAAGGGTTGATTAATGAAGTCTGGTCATGGTTGATGGTATGAGTAAGACGCAAGAATGTGGTAGGATTCTGAAACACCACAGAATCCATCGAAAGGTGAAGTGGGAGATGTGGAGCCCATCTGAGAGACTACCTAATTTGTCCCAGAGAACGCAACAGAAAAGTAGGAGCTGTTATTGGCTACAGGCGCAGCCAACCAGAACAAGTGTCAAGAGCTGTTCACTACATTGGGCTGTATTCTAGAAAAGTCACGTTTGACACCACCAACCAGTTCTGTGTACCTGACAAGTGTACTTCTTTGATATGCTAAACATATGTAAACCTAAGTTGCACATTTAAACAGATCCAAACATATGCATCATACCTTACTATAAGCTCAGGTTTGCACTTAAAATACCTTGAGTTATACATTTAAATAACATAGGCCTAAATCCAGAGCGATTTGGTCATACTAAAGTCACATCAGCATCAACAATTAATTGTAAGTAATGCCCAGTTGAAATGAATAGAACTTCAAATTCAGCTCGCTCTGGATTTGGATTGCAGTATGTGAAAAGGCCAATAAACATTGGGGGGAAATGTGAGAATAGGCAATCAAGAAATTGAATTCCTTACTCTAAAGCCCATGCAAAAAAGGACAGCGCACCATTCTGAGTTAGTAAAATAAAACAGATATATATATATATATATATATATATTGTGATTGCTGCTTCTTTGATATCTTACCTGTAAGAAGTTATTTAACTGGTTCTTTGACTTCTCCATAAATTTCTGGTCTACTGATTTAAAGGGCAGTTTGCTGAGTGAAGGCAACTGAGCTTTTTTTAATGATGGGAAGCACTAGGTGGGAGGACAGGGAAAGAAAGCAAATCACAATTATTTCTCCATTTTAATTTACACACTGTCTTTATTTTTGTCCTGTTCTATTTACGGTAGTCAGAAAGGGAAGAACTAGTTTTCGGCTTCTCTGCCTGTATCCTTGATCGCCTGCAGGAACTATTCCATCAATCAGCCAAAAAGAGTAGCTCTAAGTGCAGTACTAGGCTGCAGAAATAAGCCAATGCCAGCTTAAGGCTCCTTGGAACGAACATCTTGCAAAAAATGCAGAGTATAATAGGTTATAATAGGGTAAGGTCAGTGCAATTAAGCAAGTGGAAGAAAGCTGTAAAGCCTTCATACAGCCAAAATAAAAATGGCAAAATAAGAATGAATCAACAAATAGTTGGAAGGAAAAAGAACGAGCTATTGTGAAAATAATTTACTTTAGGTGTATATGAAAAAGACAGAACAAAGCCTATGTTCACCTTTGCCTTTCAGTGTCAGCTTAACATGTCATGATGCCTTCCTACCACTAGCTGCTGTCACTCACACTCACATGCACACATAGTATGCCTTGCATGCTATGCCTCTTTGACTCTTGATGTGCTTAAGCCAACTCTCCGAACTAACATGAACACAGGATAAAAAGTTTTAGATACAGCATATAAGCTTATACTCTTCTAGGATGTTGAGAGCCAGTGTGGACTATGCTCTAACAAAACCAGATTAAAAGAGCAGGGGGGGGGCACATGAACATAATGGTGTTTGGTGCTGCTCTGGGCTCCTTTGGGAGGAAGGGTGGGATATGAATTTAGTGAATAAATAATAAACACACAGAAGGCACCCTGTGGTTGGAATACTCCCCGTGAAAGTACCAGCAGCAAAAACACAAGACAACTGTGATGAGTATGAGTTACTCGTGCGTAAACTGGTGCCTCTCTAGGCTAATTTGCCTTGTTAAACCTTTCTGACTGCACAGCCCTTTCTCATCATGACTGTCTCAGTCACTAGCAGAATCCGTCAGTGGGCGTTTCTTGAATCTCTTCCAACATAAGAGTTGTTTGACACCCAATCTCCTCCGCCTCTCACTGCGCGGGAGCCTTCTGCGCAGGGTGGGCGTAGGTAGAGGGTGACCTGTCCCCTCCTCACTGAGTTCCAGTGAAGAGTCCGTGAGCCCTCTCTCCGATTTCCCCATCTGCTCACTTTTGTTCCTGGTGTTGCGCTGAAATGCTTCCCCCTCCACTGAGTTGCTTCTCCCCCTGCTGCTGGGTCCTTCTCCAGCATCATCTAGGAGCCTCCCCTTCGCCTCCCGCTCTGATGTCAGTTCCCTGACAACAACAAAGAGAAAATTTCCAGGTTCCCTGAACAGAAAAATGTTGCTGATAAGAATCAGTAAATGATTCTAGTGAACAGAAGGGAGACAAAACACCAAGAGAGCGAAAACAAAACAGCCCAATTTTCTGCCTCACAAGAGCAGAAAAGAGGAAAGGGGACAAAAAAAATGGGGCTTATGATCAGTGGAGTGATACGTTCTGAACTGCAGGAGCGCATGAAGACGACCCCCAACTTGATTCTGACCAAACTAAGCCGCCTGATATATATTTTGCTCTAGGAAGGTTTAGTGTGGTCAGAATCGAGTACATGTATACACTTTCAGAGTTATTGCTAAATACATTACTTCTGGTAAATGAGCTAGAGGAGAATCAAAATTTGTGCTCCCAGGCTTTTTAGACTTGTCTACCCATGTACTACCTGAAACCCAAGGGGTGCATTGGTTGCCAGATCTGACCCCCCACCCTCCAGCTCTCCTATCCCACTATTATTGAATCTGACTGCCTGGTACTGGATAGGAGGTTGTTGTTTTTGTTGACAGACATGTCTGGCTCCTTCCCTACAATATGGAGGACAGAGGATACAGAAGTTGGCCATACAGAATATTAAAACTAAGCAAGAGCAATTTCCACATGTTCTCCATACCTCACTGAGTTTCCTATGTAGGCTTTGAAACTCGCTGAGCTTTCGGAGTACCGTCCATTCCTTAGCTTCAACGCTGCCAATCTCTTGTAAACTCACCATGACAGAGTAACAGGGCACTTGTTCACCATTTTCTTCTATGACCTAAAACAGAGAAAGGTTATTTTTATTTTTATTTTTATTATTATTATTATTACATCATCATCATCATACTGGAAAAGGATATGCATGCACACCTACATGACAGAAAGGTTCCACTTATTTATATTTAAAAAAAAAAAAAACAGAAGGAAAAATCCATACTTCGCTGGAATATATGAAGGCTTTCCACATGCCGAAATTCTCACACCACCAATCTGTTCTTTCAATGTGCAATTGAAGGTCACCATGTTCTCGCTCCATCAGAGTGATTTCATCCTTCAGTTTAGAAACAATCTGCCAAGGAGGGGAGAAACCACTTGTTATTACCGGTTATCATATTCCTTCCTTCCTTCCTTCCTTCCTTCCTTCCTTCCTTTCTTTCTTTTTTTAAAGAAAATCTACACAACTATTGCAACACATCACTCTGGTGCATGTACTGAAGGAAACAGATTAAAATGTGTAGCAATAAGGAAGAGAAATAAAAAATTGTCAGGCAGTGGAAGGGAAAGAGGCAAGGAATTTAGTAAAAGCTCCCAAACCGATTCCCCATCTAAATGACTCTGTCTTGACATAGCAGTACTGCTTAAAAGGTCATGCATAATTTGCTTGAGGTCACGTATAGTTCAGAAATGAAAAGCAAATTAAGCCCTGAAACATAATGATAAATGAAGATTTAGCGCTGAGTTCATGAAAGATAGAGGGAAGGGGGAAATCACTACAGAAAAGTTTTTAAAAGATGCTGTGAACTAAAAAAAATAAAAATACTTAAGATATTGTCCAGCACTAATTCACTTAGATATTTTTTTTTGGCCGGGGGGGGGGGGGACAGGACGGGACAGTAGGCTGTCAGACAGCTGGGGAAAAATGCACATTCAGCAACCTAATAGATAATCTATGCAGAGAGGTCCAACATCATGGTGCAGAATTAGATTGTAAAGAGGCTTTGGAATCTTTGGACCTTAAAAAGCATGGTTATGCTACACACTATTTTTATGGGTACACACAGAATATTGTGTTTATCTGTAAAACTGTAACAAAGGCCAAGTGGCAATTGCATGACTTCAGATGAATGCATCACATAAGATGCATGAACCCAGGAATGTGACCTAAAGGTAAAGGGAGCCCTGACCATTAGGTCCAGTCGTAACCGACTCTGGGGTTGCGGCGCTCATCTCGCTTTACTGGCTGAGGGAGTCATGTGGCCAGCATGACTAAACTGCTTCTGGCGAACCAGAGCAGCGCACAGAAACGCCATTTACTTTCCCGCCAGAGTGGTACCTATTTATCTACTTGCACTTTGACGTGCTTTCAAACTGCTAGGTTGGCAGAAATCTGACTTAGCCATGCCTTAGTTGTTATATTGCAGTAACATTGCTTTTGATGTTAATGTATGAAGCCCAAGGATGCACTCAAGATCTGAAAGTGCTGAGCTGGTACTGTGGTTGATTTTACTGAATCATGTGAGCAGGAAAAGTGAAATAGAATAGAAGAGGCTTATACTTGATCAAAAAATACACGAGTAACCAACTACCAACAATTTTTGATAAGCAACTACCATAAAAAATATGTGTTTTTATTGATTCTCCATTGCTCATGGTAACAACAATAAAACAACAAAAATTAAAAATTTTAAAAACTTCTGGGTCATTTGACAACGTCTTACTCCAGAGGTTAGTTTAGTAGAACTCTCCACAGACTGCCATGTGTCAAAGGCAGATTGTGAACATGGTCCTCTTGCTGTATGAAGTCATGGAACGGTTGCCAAGTATTTTAAAATTAAAGAGGTTTGATATCCCCTTGATTGCTCATATCAGAACAAAAACCAGTTCTTACTGTTATACCAGTAAACACGTCAGATTAATTCCATGTGGCAACTTTTCTCAACACAGCTGCAAAGCACCGAATAATATTTTCCTGTGATATTGCAAACAACCCACAAGGCAGGACCTTCCATGCCAACATCTAGGACTTGGTATCATTTTGTGTCTCATTTACCAAACCAAAGAGCAAGCACTGGTGCAGAACTGGAGAAGCAGGCAGGAATGCAGGTTTGATTCTATGCCATCCAAAAGGCCCATAGACCCTCATGCAGCATTTCAGAAATGCTAGAAAGCCCCACTGTCTATTCCACATTGTCACTAAAGTTCATAGTTCAGCAGTGGAGCACCAGCTTTACATGCAGAATGTCCAGAGCTCAATTTCTGGCATCTCCAGTTAAAGAATATCAGGTAATAGATTTGAGAAAGATCTATGCTTGAGTCCTTGGAGAAGAACCAGGATCAGCTGGAACTGACAATTACTGGGTTATAAGCAATCAAAGATCTGATTCTGTGTCAGACAGCTACATATGTACTTATATTCACTGACAGAACAACACTGCAACCTGCATAAATTGCTAAGATCAGATTTTTAGGGTGCTGAGAAGGAAACAATATTAAAGATTGTATATCAATGCCTTTGTAGAACAATCAGTGGCTAATGAGAAGCCTTGAAAACAGCACCTTCCAAATTATTTTTTGAAGTGAAAGCTCTCTAGAGTCTATCTACATGTCTACTCTGAAACACAGTCTGCTAGTATAATGCATATAAATAACAAAGCCACAAACCTTTTTGTCAGGTTTTGGTGAACTGCAGAGAGAATTTAGAGCTTGTCTCTTATATTCAAGTCTGTCATTTAGCTGGCGTAGCTTATTCACAGCGTAACTGGCCTGCTCATTAATTCCGGAGCTTCCTTCATCAATAACTTCTTCACAAACTTGGTTCTAGAAGAGAAAGTATGGATAGCCAACAGTGATTAATATATGTTTAAGTATAATCCATTAACTTGACTACCTGGTTTAACACACATGGTCTAAGCAGAAGTACGTAAATAACTGTGCCGACTAGAATGAGATGTGGGTTTGAATCCCTCCTCAAATCACAAAGCTCACAGGTTAACCTTGAGCCAGCCACTATCTCACAGCCTAAATTACATCATGGTTGTTGTGAAAGTTAACATCATGTGGGAAAAGGACCATGAATGCTGCCCTAAAAGGGGTTTGATGGAAGATGTGTCTACCACTTATTCTTAGCCAAAATAATTAAATGGAAGCTCCAGGTTCAGAGACAACACACCCAGTTGTTGGGGCAATAGTAGGAAGAGCTATTGCTGCCTGGCCACGGTTGGAAACAATGATAGACTAAGATGGACCTTTGGTCTGATCCCCCAGTGCTTATGATCCATGTCCCCCAACATTATTATGCTATCAAATATTCAAGTTTTTTACCCAGTTTATCTTCCATGGCATCTGTAAGCATCACTCACCACTTCATCTTTGTCGTCAGATGTCATCTGAACGGTACTTCTCTCTTCTTCCTTCTTGATCAGCCTCTCATACAAATCACTGACAAGGAACGATGGGTAGTACCTGTCCTTCAGTGTTTCATAAACATCAGTCTGGATTTTGTAAAACACCTCAATGCCTTTGTTGCCTACAAGGCTCTGCTGTATCTCTTTATACAGTGACTTTTCCACAGTAATCTCTCTGCCTTCTACAAAGAAATCCTGATAGATTTGACTCACAAGTTGAGGTATTTCAGCCTAAGGAGGAAGAAAAACCAACATGAAGAGATGCATCCATCACAATCAAGAACCATGCAGTTAAATATATGCTTGTTTATCCTATTCGGTTCTCTGAAGAATGACCCTTGGTTTTAAATATTAAATACAAGCAAATAATTATAATCATAATCCACAGTACAGCATACTCAAACAGAAAGCAAGAAGGATCACACCCCATGCAGATGTTTCTTTATTCCTTTTCATATTGCTGATCCTCAGCAACACATGGTAGGGAGATCACAGCAGCAGACTTCTGCATGTGAACACTAAAAACATTATTAAAAAAATACCAGTGATCTGGAAGATTAAGTGTTAACTGTTTATGTTTTCGAACAGTCCATTTTCTTCACTCATTTCATGAAACAGGGAATTGATTTTTAAATTTGGCCTGATTTTTGCCACACCAGCACAACTGACTGGACTGATAAAATATCTAGGAGCAGTTTATATGCAATTTGAATACTAAAGCCAATGCCAACTTTTTATACAACACTGGTTTACAATTAAAAGTCTTGCCAAAAATTATTTCCAATAACAAGGTATGACATATGTTTATCTACTTTGTACCTTGTTAGCATTCTTCAAGTATTCCACGCATTCCCAATAGCTGATCAAAGATCTCTTATCCACTCTTTCCATGTATGTTCGGAAGTGCTCTCTGTAGGATGGGTTGCACAAAATATCCTCAAATTGAAGAATCTGGAGGGGGGAGGGGGACAATTAATGACATTATTTCAATTAACTAATCTAGTTCACAGGTTACAAACCTCATTAAGCGCACTTATTATTGACAAAGTGGATTAAGGCTGGAATGATCAGCAGAGATAATCCAAGATTCTGGATTCATTGTTTTTTATACCTTACCATTTCCCCAGCACTCTGATAAAAATCTCGGGAGACATTAAAAATGTTTCATGGGTGCAGAGATCATCAGTGCCATCTCCACAAGGACCCCTCTTAGTACATGCAAGAATGTTTTTGTGTATACTAGGTTCAGCAGCAACAGCAGCAGCTCCTTGTACTGTGTTGGAAGCCGTTTTAATTTATTATTTATTAATTACATTTATAACCTACCCCTCTCTATATGGTCCCTGGGAGGAGTTGATACATAACTGCACAAAACATTTTTTTTAAAAAAAGAAGGTCTTTCTGAGCACCTCCGTTTTAAACCATTTCAAACTCCTTCAAAGGGCTGGACAAACACGAGTTTTGAATTCCCCCCCCCCCCAGTTCCAAGGAAAAGTGTCTTTGTAGTAAGGAATTGTATCCAGAAATTGGGGGGAATAACTCAGCAGCTCATCACACAGCTCTCTGGATAGACAACCAAATACTAAAAACATAATAAGAATTTGTTTATTCCAAAGAAGCAGATATAGTATTCTGCTGTTAACCTCTTAAAAAATGGTGCGAAGGTACGCTATGTTGCACAGCCTTAAAGACAATTTTCATGAGTGTTCATGACACAACTGCTAAGACAATGGCCTACTTGATCACACACCAATTATTTACACAAGGAATTAAGGAACACACTATATTAATTTTCCTTTGTGTATCTTCAGAAAGAGCGACTCATTCACCCAATCCAGAAGTTCTATGAATTTTGCAGAACTCCTCCATATAGTAGAGCCCCGAGTTGTGCAAAGTTTCTTCCATTCTCTTCTGTGTCACTGATGGCTCCATATGCAAGAGTAGCCCCCAACTCCACTTCTAATCTATACAATTTCCTGGTTGAAGAGCTTTTCCTCACCTCACCTTTAGTTTTGCAATCTGGAGCCATAGCAGTTATGTGTAAAACGGCCAGCAGGACAATCTTAGGCGTGCTTACCTTTAAATAAGTCCCAAATAAATAGACAGGACTTGCTCCCAGCAAACATGTCTGAAACTAGAGCATTAACAGCTTAAGCACTAGCTCATATAGCTTCACGCTGAGCTGCAAATGAGACACTGGAATCCACTGCTGTGCTGCAATTGTTACAGTACAGAAACAATGAACCTTGGGATCCAACATGCTCTAACCAAGAACTCAAGAAGCAACTTAACTGGAGTGGAGGGAAATAAACCTTCTAAAGTGTTCCTTATCAGCACAGTTATATGCCTGCTGATTTGCTATCTGTAACCAAAATCTAGTGGCTGGAGGGGCAAGCAAAATGTTCAGCATGAAAAAAATACATCTGTTTTGGAGGCTCAAAGTATTTCCTGAAAGACCCCAGAATAATATGGTTGTCCCTGTTCATTTCACCACCCGAATCAGCTATAGCTTCAGTGTTGATTAAAAGAAATTGAACTCTTCCTTCCTGTTAGCAGCAATGCTGTCAGGTAGCTGGTAAGATTTGGCTGAGAGATGGTGGTTGATTTTTAGCCAGCAACAAGGAATGTGGAACTGCAGCTGCAGAGACTGCATGCAAGAGCGCCACCTTGTTAGTAGAAGGGGAGCCCTGCAGGGGTGTCCTATAATAAATAATAATAATAATAATGTTGGTGGTTGTTTTAATTTATTTACCTACCCTACACCCTAAGTTCCCAAGGAGGGTTGCCACAATTTAAAAATACGACATTAAAACCAGTTTAAAACAACTTACTATCACAAAAATAGGATGCATCCTTAAAGTATACATCTCAGGGTTATGTTTTAGAGGCTAGGGTAAGGAGAGCATTCAATGAGAAGTGCCATTCAGAAGGTGCCAGATGAAGGTTCCACAACTTAGGTGCTGCCACAGAGAATGTCCTCCTGCAGGCCACCACCATGAACTTCTGAATGCAATGGCACAACCAAGAAAGCCCCCTCTGCTGTTCTTAGCACCTGAGAGGGCCTTAGGGAAGCAGATGGTCTTTCCAAAATTCGGCACCTGAGTCGTTTAGGGCTTCAAACATTAACGTGAGCACCTTGAATTAGCCCTGGAGCCTCAAACATTAATGTGAGCACCTTGAATTAGCCCTGGAGCCAGAGAGCCAGTGTGGTGTAGTGGTTAAGAGCGGTAGTCTCGTAATCTGGGGAACCGGGTTCGCGTCTCTGCTCCTCCACATGCAGCTGCTGGGTGACCTTGGGCCAGTCACACTTCTCTGAAGTCTCTCAGCCCCACTCACCTCACAGAGTGTTTGTTGTGGGGAGGAAGGGAAAGGAGAATGTTAGCCGCTTTGAGACTCCTTAAAGGGAGTGAAAGGCGGGATATCAAATCCAAACTCTTCTTCTTCTTCTTCTTCTTCTTCTTCTTCTTCTTCTTCGTGTACCCAATTCTTCCTGGCCTGGCCTTTTTCTCTATGCACGAAAGATGCAGAGTGGGAAACAGGTGCCACTCGTGTGCACCGGAGGTCCCACCACAACCATTTTAGACTCCTTTTGCACAGCCCCAAGCCACCACAAGGGGGACACGTTGTACCTGGTGGGCAGGGAATTCATAGCAAAATGTACCCTACCTCATTGAACCTAGCCTTGGAGAAGCCCAACACCCTGTTCTCAGACTGGCAGGGTACTGAAAAGGCATGGAAATGTTTGGCAATGTCTGGCTCTCCAAAGCTAAAATGGAACAAAAGGGGCTAAAAATCTTGTTCTGGCCACTCCAGAACATCTACTTGACTCTTCTTGCCCTTCCCTTTTTCTCTATACGTTCAATTTACTCTTAAAAATGTCAACGTCTCTGTAAACTGGACTCTTTGAAGAGGAATTTGTTATGCGTACCAGGTAAACAGATTTGACAGTTATTGAAGGATTCTTTTTTTTCTTTAAATGGAAGGAAGTAGAAAGCCACTCTCCCTCCAGTGATTCTTACTGCTAACCATCTTAAAACTAAATTCAGCCGCTATATATTTCATCCGCTTGTTTAAATAGCTCATTCCCTCTAAACCTATTTAGATGCTTCTAAATCCCCAAGGCAGGGGGAGTCAAATCCAAGGGCATATAAAAAAATGCCACAGGATAATAAAAGCAAAAACACAACTCAGTCTGAAATATTATCGCAATGCAATCACTGGCGCTCTCGTTGTACTTTATTAATTCAGTACTGTCAGAAGTGGTACTCGTTTTCAAATATTTCTTCACAGATTGACTTGCTTTAAAGCAAGAAAGGAATTAAAAAATGAATTAGATGTATCATTATCATGGTAGAAGAGGCTGTGGTTTTTATGCTTTGCCTGCAAGCATTCGTGCCAGTTTTACCAAATTTTTGCACAATCCTAATTGCATTTACTCAGAAACAAGACCCACTGTTGTCAGTAGACGCTGCATCCAAGTAAGATGCTTAGAACTGCAGTCAACACAGATACAGTTTTTAAAATGCCTTCTCTTCCAAGCATGTGAAATTTGTATAGTCCTTGAACAAGGCTGAAATGTTCTCACAAGGTCTTGGAAATTCCAGTACCCTTGGTGCCCTGCAATAAACTGAAAGCAGACAGCTATGCTGGGACACAGGCAAGAATCCTGTCACGTGATTAGCTATGAACTAGAAGATCTAATTTTAGAGCTAGTCCACAGCTACGGTGTGTCCCTTTAAGCTTTTTAAAGTCAAGTAGCTTCAAACTCAGGGATGAAAATTCAACAGTTGCCCTTTAACTCTGCCGCATCTCAGGAGGAGTTGAGAGTTGAGATAATGAACCTTTCAGTCTTGGTCCTGTGTATGTTTACTCAGAATTAGTCCCACTGAATCCAAGGAGACTTAATTTTAAATGCATGCACACAGAATTGCAGCCATGTAGTCCAATCGTGTCCACATTTACCTGGAAGCATGACAATTTGTGTTGACTGGGGTAGTGTCCTTATTGTTACCTGTGAAGTCAGCATAGGACAACCTTTGCTGCTCAAATATTCTGCCAAAGCACAGCTGCAACATATAAATTGTTTGATTTTATTATGAAATGTGGAGTTTCTTTCCCATGCCAACCGTGTGCCCAAATATATGATTCACATATATTTCATGACAAAATATTTGACAAACTGACTAAGTAAGCTACTAAAATTATATACTACATTTTAATAGAGCACAATTTTTATAAGGAAAGAGGGCCATTCTGGCCTGTAGTGTGAGTACCAATATGTTGACTGTGGAACAAGAGTCCCAGCTTTTAAAGGCTTTCCAAAGAAATTGATAATTTCCAAAAGGTTTCCACTAAAACTGCAGGGGGGGGGAGAATATCATACAGAAATAGCCACATGAAAAATGTAATTCTGGCAGAGTATAAGCTTTTAGGGACTTGCACCCTTGTTTGCAAGTTCTGCAACACTTGAAGAATACAGAACAAGGGTATCTTCTGGATCTCGTGTTGAGCTTTAGAATCAGTGAGACTCCACACTGCTTTCCATAGTCAGTGTGGTGTCTGGAAGTTTCTCTCTATTCTTCCAAAGTTTGACGATGCCTGGGGAATCCCCTGACCTTGTGCTTAGCCTTGGGAAGCAGAAATAGAAGCACTGGCAAGGTCACAGTCTCTACAAATTTAATGTGATGAGGACAAATCCCTGCACGGTTACACTGGGCTTCAAGAGGTGCTCCCGGCTCCTCTGAAACTCAAGAGCAGCACTGCAGCGAAGACCTCCGTGCTCCCACTTTATGGAGAGCAAGGGTCAACAGCAAGCAAAAAATTCCAGCTGGCTCTTGAAGCTAGTCAATATTTGTGAACGGTGCTAGAGTCATCAGAGAGAGTCAGGTGCAGGCCTTGCCAATGTCCCTGATAGCAGCCTCACATAAGATATTTTGAACTTTCCAAAGGAAGTGAAAGATAACAAGTATAGAATGTTTTGGGGGGGGAGAGATAAATCTCTGCATTGGTTAAAAAAGCCACAATCTTTCCTTTGTGCAAACAGCTGCTGAAGTACGGAGACTCCTCCAGTTTGCCTGCATTTACTTCCAATCAGGTCCTATAACATGAGGCAGAAGAAGCTGCATCACCACCACCCACAGAGAAAGAGAGAGAGAGGGAGAAAGGAAGGAAGGAAGGAAGGAAGGAAGGAAGGAAGGACAAACAAACAAACACAGAGAGCCAGCATGCCTACCTTCTGGTTCTGTGGGCCATCACTATCATCAAAGATGCCATCTTCTTGCTGGTCATAATCAGGACCTCCCAGAAGCCGTATTCGCTTTTCGCACTGCTTTTTTGCTACAGTTAGCTGGTTAATATACCTCTTCATGTTCCGGGCTCTCAGATGGTCAGCTTTCATTGCAGCCGTTTCTTTACCTTTACTCTCTATCAAAAACAATTGTTAAAAATTTAACTTTTTGAACTTAAAAAGGTCAGCATGTCAACATATAATGAATTTTGAAGAATGGACCCATATAGCAGTCTTGGCTTAAAAAATAAAAGAAGAACTTGTGGTAAAAGTCAGGATTGTCTCCTAGTGCCAAGGTATAACAGTTCACAAAAGTAGCTTTTCGGTTTTTTCCTTTATGCCACAAACAGCTAACAGAGATACAAATTGTGCAAGCTGACTAATAAACCTTATTGGTCCACAACACTTTTTATCATCATAGAAATGCATTGTTCATAAACGGTTTACATGTTAGCTTTTTATTATTATTTTCACCCCTGAAACATCTAAGAGTCTTGTGGCACCTTAAAAATCAACAAACATATTACAGCATAAGGTTTTCTGGGCTACAGTCGACTTCATCAGATGTTGTGGGAGGAGAATTGTTAAGGCCACTCCACTTCCGGGTGGGGTGGTGTTTCAGGCAGGCCATGTGGCCTCCCACACACAGCAGAGGCTGGTCTAAGCCCCCATGTCATCGGGGAGACCCTGGCCGCATCACACACCCCTTCCCATTCAACATTTTGGCCTTGCTATGGATCTCAGTTGGTTGCCTATTGAGGGGGCATGGTAGGAATTTTCCCACTTGGCAAACTGGCACTGGCCATTTGGTTTTCACCTACCTCGTAGCAACCATCACAACTTTTGTAAGGTTTGGCAGTTAGGCATTGGTAAAACCTGGTTCGGGGGAGGGGAGGTATGGCCATCACCTGCCCCTCCATTTTTAAGGGTATTCTATTAAAGGGATCCGGGGTGTGGATCTTGCCCAAAGCCCGGGTAGGGGCTAGGGCCATGCCACGACCCCATCGGGAACCCTGGGGGCGCTCTTAGTTGATGTACAACAACAGGGCTCCCCCTATTGGTGGCTGACCCTTGCTAGACTACCTGCATGGTGGGCAGGAGTCAGATATAGTCGGTTCAATTCCAATGCCTAAGCCAATACCGCTCACATTCTGTAACCAATAAAGTTGTGGCCCAAATTTGCCCATTTAACCTAATATACTGTGTCCAGGGGTTGTTGTTCAACATAAGGGGGAGGCCTTGGGGTCTTGACCATGCAACAGTGAGGTCAGAGAGACATCTTCAAAACAAAACCGATTAAATGCACATCCATATAGGTTGGCCACAGACTTTGTCCCACCAGAAAAGAAAGTACTACATTCTCAGTAATCACTTATCTTTTCATAGTTAGCAATTTTCAAAAGATCAGTTGTATGTAAATCTTAGGTGAAAATAAGGAAGGAGTCAAGGGTGGGGGATGTGCTCTTGCTTCCTTGTACATGAAACACTGAAATCAATAGTGAAGGATATCCTGTACACACAAAAAAGCATGTTTAATTGTAAGTGATGTTTCTACAGCAACCATCCCAAACTGATGAGGGCACTTGCTAGAATCTAAAATTATTAAAATAACCCCCCTTTACAGGAATATTCCAAGATCTCATGGATAGCTTTCTTAATTACAGTGGAACCGTGGTTCTCTAATAGCTTAGTTGACGAACAAATTGGCTCCCGAACACCAAAAACCCATAAGTAAGTGTTACAGTTTTCGAATGTTTTTCAGAAGCCGAATGTCTGATCGGCTGTTGGCTATTGTTTCCAGGGCGCCTGCACCAATCGGAAGCTGTGCCTCGGTTTTCAAATGTTTCGGAAGTTGAATGGACTTCCGGAACGGATTATATTCAAGAACCAAGGTACCACTGTATAATCAAATTTAACCTAGCTATGAGTTTGACCAAACTGTGGGAGGCAGTGGAAGAAAGGAGTGCCTGGTGTGCTCTGGTCTATGGGGTCACAAAGAGTCGGACACGACTAAACGACAACAACAAAGCTATGAAATATAAGTTTGCCAACTATTATTGATCTTGCTGGATGAAAACATGCCTCAAACATTCAGATCAGTTCTGGCGGCCATGAACAGATGGGAGAGTTATACTGTTTTTATAATACAACAGTTCTGATCAACCAGGAAACCATTTGAGCAGGTTTTAATTGTTCTTTGAGGCAAAATTCAGGAAGTCTCTTTGTGCTACAGTTTAAATTTTGTTTATACAAATGTCTAAAAATATGCAGATGAACTTTCAGAACAACCAGTGACACATGTGTTTTAAGATGAAAGAAAACAGGTGTTTCCTTCAGGGAGCCTAACATGGTTCTCAAGGCTAGTTTTGCTCCATTTAGCTCAGTAACAGAACAGAGTATTAATTGAAGATATTTAAATAAACCCTCTGTTAACTACAAGAAAGAGATTACAAAATTAGCAAAAGAATATAAATGCCTGATCACAACCAGAACCAAAAAAATCTGCACTTGCGAAAACACATCTGCCATAATAAAAAGTGAACCACTGCAAAGCACTAATTACAGAATAGTAAGTGATGCATTAATTAGCCTCCTTTATACGCTTCAGGTACTTTACGTACATTAGGAGCTCACCTTGGGCACACAAGAGGTGCTTCTCGCAAAATGACTGCTAACCAACTTCAAGTCCACGAGATACAAGTTACAAATACAGTGGTACTGAAGCCTTGGAAGTCGAAAGGAATCCGTTCCGGAAGTTCGTTCGACTTCCAAAACGGTTCGTAAACCAAGGTGCGGGCTTCCGATTGGCTGCAGGAAGCTCCTGCAGCCAATCGGAAGCCGCGGAAGTCCCGTCGGATGTTTGGCTTCCAAAAATAGTTCGCAAACCAGAACAGTCACTTCCAGGTCTGTGACGTTTGGGAGCCAAAATGTTCAAGAACTAAGCTGTTCGAAAACCAAGGGAGCATACATGGTTCATCTCTCTCTCTCTTACCAAGACATTTTGCTGCCTGAGGTGAAGGGGAAGGTGGCAGTTCACATACAGATGTCAAATACAGTAGCAACTTAATCTGAAACAAAAGTCTAGTTTAGGGGGTCCAGGACAGGTTATGTGGCGCACACAGTTCTCATGTTATTCTGCCTGGTGCAGAATATTCTGCCTGGCACATCCTCACAACAACCTGTAAGACTGGGACTGAAAATAACTGGCCCAAGATCAGCCAGTTAACTTTATATTCAAGATTTGAGCCTAGGCCTTCCCAGTTCTATGGCTTGTCCACAAATGTGGAATCACACCAGCCTGCCTTCCCCATAAAAGTAGAGGTGTCCTGTTATTCTGGACCTTTCCCTCTTTAAATATGGGGTTCAAATCAAATACCCAATTCACAAAAAACTCTGCATGTAAAGTGGAAAAGGCCCTGGACAACTGTGGACAAGTCCCTACAACACTGGCTAAAAAAACAACAACCTAAAAGCCTTTCTCCTCCAAACATTCAAAATGGATGAAAGAGAAAAACTTTGATACTGTGCCCAAGATGCAAAAAATAAATTCAAAACATAGTGTTTGGAATTCGCAAGTTATTGTTTGCTTTTTATTTATCTATTGCTTCCCACGAGGCATCCCCAAATGATTTACAATACAATACTTTTTGAGCTATTATAAATAATAATTTGAAATTTAAACACCTAAGCATTTCCCCCCCTCAATCCCTTTGATCTATCCTCAAGGCACAGAATCAAGGTGGTTTGTTTTTTTCATAACAACGCATCCTAACTAGAACCTTTTGGCCATAATACATCATTATTAGACAGCGGAATATAACTGAAAACCTCAAAATATTTTTTGAACAGCAACCATCAATAATATGATCTCCAATGTCAATCATAGTTTGTTTTGAAGGTTTTTAAGAACACTATAAAAAGTCACATTTTGGGAGCTGCACAAACTCTGCACTGCTATATCTGACAGAAAAGCTAAAAGTTAACTGCAACAGCACCTGATGAGAATCTGCAAGAAATTAAAACCCAAGGCATAAAGTAAGTGTCGGTGAGAGGTAGGAAAGCTTTTCAAAATGCTTTTTTCCTAGCAATGACTACTAAACTATTCTGCATCCCCACCTGCACTCTGAGAGAGTGGGCTTCTCAGTTTCTGGCATTCTGGTCTGACTACAGGGCTAAAGTCTTCCCAAAACTTGTATAAAACCTGAGTGCTATCTATCATCACACTCTTATAGGTAGAGAAGTCAAGACAATACTTTTAAAAAAAGAATCTTGCAGCACCTTTGAGGACTAACAAATTTATTACAGCATCAGCTTTCATGGATTCTAGTCCATGTCTTAATCACAGAATTCAAACATTTCGAACAGCCCCTATTCTACCGAGTATATTTACAAAACTGGATATATGCAACATTTTTTGTATTTTTTATTATGAATGTGTTTCTCATAGGTATAAATGCAAAAATGAAGAGTAGCATATTTATGCCTACTCAAAATACTAAAAAATTGAAATTCCTTCACCACCCACACCTAAACGATTAAGCTGTACAAATTGGTTCCTGTACACACAGAAGTGCACTTTTTCGCATCGACTTAAAAAGCTAGTACAAATTGTACCTACTTACACTGAAACATTCAAGTGGAAGAAACTGCGTAGCCTCCAACAGTTACTGATTCTGAATCTCTTAAGCTCTGAGGGAGCAAGATCTTTTGAAGAAGAAATGACCTCAGGTGGAGTATTTGTCAAAATTTTGAAAGTGAAGGCTATTCTCATACAGAAAAGTACAACAAGGATCTTTTTCTGGCCCATAACCAAGTGGGTAAAAGAACAAGTAATTCAAGACTGTGCATCAGATCTTCTCTTGAAAACACTTGGTTGGCTGAAATTTGAGAATACCACCTTCCCCTATGCCACCTTCCCATTCTTCCAAAAGTCTCCAGTCTGCCACAAGTCCACAGCTAACTTTTTCCACAACAACTGAGTAGAAATGAGTATTCCATAAAGATTTTTTGCATTCTACAAAAATGCATAAGAAAAGTCAAGAAACAGAATATACACAGATATCAAGATCTTGATCAATAAGCTTGATATTTAAATCACAGTTGTGACTCAGATGGGAAACTGTGGTTTGAAGAGACAGAGATAAAGCCAACAAACAAGAGGCGTGTGTGTGTGTGTGTGTGTGGGTGTGGGTGTGTGTGTCTCCAGCATGCTTTTCCAGCTTAACAACACCCTAACAAATTCCATATCCCTTTGGTTCACCCTCAGCAGCCTCCACTATTGCCTGGTATCAATGAACTGGAAAATCAAGGATATGGTAAACAAATATCTGGAAAAATTCAAAATAAAATGCAATCCTATATATGTCTAGTTTGAAGCAAGTCTCTGTGAGGTATAAAGAACTTATACAGAGTTGCAGCCTGCAATGCTGATCTGCAGAAACTTATTATTTTTTATTGAATTTATATACCTTCCATTTTTCCTTCTAAGCCAAATAGAACACTATAAAAATTAATACTATAAATACTATAAAATTTACATACAGAATCAGAAGTGGTTTGAAAAATACACAGCTCTCAGTTGCTGCACTCCCCTGAACATGGGACAGTAGCACTGTAAGCTCAGGGTCTGCCACAAAATTAAGTAAATATTTATTGATTTGATTTCCATACCGCCTTTCTCCTAAGGCACTCAAGATGGTTTACAATTTGAAACGCTAAAACAAACACATTATATAAAACATAGAGTGGCAAAGTGATATCAGGCCAACTGGTAGCCAATGGTATGTGCCTGGGCTGCAGATACACCAAGTAGAGAAGACCTTTTAAAAAAAACTATTGTTAGTTTGTTATATAAACTTTTTAAAAGTATTTTTCTTCTTTAGAAGACACAGGGAGTATTATTTCAACAGAAGCCCATAGTAATTTCACAGGATGATGGAAATTGGAGAGCGCTCCATTTTCTGTCAAGGAAGGAAGGGAGATGTGCAATCAATTCTAAAAGCTGCACGGAAGAGGCTTTGTGACACACATTCAGTGTTCTTTGCAGCAATCTTTCTAATCATGCTGAGGGGGTACTTAAAAAGGACGTAATGAGAGAGATTAGTTGTCAGCTTGTCATCCTAATGGCCATTTGCTGCAAATGTCAAGCAAGCTGCTATGAAGAAAGAAACACTGACGCATTTTTGAGGTAAGGGATTCTTACCTGCAGCTCAGGGAGAGGGGATTTCGGAGGGGAAGGACATTCTAGTGGACCATGTAGCAAAAAAAAGCAACAACTTGGCTTGCAGCAACCCTTTTTTTTAATGAAGAAGTAGTAGTACAGTGGTACCTCAGGTTAAGTACTTAATTCGTTCCAGAGGTCCGTACTTAACCTGAAACTGTTCTTAACTTGAAGCACCACTTTAGCTAATGGGGCCTCCTGCTGCTGCCGCGCCGCCAGAACACGATTTCTGTTCTCATCCTGAAGCAAAGTTCTTAACCTGAAGCACTATTTCTGGGTTAGCGGAGTCTGTAACCTGAAGCGTATGTAACCTGAAGCGTATGTAACCTGAGGTACCACTGTACAGTCATACCTCGGCTCCCGAACGCCTTGGAAGTCAAAGGTTCCAGCCCCCGAACAATCAAAAACCGGAAGTGAGCGTTCCAGTTTTCGAATGTTCTTTTGGAAGCCGAACGTTTGACTGGGCTTCCGCGGCTTCCGATTGGCTGCAGGAGCTTCCTGTAGCCAATCAGAAGCCGTGCTTTGGAAGTCAAACGTTTCGGAAGTTGAACAGACTTCCGGAACGCATTCTATTCAACTTCCGAAGTACAACTGTAGTTAAAATGTTATTAGCGACACTAAAAACATCCAAGGGCACCATTTGCTATCTCAGCACAGACCCACTGAGTCTTTAATAACTGTATTCCCGAATATGAATTCTAGAAACCTGATTCCTGGACTTGGAGAGCTAAACCACAGTAGTTTGAGTACTGGTGATTATAAGACTGGATTACTGCAATGCACTCTATGTGGCGCTTCCCTCGCACTTGGCCTCCAAACTGCAGTTAAGTGCGGAATGCTGCAGTATAGTTGCTGGTTCAGTGAGCTTATAACACCTCTGCTCATTTGTTACCAGGTCATGGTCAAGGTGTTACTATTGGCTTGTTTGTTTCGATTCAGCTGTAAACAATGTGTTTTCCCAGGAAAAGTGGCAGGGACAAACTCTGCTTGGACCTGTGCCTACAAATCACAGCACAAACGGAAGTCTGCATGAGCCCAAGCCCAAACTGTTTGGACATGTATTTAAAAATCAGTAACCCAGTGTATGCATTTTCTGCTTGCTAGCAGAAATGAATTCTTGTTGGGTACTATTTCTTTATTTTATTTAATGAAATGTATATACTGCTCAACTGGAATAAAACCTCCAAGTGGTTTGCAAGAAATATTAAAGTCGTTTAAAGAAACCTTTAAACAAGAATTGGAAAAAAATAAAATAAAGTTGTACCTTGGTTTTCGAACAGGTTAGTTCTCAAACGTTTTGGCTCCCAAACACCGCCAACCAGGAAGTGAATGTTCTGGTTTGCGAACTATTTTTAGAAGCCGAACGTCCGACGTGGCTTCTGCGGCTTCCGATTGACTGCAGGAGTTTCCTGCAGCCAATCAGAAGCTGCGCTTTGGTTTCCAAACGTTTCAGAAATCAAACAGATTTCCAGAACAGATTCTGTTCAACTTCCACGGTACGACTGCAAAAGATAATTAAAATTAACAGTACAGTAAAAAGAGATAAAATACATCAACATCTTGCCTACGCAAATGTTATAAGCAAGTGCTGAAAAAAGTACATTGAGGGTGCCTCCCTGATAGGGAGCTTAAAAGACTGATTTCTTATAAGTACAAATTGAGTATTATGTGGGATTTGTAACAGTCCATGCCAATTCCACAGATCAAAGCAGTTGAGTGGGCACATATGGGATAAGATGATACTGCAAGTAAACAGTGGGTTTTCCCAGGGAAAGCGGCAGGACAAAAGAAAAACGTTCGGACCCATGCCTGGAAATCATGGATCTGAGCCTACAAATCACAGCACAAACAGAAGTCTCATGCCTATTGTGTATCCTCTCCACTCAGTATCTTATGAAATGGTCTTTCCAGTAAATGAATATATTCATAAATATCTCGCTCTTTGCAAAGGGAAGTTAACAACAACTACTGTTTATATTTTGCCTTTAGTACTATTTCAACATTAGGCTTTTTATGCAATAAATAACCTATTTCAAGTAACCCATTTCAAAGCATGCCTTTAGAAACAGGAACAAAAGAAAGATAACTAGAGTATGTAACAAAAATGGAACAGAAAATTATGCACTTAAAATGAAACTGAAGTAAAATGAAGCACGTCAGAAACCCACATAAGGGCACACAAAAACATTCAAATGATTTTGGGGGATGAGCATGCTATTCTGGGATTCTCACTATGCCATTTATTTATCATTATTCATTAATCTTCTATTATGTTATTTATTTGCCAGTACTGATATTGTGCTTATCACAATGGATTGCCAGTGGGCAAAACCCCACAACATAAAAGTTTGCCCTTTCGTCCCCAAATAACTAAAGTGGACAGATGTGAGAAGTGAACCAAAAAGCAAGTAAAATGTACCAGTCTTGAACAAAGGAACAGTCATCTCAGTAAAATAAAAATGATGTACGTGAAGCAAAACTGAAATGGATCAACCAACATTTAGAATGCTGGGAAAGTTTTGAAAGTGGTTCCATTGTTGTTGTAGAAAGCTGAAGGCTAAGAGAGGCATGTTTTCAACCAGCCTTCATTTTTCATCAAATGAAAATATTTGCTTAGACTCTCTCTGCATGTAGACAAATTTGGCATCAAAACAAAAATGGCCATATCCTAGGATGATATACATCATTTCAAGATGGTAAAAGAGGGCATGCAATATTACACAGTGGTACCCCGCTTGCATTTTGCAATGTAGCCTCCCCGCTATGTTTGCTTTCCTTATAAACAAAGTAAGAACAGTATTCTCAGATTACAGATGGGATAGCTCAGTTGGTACAGCATGAAACTCTTAATCTCAGATGGCCATGTAAAGAATTAGTTATAAGTTTTCTAGTTTTAAACACCTCCCGAAAAGACGCAACTTACCTTTTTGCCTTTTCAACTGTGGAAAGCTGCCGATAGTGGTTGCTTGAACTATTTCCACTAAAATCTGATACCTAGTTACAAAGAGAAGAATACAATCAGATCTTTTTGGCTTCATGGCTAATAGTACCTACAAGCAACAATGAAAGGAAAGACTTTTGAGTGAGGAGTGGAAGAGCTGAGCAGAGATTTTGGTTTTATGCAGTATAAAGAATAGGACATTTTGGATTGGTTTAATGTTTACACTGACATCTCTACAGTGGTACCTCGGGTTAAGAACTTAATTTGTTCTGGAGGTCCATTCTTAATCTGAAACTGTTCTTAACCTGGGGTACCACTTTAGCTAATGGGGCCTCCTGCTGCCACTGCGCCACCGCTGCACGATTTCTGTTCTCATCCTGAAGCAAAGTTCTTAACCCGAGGTACTATTTCTGGGTTAGCGGAGTCTGTAACCTGAAGCGTCTGTAACCCGAGGTACCACTGTACTTCCAAAATTTAACATGCATCCCTCAGAACTTATTATCACCATAACGGATTATAACAGTTATAACTCTCAGCGCTGTCAGACTGCAACCGTTTTCAGAATATTTTTGTTGTCATGTATAGAATAATTAAAGGATTAAAAATATTACTAAGACCAGACATTGTATGTTTTCTAAATGTGTGGCTTACAGAAAGACTATAATCTTGCAATTGTGATTCCCGCCTCTCAGCTGAGTAGTTTAAGGAAGATGCCCCCCCCCCCGGCTCATGCAAATCAGAGGAAGGGGGGGTTGATCAACTGAGGGGCATGGGAAGCTGCCCACCCCTCAGCTGATCAAGCTCCCATACTGCTCGAGCCAGTGCAATATGGGGATGAGTGATGTATCTCATCTGCTTCTGAAGAAGAAGCCGAGATACATTTCACACATTGTGATATATCAGTAAATTGCAGTATTTAGCTGCTGATGTATCACGGTGTTAAAATCCAGATATTGCCCAGCCCTAGATTATATATCTGAGCCTCCCTCTTGGTCTCCCAGAATACGCAGAGAAATGAAGTGGGTGGAGCAATGAGAGAAGACGATGGAGCCTTCGGCTGCTGGGGAAGGAATCAGGGGAGGAGCAGGGACCTTCAGTCCTCTCAAATGATTCATTGGGTCAAGACCTACTGGGAAGGGTTGTGGTGACCACTAGGACAGAGCTGTTTTGTTTCTTTCAATAAACAGTTAACTTCACTGACATCGAGTGCTTTATTGTTGACCTACGTCTGCCTCCAGCTCCTGTCAAGGGTGAAATGAAAAAAAACCCAACAATATGCACAGAGAAAGAAATAAGGCCATGCATGCAATCTGACTTCTGTGAGCAGCCTCAGGAACTCTATAAGACATCTGGATTGGCCGTGCCTGGTATAAATCCTATGGGTGTGGCCTATTCCCGTGAGTTCAATAAAGCAAAAACACCTGCCTCCAGAAACACTGGGCTGGAGAATACACACTTTGGATATGGGTCACAGTATAGCTATTCATGGCCTCAATTACCTGCATGCCATAAATACTAACTAGAACATGCCTGCTCTCTCTCTGATACAGACTTTGCCCCCAATTCAATGAATGCCAATGGACCTATTTTGTGTCGAGTTTCCTATAAACAAACATGGCATTACCTTAGTTGTTTGAGGAACTCAACATCCGAGTTGCTGTTAATAAGCTTGATGAACTCTTCGTAAGAAGGAGCATATGTGTAGGCTCTTTTGTGATGCTCATTCACCTGTTCCCGGTACTCCATCTGGACAAGCAACATTTGGTTGATGTAGTTGGGATCACTCAGGAGCTCTACCATGGGTTTCAGTACTGAAGTTTTAAAAAAGAAGAACGCGGCACACATGTAATGCTGCAGACATCTTCATCGAGGGAAAAAACCCCCTGTACATTTTGCACTAAATAATATTAGCCTGAATTTATAGATACAAATGAACCGCTTCTAAATGCTGGTGTTACGTTTATTTCAAAAATTCTTAACAGCTTGATCATATTTACTTGGACACAAATCCCAGTGCCCAGTGGGAAAACTGTTCCTAAGAAGTGTGCATCCCGTTGTAGCCTTAAAGAACGTTTCCTAAAAATAGCTGGAGGTGACACACAACCTTAGAAGTTTATAATCACAGGAGTTTGGAAATTCAGTCTGTTAAAATACTGTAGTTTCATGCCTGTGAAGTTATTTCCTAGAACCCTGAAAAGAATTAGGAGAGCAAGCTTTAAATCTTTAATTCAATCCATTATAGCTGTAGTTGACTGATGGGTAAGGGCAAATTTTAGATCAGAAGAGCTGCAAATTAAGAGAAAACTTGTTTGTGGGGCCTGATCCAATGTGGGTCACAACAGGAGCACTACCACCATGCAAATATATGGTAAAATATTAAGAAATAAGTTCCCAAATGCAAGCTTGTGTTAAAAGTAGAGTCTAGATCTGAAAAGTTTAGATAGCTGCCATAGACAATATTGGCCAAAATGAACCAATGGTATAAGACAGCTTCCTTTGTTCCTATGAGTAAAAGAATGAAAACAAAAATATAAAAATGTGCGTCTTTTTCAAAGAATTAATGGTGGTTTTTATTTATTGTTGTAAATCACGTAAATTTGTTTAATGTCTCAAAGAGACAGTTATACTCAGGTTTCAGTAATATGCTGAATATACAGTGGTAGCTCTAGTTACGAACTTAATTCGTTCCGGAGGTCCGTTCTTAACGTGAAACTGTTCTTAACTAGAGGCGTGCTTTTGCTAATGGGGCCTCTTGCTGCCGCTGCACCACTGGCACACGATTTCTGTATTCATCCTGGGGCAAAGTTCTCAGCTCGAGGTAACTCTTCCAGGTTAGCGGAGTTTGTAACCTGAAGCGTTTGTAACCTGAGGCGTTTGTAACTTGAGGTACCACTGTACCATGTTTTTATATATGCTGGAAGCCACCCAGAGTGGCTGGGGCAACCCAGTCAGATGGGCGGGGTACAAATAATAAATTATTATTATTTTACAAATATAACCATTGAAAGGGTAGGTGATTAACCAACTAATCAGGGTTGGTTACCTGATTAGGGTAAGCTGACAGCCCTACTTAAAATGAAGTCACCTTTATTTCCCAATGAAACAGACATTTCCATTTACGAGTTCCAGAAAAAATGCCATATTAGATTGTAGCAGCAAAAAGCCTGCGACGCCCTGGAGACTGACATGTTTATTGTGGTACGGGCCTTTGTATGCAACATCCATCTCATGCACCTGATGAGTCAGGCTGCCTTCAGTCTAATTGTATGCCTGCCCTCATTTCATGAAAGCCTTCACTCTGGCACACATCAAGAAAAACGTGCAGATTTTTCAGTGGCTCAAATCTGTAGATCCAAAGAGAGATCTCCTGGGCTCCTCTAAAAAGCTATCAGAACAAGCAAGGTGCAATAAAGTCAATGCATGCACAGGAAGGGTTGCCAAAGCGGCTCCCACAGGTTCTACTCCCCTCATCCCATTGTAGCCAAGGGTGTTGTGATGCTTGCCAAGTCGCAGTACAGCTGTACCTAGGCTCCCACACGCCTTGGAGGTCAAATCATCTGGCTCCTGAACGATCGAAAACCGGAATTGAGTGTTCCGGTTTTCGAACGTTCTTTCGGAAGCTGAACGTCCGAAGGGGCTTCCGCGGCTTCCGATTGGCTGCAGGAGTTTCCTGCAGCCAATCAGAAGCTGTGCTTTGGTTTCCGAACGTTTCGGAAGTCGAATGGACTTCCAGAACAGATTCCGTTTGACTTCTGAGGTACGACTGTATCTCCATGGTGCCCACAACAGTTGCTGCAATTTGCAAATGTGCCCACAGGCTCCAAAAGACCAATAACCTTTGTTGAGGAAATTTTAATCTGTTTCAACTATTTTAACTTTTGTATGTTTTGAGATACGGCTGTGAATTTTTCTTGATTTTCTTGCTTTGTGCTTTTTTTTGTGAACTGCTTTGAGGTTTCTTAAGACTCAAGCGGTGTATAAATTTTATGAAATAAATAAATAAATGTGCAGGCTGATTTTCTAATCGTGAGCAAACGCTTGACCTGACCTATAATTACCTTTTGATGCAAGTATTTCTGCAAGGACTATGCGCAAGCTCAGCGACCGGGCATCCTTTGAGGGCAGAAGACAATACACCAAAATTTGAGAACATGCTTGCAGGAATCTTGCTTCTTCATCAGAGTTCCTCAAACACGGATGCAATAAAAATGGCCGTGGCTGCTCTTCCAGTCTAAAGAGGAGCAGCAGAAAGTTAATCATCCTCTAGTCATCACTGCTTGAAGATTCCCGATCCATAAAAGAAGAAAGCCAGCTACCTATAAAAAACACTGCCTTTGTTGAATGTTACATGCAATGCATTTTTTTATTTATTTACAGTATGAGTTAGTTATACATTTCCCCACAGCAAGCCCCTCCCTTCTTCCTTATTCGTTATAGAAAGAAAGGGAAAACAGCAATTTAAATCACTTGGGCTTTGCAATGTTAATAAAGTTATGAACATTTCTGAATTTCTTAAACACACACACACACACAACTGTAGTTTCACAACACTATGCCATGGTGAGGTTTAGTAGTTTGTGGGGACAAGGTTTATGGGGACAAGCATCAGATCTCACATCCCTGTGTTCCCTCCTCTAACATGTCTGTGGAGGAATTTGAAAGGCTTCACTTCAGCTTTATGCAATCTATTGCTTTGAATAAACCAGATAAACTTTAAAAAGCTCAATGAATTGGTTCAAACAAACATATGCAAATGTATTTTTCAACAGCTCCAATGTCTATTTTACAGAATTTCCATACAAAGCATTTATCACAGATTTTCAATTTGGTCCATCTTGTTATTGAAAAGCCGTCAGCTTGTGAGGGAGCTTGAAATTGTCAGTTTGAGGCCTGCTTTGCAAATGCCGTATAAAAAGGCTCAGACCAGGGCTTCATTTCCATTTCCAAACAGCCAGTAAAATACTTTCAGCGTATGCTTGCATAAGAGGGCAAGTATGCAAACATGTACTGGATAAGTTTATCTTAGCAGGTGTTTCAAAATCCTTGACGCAGCTCTTGCAATAAAATGCATGCAAGAAAGTATTCCATAAAGCTCTAGCATTTTCAGGCAGCAGGTGATGAGTAAAAGGAGAGACCTACCAGGCACAAAGTACAGCATTCACAACAAAGACAGAACAAAATCAAACATCACCTAAAATAAAAATCATTTACAGTTCATGAAACACACCAGCCCAGTTGAGATGCAACACCAAACCATGGTTTAAATCCAATTTATTGGGAAAAGCAGACCTAAGTCCTGGGTTCACACACTTCCCCTCTGTCTCAGTCTTTGATGCGTGAAGGGAGGAAGTTCCAAGTTTCTATTTGCAGTTCAAAACAACCCGCAGTCCTTATTCAAAGGAAAGCTATAGTTTGTGCAAACCACAGTTAGATCAAACTGTAGGGTAAAAGACATTGAATTATACATTCAGTTTCCTTTCTCCTAAATAAACCCTGATAGTTAAAGAAAGCTGTCCGTTCCTCTGAGCCCACCCACCCACAGTTGTTTTCATAGCAAAAAGAAAGTGAGACCATGTAACTTCCCAATCACTGGGACAATCAGTAGGGTAGGAACTGAGCTTAGGAAAAGCCCCTGACAAATTATTCAGAGCTGGCTAAGCATTCTCAATCAACCAAGGCATTCAAGCCAGTCTCTGGAGGAACAATCCTGGGCCAAGGAGAAGTAAGAAGCAGGCTACTTGTCCCTCATCCTGCAAATTGCTCTGACTTTGCACATTACACTCCATTGTCAAAAATATCTTTCCTGAATGGACAAGGACAGCCTTGCAACCTCGGGCCACCATGGCTTGGAAAGCAGGATGGTGAGGCCATTTTGATACCTTTGTCCAGTTTTGCAAAGGAAATGGGTCTCTTACCATTGGCTGAGACAAGCATGCTGAGAGTGGCATTTTAAAAGGCATTATACACCAAAAATCTGTTTAGAAAGTAGGGTAATTTATCACGGTGTGCAAGTGAGAGTCTTTTGCAAGGAAACCTGAGACCACATTCATGTTAGCCTCCTATTAACTCTAATTGCAACTTTAAAAAAATAAAAATAAATCCTGAAACCATTCTGGTTCTTCATCATCTTGACAGTGTAAAGGGGCTCCCCAACAGGCAGGAGATAAATCTGAAAGATGTTTACGCAGCAGTAAATCTAAAAAGACATTTTTCACAGGACTGTACTGTATATCTATCTACCAGGGCTTCCACACAAGTCTGCAGCAAGCTGCTAAGTAATTCACAAGGGAGCAGAAGTGGCTGTACATCTCTTTATCTGCATTGCCTCAGCTTCTTTAAGAGATTGGCAGAATTAAATCAAGTTTGATCTGCTAGAACCCTTTTCCGGGGGGAAAAGGTATAATTTAGGGCACTAGCAAGAAAACACAAATCCTATAGATATGGATGTTCCCCTTTTGTTTCATTTGCTAAGAGAAAGACCATCTAGCTACCAAGTCAGATATTTCAACTTTTATTTCTTAATTGCTTTAATATTTCCGGCTGGCCTTGAGACTGCTATTTGCAAAGAAAAACCCTCTCATGTTTCCCATGTCTACCACATGCATTAAAATGACTACTGGAAAAGCTATTAACGGAAGAGGAGAAAGAAAAGCAGCAGTAGTTTTACCTATCCTTCAACCTAGTTTGCAAGGCATGTTTGTTCTCTGCATTTTCCTGCAGTACTTTACCAGGCTATCAACGACAAGTTAGCAATTTGCAAGTGATCCCTCCTGAGAGTGTAAGCAAGAGCAAAGAGTGTGCCCAAGTCACATAAGCTATAATGAATGTGCAACTGGAACAAACTCATGTCTTGATTCATTACCTGAGCCTGTCAGAAAGTTAAAGTTAATTCAACAAAGTGAGTGGCAAGTGTTAGGTTCTCACAGGTAAAACCGGGAACCATGGCAGGCAGAATCAGACTGGCAAACCAGATGTTCCCCACCACTGCACTAAAAGTTTGCATGGATTTTAAAACACAGTGAAATCCTGTTAAGTCTCCATGTTTCAATTCCCAACTGGGCATTCAATTGTAAATATCTAAAAGAGAGCATATGTAATATTACTGTGCTATACTGGTATCCCAGCAAGAAAGCTTATAGCAGCTGTCCCATTTTTAAACACAGAACATCCTTAAGAAGTAGGTTATGCAAAAGAAACATCTAGTGCCTACTTTGGCGACATTTTTATTTGCGCATGCTATAGTTTTAGTCCTGCTGATCCTTTTTACCTGGCTTTTAAGATCCTGCTGCCTTTTAATAACTGTATTTTTTATTATTCAGTTTTGTTTTATTTATATTTTAATTGGGTTTTTAAATTTGCATTTTCCTCTTATGTGAAGCACTCTGGGAATTCATACTGAAGGCTGGAATAAAAATAGGTCAAGGAGCTTTCTTTCTCTGCTAGAGAAAGCCACATAGCAACCTGGTTCTTAATCTATTGCATCAAGAGCATCTCCAAGATAAACAAACAAACTGGCCAGCAAGGTCATGCAGTGAGCTTCAATGCCACATGGAGATCTGCCGCATCCCAAGGACTCACATATACCAACTACACAGCTATTAACTGGCCACATTCAATGTGCAACAGGTGGGGGGGGGGGAAATACACAGTTGTGTTTCAAAGAATGTAGTTCAAGAGATTCCAAGCAGTCGCCAACTAGCCCATGGGTCCACCCACACAAATATACTTTAATTTGGGTTGTGTTGGTTTTTTTTAAGATGCTCCTGCTGCATCCTTGTTTGTTGTGGTTTCTGTTAATCACCTTTGCCAACTAGGCACTGCCAATGACAAGACCAACCAAAAAAATGGAACTACAAGAACAAAGAGGAAATTCCCTTTTCAAGAACATCAGCTTTCACAATATACTTCACATGCCTATGTAGTGAACACACCCAAGTCAAAGGGATTCAGTTCCTAGTACAAGAGAAGTGGACAACAAATATACAACTGCAATCCATGTCTGATAACACATCAGTGGCATTATTCTCTCTTTAAATAAATAAATGCATACATACATACATACTCTTGCCAAGTTTTGCTTTCTGGCAACCTCCATAGCCCATCTTTAACTGAGATCAAAAAGGTCTTAAATGACCCTACCCCAAATGCTTAATAATAATAATAATAATAATAATAATTTATTAGGTATACCCCACCCATCTGGCCAGGTCTCCCCAGCCACTCTGGGTGGCTCCCAACAGAATAATTGGCGAAGTTTATCATTTTTAATACAGGACAGATAACATTTATGAGTTTGGCCACAATTCTAACCTTGATGGGAACAATGCCTTGCCATGCACACGGCATAGAAGGTAAACCTGTAACATATGCACCAAAGCAATAGAAGTTCATTATACATTTAGGTAGGAAAAGGAGGGTCCATATGCCTGCCAGAAAAGTAGGATCAGGCCTACACTTCCCATTGCCTTTCTGCTACTGACCAGGGCCTGTTCAGCTCAGTAGACTAGACACAGGTCAACCACAATGTATGAGGGAGCAAGCGGCATATATAGTCTCTGAGAGGTTTGACGTGTATTGTGACATACATGCCAAAAAAGTTAGTTATCATTGCTGTTTATCGTTGTTTCTGTTGGTGTTGCCTCAAAGGAAGCTTCACTATTCTTCTTCTTCTTCTTCTTCTTCATCATCATCATTTGTATTTATAGCCCATCTTTTTCTCTAAGCAGCTCAAAGTGGCTCCCTCTCCTTGTTTAATCTCCACAACAACCTTGTGAGGAAGGTTAGGCTGAGAGGCAGTGACCGGCCCAAGGCCCCCCAGTGAGCTTCACGGCCGAGTGGGGTTTGAACTCTTGTATCCCAGGTCCTGGTCCAGCACTTTAACCACTACACCACACGGGGTCTCTCAATACAGTTCAAACACAAGCAAAAGGGGAAGGGGAGAATAGCTAAAGTAAAATGGAATCAGGGTGTTGTGGGGAATATGTTTTTACCTGGAACTGGCTGCTTTAAGGTCACAAAAGTGGGTTAACAAAGCTTTCACTACATCGCTGCAGACGACTTTAACTACATCAATGTGACTGAGCCTCTGTCGCAGCTGCTTGGCAACTTCCCAGAAGTCTTCGGATAGCAGGTGGTACAGCTGTCCCTCGTCTCTGCTGAGGTGACCATACCAAGATAAAATGTAATCTCTGTAGCTGTAGTCAAACACTGAAACCAAAGCAACACCAAAGATGAAGCAGAATTCAGTCAGGAGCCTTGGGGAAGTGGGGAGGGGGGAGTACTGTTATGAACAATTGGTGCTTGAAAACATTGGCTGCTTGCACCTTCAGTGTATTGCATTCTCCCACCTTTCAAAAAATAAGAAAGGGATGATATAAGAAAAAATGGCCTTGGAAAAAGCTTGCTGGAGGTTCACAGAGTAAGACTGCAACTGCCATTTGTCAGTCATCTTACTAGAAATCCTAAGTAGCTGCCTATAACTGTAAGTAAAAATAAAATACGGTAATTTCCCACAGATTGAGTAATTTAATTAAGTACAACTGATAAAACACACTGTGTCACACGAAAACTAAGCTTTATTTTATGAAACTATTAACTACCCAGCTCTATCATACCTTTTTGGTCCGGCATGCCTAACCGCTTTATAGTCACATGTAGGTAGAAACATCTTACTGAGTTACAGTAAAAAGCCTCATGCTGCTCACTAAGACAGCTGGGTTGGTTCACCTCCCACTTTTTTACATCTGTTACTTCCACTTTCACAGGAATGACAGTTTGCAGATTTAGATGCAGCAGCAAATTAACAGACTTTGCCAGAGCAGTTACCTGATTAAGAAGAGCATGTGAAGAGGGGACAAGAGGACACACAGGTGCAACGCTTGTTCATGTAACAAACCTTACATAACATTAGAGGTGACTGAACCCACTATCAACTGTGGATGGGCATGCAATACAAAGTGTTGACTGGTTTTGGTTCCAATGTAAATCCATGCGCTTCTACCCACAGCTCCTCAGCACCGAGCCTCCTATCTCTGGTCACTAGATCTCAACCCAATGCATGAAATTTTCTGCTAATAGCAACCACACCAATCGCCAACATTGCATGGCTGACTCTTCCTGCCTCCACAATTAGAATGCTCATGGTTAAGCCCATGCAAGGCTACTCCCTACACTGCAACACAGCCTTTGCAATTCAGCATTCATTTACAGACAGAAGATCTCTAAGAGACAACAGAAAATACTGTCCTTTATCTGCTGGCAACTCAACCTAAGCCTTGTCTTCACTCTTTTTAATTAAATTATTTGGATACTGCCTTTAAAATATCATTCCTAGGCTGCACAATACATTTTATAAAACAGAGACACACTTGGGATATATCAGCATCGTATATTCTTTTGATGACAGGTTCCTGAGTTTTAAAAGCCAGCTATTACAGACTTTGTTTGATTGAATCACATCTCTTACCCGCAGTGTTTGTCCTAACTGCCTGCCTACTCCAAGAAGAAACCAATGCAAGAGAAGTGGATCCTTGATCATTTTCAAGGCCAGCAGCACGATTCTCCAATACTGAATAGGTGATAATTTTAAAAAGGAAAAAAAGGAGGGGGGAAATAGACCACCTTGGCTGTGAGTCCTAGAAGACCTGCTCCTTGTCTTGCAGGACTTTTCCGCCTGGCCTGGGAGGGCAGGGCTCACTTCAACAACAAAAACTGAGGCTACTGGACAGACTCCTTGTTTGAGGTTTTTTGTTGATGTTGATTTTTTTGTATCTTTATTTTAAAACTTCTTACAATTTATTTATTGGAAATTTATTGGAAATTGTTCATTTTGGTTGTGTATTTTTTAATGTTTTCTTTATTGTTTATGACTACTTTTGTTATGTTGCAGCTCTGTATTTTTTCACATTGTAAGGCACCTTGAGCAAGATTTGAACTGTGGAAAGGTATGTATGTATGTATGTATGTAATCAGTGCTATTTTTCTAGCAAAAGAGGTGTCAGAGCTCACCATGAACTTCTCCCTCGTTCTCTTAGAATAGCAATAGCATCCACCTGAGACATGCAGGAGCTGAACTCCGGTGAGCTTTGGCTGGAAAAAAGCCCTGCATGTAATATAAACCTCCAAATGTAGAAAGGAAGGAGCCAGGTGTGCTCACTATGAAGACTACTGTTCTTGTTTATTTGAGTAGTCATATTCTGCCTTGTCCAAAGAAGCTTCAATTTGTTAGCCAGAGTCCAGTCTGTTGTGTGTTTCCAACTGCAGTCCCCCGTGCCACCTCCAACTCTATTCCAGAGGATCCCCTGATCTTTCACAGCTGAAAGGGAGAGCTGAGACCCAAGAGCACTCTATTCTGTTAGGGGAACTCCACTCATGGATCCAACCAACCATACATCTACTTTAGACAATGAAAGCACAGTTACTGACATTCAGATTCCATGCTACTAGTTGCGCAACCTGAATGTATCCCAAAGTACTGTGGGTGGGTGTGAGGGAGGTTCTCAAATTTCTATTTTACAAAATCCCATGGTGTGAAATATTTTTTCATCAAATAACTGATTATCTTTGAGTCCTACCTTCTTTCAGAGCTTTATCCATGTTATGAGAAATCATCAGTCTCCTTGACTGGACAGATTCATGTGCGTTTCCAGATAAAAGAGTCTGAAAGAAAGCAAACATGCACACACCTAAGACATGGATGAATGCAGTATTTAAATAATGACATTTGATTGTTAAATCCAGCAAAGCACACACTACGTTCGAGACATCTAGCCCAGCCTTACAAACTAACAGTCGTTTAAAAAGTAAATTTCTTTCCAAATCTGGAGTTTGCCAAACCTCCGAGCCAGTCTCCTGACTCCAAAAGTTGCTCAGTTTTTTAAATGACCAATTTGAAGGGAGAAAATTAAGTTATCATTTGCAAATAAAGACATGTAAACTAATAAGGGAAGAGAACCATTCATCTTCTAGAAATGCCAACCCACAGCAGATTTGACGGCCACAGTACGCAAGATAAGAATACAACCATATATATGAAGTCACAAGGAGTCAACATTTGGTGCCAACATGAAAGGGGGGCAAACATGATCGGAATCAACACCTCACCTAGGAGGACTTCTTATACAGCTGAATGTGTCCAATAAATGTGCATCTCCACAGATAAAACCATCTCCCTCAAAGCTTCTCCATCTCCAATGACTCTAAAAGCAACACTATGCAAAAAGCGTGATTCAGTTGTTCACCCAAGTTAGCACCAGTATTGTCTTTGAAGTGCAAGATGACCAGCAACATCTTTAATCACAATAACCCTCAGAATAGGTATTTACAGCTTCGTTTAGATGGTGTGAGGCAAGCCACCATGTCATAAATCACATTACATACACATACAAAAATGCAACATATATAGTATAAAAAAATTCATCGGTCAAAATATTACAGATACTAAAAGCACTGCTCCCATCCTACCCTGTTTCCTGGAACACTACTAGAGGTGATGTAATATGTGAAATCTGTGACCAGGATCTCCCTTTTCATTTTGTTTATAAAAGTAGAAGCTTGGGGAAGGCCTCAAATTGGACTGGGACCACTGTAGTGGGGAAGGGGAGGAGTGAGTGTCATATATGGTAGCAGGTGTAGGGCAGGGCTTGGCCAAAATGCCCTAGTGAGCCAAATGGGGAGTCTTGGCAGGTCAAATTTGGCCCATGGGCTGGAGGTTTCCCAACCCTGTGCAACATGGAATGTAAGTGCTCTACATGGAAAGTATGGTCTCTCATTTCATGGGCATGCTGTACACTTCTAACTGTATACTCAGCGTGCTTTCTTCTTATGTACACTTCTGAATCACACTCAAGGGTTATGAACATATGAAACCACTTTATACTCTCATGCCATTGGCCCATCTACCCCCATACTGTCTAGTCTAGTCCAACTGGCAGTAGCTCTCCAAAGGCTCTTAAAACCAAAACATTAAACGCCACAATATAAAAAAAAGCAATTACGAAAAGCAGCAGAAATAAACACACACAGCATAGGATACAAGAGGGGTTTTACTAAGAGCATTTGCTTGGCTTTGAAATGCCAAGCAAAGCACCATTCCACTAAGTAGGGAAGGTCCTTTCTCCTGCAGCCACCTGCCATGACACAAATGTAAAGGGGCACTCAAAGAAGGGCCTCATATGCTACAGTGCTAACCCCACTTTCCTAAGTCCCATTGAATACAATAGGACTTACTTCCAGGACGACATGGTTGATCTGTACTGTTATCGTATAGCAGGTACGTGTGGAAACGAACAGTTCTACTGGCTTAAAAAAAGGTCTAAACTAGGTCAACAAAGGAGCTACGGCCCTCTCCGCAAAGCGTTCTCAGATATTCAGTTCAAGCAACCAAACACAGTTCTGTGCATATTTATCTCTCCCTCTTGGTTATCTTCAGTCAATGAAAAGAAACAGAAAAACCAGCACCACCAACAAGCCCATCAACTATTTCTAGGAAATTATGAGGAGGAACAAAAACAGGCATAGCGCCAGGAACATAAAAATAATGGACTGTCCACAAAAGAAACATCTTATTTCACTCTAGGGCCCAAATGAAAAACTCAGGTTGTGAAGGAGCAATACTAGATGAGTCACACATGCTTAATGTTAAATATTGAGACAATTAATATTCCTCAGTGGATCCTGCCCTCTCACTCTGGGTGTCAATTAATGCCAGATTTAAGTTTTGTAATGAAGAGTTGCTGCTTCTAATAACATTTCGGTATTAGTTCTCTGGCCTGCTTTGGATAATGTTCCTCTCGGCCAAATAAGTGGACATATAAACAAACCTTTTGTCCGTGCACACAGCCCTTCTGTTGTAGAAGCAATCAATCCAATAAGACTCTAATTAACTAGCATTTCCCATTTTGTACAAACTTGAAAACTACAGATTACTAGTTTTCAAAGAAGCCAGGATGTAAAGCCAACTTCAACTATGGTTAAAGGCTTCTATGTTTGATTACTAATGCTACAAAGGAAGGACTGAAGGGGGCATATATGTGGGCAAAGGTTTGTTCCTATCCAGGGCTTTTTTTCCAGTCAGAGCTCACAGGAGCTCAGCTCCAGAACCCCTCAGGTGGGTGCCATTGCCATTCTAAGAGAGAAACAGAGAAAATTCTGGCACCTATTTTTCTAGAAAAATAGCACTGCTCCTATCTCAGCTTATTAAACTGAAATATATGGCCTATTATCAGATTCACATACACAGGAAGGCCACTTTTGTGTTGCTTTAAGTACACATGTCTTAACTGCTTCCTAATCATTATTATAAAATGTATTATTATGATTATTAATTAAATTTGCATACCACCCTTCCCCCAAAGGCAGTCCCGTTGCTCTGTCCCAGTTCCTGCCAACATAGCTGTTCGAAAGCATGCCAGTGCAAGTAGATACATAGGTACTGCTGTGGCGGGAAGGTAAACAACATTTCTGTGTACTCTGGTTTCTGTCACAATGTCCTGTTGTGCCAGAAGCGGTATAGTAATGCTGGCCGCATGACCAAGAAAGCTGTCTGTGGACAAACACCGGCTCCCTCAGCCTGAAAGTGAGATGAGCACTACACCCCAATAATCGCCTTTGACTGGACATAATCGTCCAGGGCTCCTTTACCATTTTCTTTTACCTCACAACATAAACATAAAATGTAGAGTACACATATCTTTTATTTGGACCGGGATCTAAAAAGCTAATGTAGGGATATTTTATGCTACTTTAGGGATACTCAAGAGATTTCTGTTGTTTTTAACTCCCTCAGACCACCCTCTTCCAAATGCTGTATTACATACTGTTCTAGAAAGTCCCCTCATTCAAAAGTGATTTACTATGATCACACGGAGTTGGATGTTCGGATCAAATGAGCCCACAGCATCTGGGAATTAGTTACACAATTATCTGAATCTCAGGCTTGAATGACAAGTAAGCTAATATTGGGTAACTTCCCCCTGAACCAAATAGCGGAGAAGCCAAGGTGTGCATGGGTGTTACTTATTAGAATGAATGAACTCTGAATCCTTAAATAACATTTTTTAAAAAAAAAATCATGTCAAGAAATACCTCACTAGAAAGAGCACAGGCTCGCTGGGAAAGGATTTAAGCAATACAAAACAAATCTTATCGCATGCAACTGCTTCTCACTGACCTACAAGAATGCTCTATTTAAAATGTGTTTACAGCAACAGAACTGACACCAATACTGAAAAAATAGGAACAAAAGCAGGGGGCAAGCCTGAAGGTCAAATACTTCCCAGCTCTCAGGGCTCTCTCAAGGCCATAACTTTTCTCAGGCTCTGTTGTCTATCCTGAAGTGCTTTTGCCTGGCTGAAATGTATAACAGAACTGTGGCAATGCCTCTTGCCTGTCTGGATAGAAAGATGTGTTTATGTGGCTGCATCCACCACTAGTATGCAATATTGCTCATGAAGGAATGTGTTTCTTTGGCTGAATAATGTTCATCCCCAACAAGCTAGAGTGAAGTTCTGACTACAAATACTTCCGTTACATTTTATGGATAATATTTATCTACTTGCAATATTTATATCCCACCCAGAATAAGATTCTCTAGGCTGCCTATGGTAGCAATAAATAAATAAAAATTACAATACAATTAACCATAAAAACAAAATATAGTACCATGCAGATAGTAATTTCCAGTCTACAAAACACCCACAATTTGAAATGTTATTAAAATGTCTACAAATCAATCATTACATATGCATGCCCGCACACACACACACACACACAGCAGATTAATTACCCCTTCATACTTTACCCATTTGTGCTGTCAATAGTTAAAGAGTAGCATACAGGTAGATTTTTCCATTGTCACTATATTTTTACAATCTGAAACTGAAGTTCCAAAGCAGGTCCTGACCAGAGTATCAAGCATCCACCATGAGGAAACTAAGAAAATCCAGGTCTGGTCAATGCCTGGAACAGAGACCTGTTGTGGGAACCGTAGAGTTCCAGGATGTAAGAAAAATGGAAGAAACAACCGTAAGAAAAGAAAAGAAACAAAAATCAATATTGATCTGGTTGCCTGTAACAAATAAGAATCAGAACCAGGCAGATCATATTGTATAGAGGTTATTTCCACTCCACACACATCCAGAGTGGAGTCCCCTTGATCTTAGCCAAAAGGCCAAGAAGTGATGCGGAGTCCCTAAGATGGTTGGATGGTGCCTTGAATGCTTCCTTCTGGCAACTCTTGGTGCCAAACAAATTGCTCTCCTTTCCTTTGGACCACATGTGAGGCCGGGGGGTGTCTTGTCATCTGGGCAGCCCAGGATAGGGTTGCCATATTTTGAAGAGCAAAAAAGATGATGCTAAGCAAATACAGTGGATGCTCGGGTTGCGAACGTGATCCGTGCGGGATGCACGTTTGCAACCCGCAGCGTTCGCAACCTGCAGCGGCGCCTGCGCAAAGTGCAACTTAGCACTTCTGCGCATGCGCGACCGCCGAAACCCGGAAGTAAACCGTTCTACTACTTCCGGGTTTCGGCAGTCCGCAACCCAAAAAAACGCAACCTGAAGCGTCTACAACCTGAGGTATGACTGTAAATGCGATTTGTCCCAAATTTTACCCCTGAAAAAGAGGACGTGTCCAGGAAAAAGAGGGCACATGGCAACCCTAGCAGGACCTCCATGCAAACTGCCCAGGCTTGTGCTACAGGAATATCACTTCAGTGATTTCACCCCCGGACCCGGAAGCACACTCCATTGTCTCTCGAGATAGATGGATGCCAAGAACAAATATGGATTTTGGAATTTCTCTTAAACACCGAGCGTTACCAACAAGTAAAATACCCTACTCTAAGCAGCTTCTGTAAAATGTTATCCATTTTCAGGTAACCTACTTCAGCATGCCACCAATGAAGAGCAAGCAAGCAAGCAAACAAACAAAGCAGAACAGGAAAGAAAAGAAACTAAGTGCTGCAATTATAGAGCCTTGGTCTGAGGGACTTTGTGATTTCCTTAGGATTTTCAACACTAGCTGTGTTTGAGAGCCACTCCTTGCCCTGACTTCCTCAAATAGCAAAAAGGAAGGTTGCTCCCTCTTTCCCAGTCAGGAAACCAACCTTGCGCGTTTTGCTAGCTACCAGATTGGCCTTTAACAAAATATCTGAAAATAAATGGGATATTGTTAAGGCCACCTATAAAACTGCACCGTAAATGTGTTGTTGTTTAAAAAACCCACCAACGAAAGCATACCTGCCTGTGTCAGATAAAGCTGAACAGACAGAAAGGTAAAGGAAAGGGGGAAGGATGCTTGAAAAGACTAGAGGTGCATATAAAAGAGTGCAACCATAAAGGAGAAAAGCAGCATTTATAAGGGAAGCTCCACCCCTCAAAAAATGACAGCTAGCAGAGGCACATAAAAAGTGAAAGGACTGTGAAGGATTTAATTCTACTGCCTACAAATGCAAGAGAATTTGAAATTGCAAGGTTACGTTTCCGCAAGTAATCAAGGGGCTGCTCTCTTCTAAGAATGTTATCTAGAGACAGAATCCAAGCAACAAGGACAAGGAGTACCCACTCTTGAAAACTGGAAGGCAAAAGATAGCTGTTATCAATAAACTACACATTAGGTCATACTTCAGAATGAAACCGATTCTAGTGCTAAAGGCCAATTAGCAGTCTAAGTATACAAACCACTAAGGATCCAAAAGTTTATTATATTCTATGACTATTACTTCACAAAGCCAAACAATAGTATATCCAATTAGCTCTTGCAAAAAGACAAGCAGATTAAAAAGTGTTTTATGGGTCAGTAACTTCACCGGACTTTTTTTTGCACTACCCTTCCTACATAGCTAAGACTTGGACTGGAGTAATTTCATGGGGATTTTTTAAGTGTATTTCCAGTTAAGCTACATTAGCAGATAAAGAACTAGCAGTTTGGTCTGTAATGATCCAGGGAGTAACAGCAGCTACCTGTGGATCAGCCCTCACATCCCATGCGGCATGCTTTTGGTGGCACCTTCTCTATTTTTACAAGGGTAAAACAAACAGCCTGCCATTTATTCCACCCTTGCTAAACAAGCAAGTATCTTAAATCCAAATAAAATAGTCTTGATCTTTAGTGGTTTGCGAGTGACGAGCCAAATCAATTCAAGTCTTGCAGCACAACAAAATCCATTGAGTTTGGAGGCCGACACCATTAGTGGGTGGTTTAATAAATTGCCCAGATTAACAATAAGACAGCTCTCATTCAAAGAAGTTCCCAATTAAAACTGCAGGCTAAGGCAGGTTCTACTGCAGAAGTTTTCCAATTACACACACACACACACACACACACACAGTATAGATATACACCTGGAAATCCCATTAATGGGGGAGATAAATCCAACTATACGCCTAGTTCCAATGCCAACAATGCAAAATAATTTTGTCTGATATGCAAGGCAGATGATATAATCAGTAGGTTTCAAATCAGTGTGCATTACTACTATGCTTATCATGTCCAGAATTTTGCTGTGATTATAGTAGCTGGCTTGTGGTTGCCAACAAATCTATTGACCCAAATCATAGACACATAAAATTCAAGGCATCGTCTGTCCAATTACAGAATAAGGAAAAAAATATTACAAGTTTAGCTTCTATTTATATGTGAGCTCTCAACCAAACATTCATCTACTGTGCTTCACACTGATTATTCCCCTCTGGATATAATTTCTAAGAGTATACTATGATGTGCAACAAACACATCTGTCTATTCTGGTCCTGGGAGGCAATCAAAGGGTGGGGTACATTTTCCTTGAGAAAAGCAATATAGGAAAATTGTCATGTATGAAGCAGGCTTAAACTCCTGTGTGGTCAATATTATGAATTGTTTTCAGTAGATCTGACACTCTACAATCAAACTTAGCTGTGGCAATTCAAACACTGTTTCCCACTTATCCTCACAGCAAATAAGGAATGATGGTTCTTCAGTACCATATTTACTCGAATGTAATGCACACCTTTTGGGGCCAAATTACGTCGCGAAAATTAGGGGTGCGCATTAGATTTGATGGCACATATACATTCACCAGCAAATACTTTTTTGGTTTCAAGGTTTTGAAAATTGAGGTGTGCATTAGATTTGATGATGCATTAGATTTGTGTACATACGAATCTGTGTGGACTGCACCACTTCAGCCGGCATGGGTGCTCCACCACTAAAAACCTCAATGTAGAAAACTAGATATTCCGGAGCTGGTGAACATCTAACTTTCTACATTTAGGGAGCACAGGTGTGTGCGTGTTTTGGTATAGAGAAGAAATCCACTCTGCAAGCTCCCCTTTGTAGTGGTAAACAAAAGCTTACCAAAAGTAAGAATGAAGTGCAGATCCTTCAATGTCATCAAAATCCTGTACAATATGGTGCCTTCATCCTCATCTGCTGCTTCTCATAACTGGGCCTTCCTTTAATGGCACCCCCAAAAAACCACTGCCATATAAGCGGGCTGTGTCACCCTGCCTGTTCAGCCAGCTATAATATAAAAGCCAAATGGACAAAAGAACACCTCAAATTAAACAACTGAATAGGGAGATATGTTTTTCTGCTTTTTATTCATAAGCACATAGTACTGTATTTAGGAACACACATTTGAAATTGGCCAGCTTCGCCTACTGAACCAGTTCTATTTATTTACTGTATTTCTGCATTGCTCCAAAGGGTTATCTGAGTGCCATGTGGTTTAAATGAATAAAAACAGTGAGAAAGCAGTAACCCAAACGAAATACAACCATTGCAGGGCAGCATTAAAACCTATCAACAGCACAGCACACACTTTCTAGTGCTGCTTGTTGTTAATCCTACTTTGAACAAGTTTACCGGTATTAAGCTTCCAGCCCTGAAATAATCCTCTGCTACTTCGGGCACTGCAGCCAAAATAACTGGAGCAGCTGCACTGTCACTGCACAGGTGAATAATAGGAGACAGTCATCTTTCAGCAGGGAAGCGGGAGATGAAATTAGGTTTCAGGCCGCTAAGCAGGCACACACGCAGTCCAGGTACACAGATTCCCCCCTTATTCCTATTTTGGTATGAGATATTGAGGTGGGGGCAGGAATCAAGCCTAGACCACCTTACACTTACTTGCTAAATAATAAAAAAAAGACGCCTGGACTCCAGTCTACCTGAACATACTATCCAGGGAGGCCTACAGTTGAACCCCAGATGTCTGGGGAAGGCTGAAGATCTCTGCGATTCCCAAGTCGGGACGAAAATATACTCTGTATGGGCTCAGAGGCACTGTCCACCCCACGGAGCTGAGAACCCAAGGAGAGAGCACAGTACACGGGCAACTCTGGGTTGAACTCCAGCCCTGCTTTGGAAGGCAAGGCATGCACTCTGAAGAGAGTCTGGAAAACTTAATTCGGCGCAAGGCAAGGGGTCCGTGGCAGGGGCACTTACTTACCACGGCAGCTTGCAGTAAGGGAGCGGCGTTTTCCCTGCCGGGGTAGCGGCAGTTCCAGGCAGCGCGGAAATCCGGCGGGGGTCTGAGGCGGCCGCGGCTCCGGCTGACGAGAGCCAGCAAGGTGCCGACTACGAAGGCGCTGGCGGCGCAGGCCAGGTAAAGGGCCAGCTGGAGCAGCAGCAAGGCCAGGCTGGGCTGCCCGCCAGCCTCGGCCGCCGCCTCCTCGCCGTCGTCGCCCTCCTTCTGCCGGCCCAGGTGGAAGAGGGACACCGCCAGCAACAGCACCCCCAGTCCGGCGGCCAGCATGGAGCAGGGCAAGCCGCGACCAGTCGCCGCCGCCGCCTCGTCGTCCTCTTCGGCGGCGGCGGCCGGGACGCTGCCGCCCCCGCACGACTCGCCGGGACTTTGAGCTGCAGGGGAGCCGGCGGCGGCCGAATCGAGCTGCCCGTTGCTGCTGCTGCTGCTGGAGGGCACGTTAGCGGCGTCGGCATCGGGGAACATGCTGCTCCAGGCGTCTCCGGGAACCAGCGCATCTCCCGCCGCGGGGGCCCCCTCGCAAGGTCGCGTCCCCCCCGTCAACAAGACTCAAAGCCCCGCATGGGCGCAGGCAGCCGGCCGGGCTCATGCCCGGGATCCCCGAAGGGACGCGCAGCTACAGCGACGCAGCCTGGCCGCCTAACTGCGAACAAAAGAAGCTGCTGCTGCCGCCGCTGCGAGCGGCTCTCTAGTTCATCGCATCTCGCGCAGCAGCCGGCGGAGGCCCCGCTGAGCCTGTTTGCGCGCCGCGGCGGCGAGAGGAGGAGGCGGATGAGGAGGAGGAGGGAGCGCCTGAATGACAGCAACTGCTGGAAACCGAGCCATGTGTGCTCCAGCGGGCAAGGCGGGGCCAGCCGCGTAAAGGCAGCAGCTCCGGGCCAGCTCTTGCCTTCCTCCCCTTGGCTGGTTGCGGTGTCAATCTTAGCGCTGAGATTCGCGCAGCGGCTCCGTCCTGTGGGTTTTCGCTTCTCAGGAAAAGAAAAAGAAGTGCTCCCTCCAGCGGAAGTCTGCAAATCCTCCTGCGTTTTGCAATGCCTGGTTGTGATTTGAGAAGCATGCAAAATGCGCGTGTTTCCAGCTGCATCCTGCAACCCAGCTACAAGATAAAGGGTGATAGCAGGGCGCTTTCAGCACCAAGAGTTATGCAGCCCAACCCTATGCATGGCCGTGAGTTCACAGGGTTGTATTATTGGAAGGGGTACCGTGGGTCATCTAGTCCAACCCGCTGCGCTGCAGGAATCTCAGCTAAAGCATCCATGGCAGGTGGTCATCCAACCTCTGCTTTAATATCTCCAGTGAAGGAGAGTTCACCACCTCTCCTGGGAGTCAGTTCCACTGTTGAACAGTTCTTACTGTAACACCCCCCCACCACCAAAAGGGTTTCTGGCACTGCCTCCTGCAGTAAAGCCAATTGAGGAGATGATGGGTGGAAAAGGTATTCAGTTTGAGAGATGCATCAATCTAGACACAGGGTGAATAAGATCACAAAGGCTGTGTACCTCACGTTGGTGGAAGCAGATACTTATACATATTGCAAAAATGCCTGAGCTCACGCCCAATGCCTATAAAGGTAAAGGTAAAGGGACCCCTGACCATTAGGTCCAGTCGTGGCCGACTCTGGGGTTGCGGCGCTCATCTCGCTTTATTGGCCGAGGGAGCCGGCGTACAGCTTCCGGGTCATGTGGCCAGCATGACTAAGCCGCTTCTGGCGAACCAGAGCAGCACACAGAAACGCCATTTACCTTCCTGCCGGAGTGGTACCTATTTATCTACTTGCACTTTGACATGCTTTCGAACTGCTAGGTTGGCAGGAGCAGGGACCGAGCAACGGGAGCTCACCCCGTCGCGGGGATTCAAACCGCCAACCTTCTGGTTGGCAAGTCCTAGACTCTGTGGTTTAACCCACAGTGCCACCCGCGTCCCTAAAAGCTTACTAAGTGGCTAAAGTTCTGCACAGACAAGCGCATGCTAAGCTCTGATCTTCTCGCCACTTGTGGGGGCTCTCATGTTTGTTCCGTGCTTGCATTAGCAGTTTCATATATGGTTTTGGAAAGCCACCTAGCTTCCTGTCATGCTCTGTTGTTACAGTACCTATGTACTTTCCAAACCCTAAAAGGTCACATTTCCTGTAATTTGCTAAACTGGTAGATTCTTATCTCTATTACCGTAGCAGTCTGCAAATTCATGTAAGCATAGCAAGGCTTCTGCTATACCATGGTGGGGGGGGCAGTTAACGTTTCATGTTAGAAACATCCTGGAGATAATGATTGTCCACTCGTCCACCTAGCCCTGTATCCCTTGTGGGTTGGCTACCATTGCCGTCAGAAAGTTCTTCCTGATCTTTAGCTGGCATCTCATGTCTTTCAAGTTGGGTCTTCTGTTGATGTAATCTAGAATAGCATTAGTTTTTTTTAATTTTGCTTTTTTTGGGGGGGGGTGCATCACACTGTTGTCCCATGTTAAGCTTGTGGTCTACTAAGAACCACATTTACTACTGGCAGGCCAGAGTGTCGCCCATTTTATATTTGTGCAGCTGCTTATTCCTGCCTAAGTGTGGGACCTTACATTTGATAATTATTGCTAATTATTTTATATATATTTTATTTTATATTATTTTATTTTATATTATATTTTATTTTATATTATATTAATTATTTTATATTTTGGAAGCTGTGGCTGGATGGTTACGCGGAAGCCGGTTGAAGTTAAATCCTTCGAAGACAGAGGTCCTCTGGCTGGGACGGGACGATATGGGATTGGGGGGGCAACTCCCATCTCTTGCGGGGGTGCAATTAGTGCCAGCACCGTCCGTTAAGAGTTTGGGTGTAATCTTCGATACCTCCCTCTCTATGGAGGCGCAGATTACAGCTATAACAAGGCGGCATTTTCATCTCCGCCAAGAAGCTAAGCAGTTAGCCCCTTATCTCTCTCGCCCTGACCTAGCCACTGTGATCCATCACGGCTGGTCACCTCAGACTGGATTATTGCCTTTCGCTCATTAGGGCTGCCCTTAAGGACAGCCCAGAAACTCCAGCGGGTGCAGGATGTGTGAGACTCCTTATGGTCTCTTCGCTGCGGATCCATTCATCCCGGTACTATACACAGCTGCACTGGCTCCGGTGGAGTACAGGATCCAGGTTTAAGGTGCTGGTTTTGGCAACAAGCCCTATACGGCCTAGGACCTCGCTTTGCCTACGGACCACCTCTCCCTAGTATGCCCACAGAGAACCTGCGGTCTGCAAATAAAAACATCCCTGAAGGTCCCAGGCCTCAGGAGAGTTAGGCTGGCCTCAGCTAGAGCCAGGGCTTTCGGCTGCGGCTCCAATCTGGTGGAACGGCTCTGTCACAAGTAAATATGCCTAGATCCTGCTTCAGGCTGTAACCCTAACGGCTGTTAAATTAAATGAGACTTGCACCATGATCCTATGCATTTCCTCAGAAATCAAAACAATGGGATTGAGTGATAAGCGTTTATTGAACAGTAGCCTTGCAACACAGGGGTTTGCACGTTTAATCGGAAGATTCCACTTCTTAATGAGACTTAACCCCAAATTAGTGACCATATTAAGACCTTAACGCTTTTGGGAATGCAACTTAAACACTCAGTCAGCCATAACTCACTTGAAAGGGACGTTTAAGGCAACGGTTGTGTAGATGCCACGAGGAATTTGAGAACCAAGAGATCGCATTATTTACACTGATTGTAGCAGATCTTATTTACAAAACCCTTTGAGCAGCCTCGTGAAGGAGCCATCGAAGGAGGAGGAAGCTTTTAATGTTTATAGCACACCTTTAAGGGGCTCTCTTGACGCTGGGTGATGGCGACAGAAAAGGCAAAAAGATCCGAGATCCCCGTCTAATCTGCGGGGATTACATGCTCTATTTGCGGCATTGCCAGTCGCTACCATTTATCAGACGAAGATTTGACCTTAGCTAGAGAGTAAGCGGCTACGGCCGCCTAGCTTGCCTGCCGGCGCATCCAAGATTAGCCGAGGAGTCTGCTGGCAGCCTGAGGGGACACCTTGGCAAGCGCCTCTAAAACGGCGGCCCCCGAGGCAAAGCGAGCGAGCTCAAGGCTTCCACCTGCTGCATTGGAAAGGGAACTATTACACATGCCCACGCGGAGACGGAAGCAGCCTCTTTCCCCTCCTCTCCCCAATCCCGCCCTTCCCGTGGTTACGCAAACACAAGGCCGGGCGGGAGAAGCCTGGCTTGGTGGACAGCGCGAGGCGAGAAGCGCTCTCCGAAGGGGCCTCCAAGCGCCGGAGCGCTAGCGACGCCTTCTGCCCGCCCGGCCTGCGGTGAGTACCCGAGCCTTGCTTGCCCCAGGCTGCTCGCCGCCTCTGCAGGGAGGTGGGTGTCGGCGGAGCCGCTGCTGCAGAGCGCCGACCCGCCGCCCTCCGACGCCTCGCCGCGGGCTGTGTAACCACAACAAAGCGGGAAGGTGGCGGGCGTGTGCCGGCGTTTCCTCCGACGTATCGGAGGAGCATTGGCCGTAGTGGCAGGGAGGGGGGGGGTCTGGCTTTTTCCAATCGAGGAGAGGAAGGGGTTTGCCCTCCGTCCGACCCCGCCTGCATGCAACCAATTTTCTGCGCGTGGCTAGCCTATATGCAGCCTCCTTCGCCTTTTCGAGGAGCTCCTTAGTTAATCCTCCGTGCAATGTCGCTGCAATAATTATCATTAGGCTTCGGCTTGACGGGCGGGCGGGCTTTTGTCGCCAGCAAAGGTCGTTGCGGGAGGGGGGCAAGTTGCGCGCGATTATAGTCGCTCCCATTGCGCCCTGACGCATCGCGGTCACGACTCAGGAGGGAGGAAACCGCGCTCTTGACAGATGTCTTCCTAGGCAGCCGGAGCCTGTTTGGCTGTGACTGGGGAGGGCACGTGGTGTTTGAGATCTACCCCGAATGGGGAATGCTTATGCCTTTTAGAAGAGTGAGCCTGATGCCATCTTCCAGTGTTAAACTTCGCTTTGTGCAGGCAAAGGAGCGGTGGGCTTCCTGCATTTTGGGGTGGACCTGATCTAGATAGGTAGCAGAATGCTCAGAGCTGGATAGGTTGGGCTGTACTGCTTCAGATGCAAGTGATCGTGGGGAGGAAGTCTGTTTTGAATCCTTCATAATGTTAAACATACACATGCCTCCCTGCAAGTTGAAGTGAGGGAGGGAAGCACATAGGAGACAATGATTCTAGCCCAGCTTCTCTTTACTGTGCTAGCTTTCTACATGTAGGGAGATTTTATTTTATTTTTTAAATTAAAAAGCAATGCATCCACCTCACCAACAGTCTGAAGTGGTATAGATCATTCTACCACCTTCTTCATTTTTCTTTGCCATGGGCCAGGGAGTCCAGATCAAATAAAGCGGTATCCAGGCAGGCTGGAGCCTGCTTCCTTTTGTTTACCTCAATACATAGATACCTGCAGTGGTAAGATAAGAGAGTGGCAGAGCTTTACAGCATCTGTTAATATGGATCCTTTCTTTCTGTAAAGCAGGATTAGACAACCTGTGAGGGATGCGGGTGGCGCTGTGGGTTAAACCACAGAGCCTAGGATTTGCTGATCAGAAGGTTGGCGGTTCAAATCCCCGTGGCGGGGTGAGCTCCCATTGCTTGGTCCCTTCTCCTGCCAACCTAGCAGTTCAAAAGCACATCAAAGTGCAAGTAGATAAATAGGTACCGCTCCAGTAGGAAGGTAAACGGTGTTTCCGTGCGCTGCTCTGGTTCGCCAGAAGTGGCTTAGTCATGCTGGCCACATGACCCGGAAGCTGTACACCGGCTCCCTCAGCCAATAAAGCGAGATGAGCACCGCAACCCCAGAGTCGGTCACGACTGGACCTAATGGTCAGGGGTCCCTTTACCTTTACCTAGCCTTTCATATTGTTACAAAAACCGGGTGCCTGCCCCTCCCACTGCCGAGCAGTGGGAAGTTTGTGTCTTAATCCATATCCCAATTAATCAAAATCCTAACATTTATTCATTCCTAAGGTTTAGGAGGAATACCCCTTAGTCTATAACAATATACCGTATTTACTCAAATCTAATACTCACCAATTTTGGCCAAATTATGTTGTGAAAATTGAGGTGCGCATTAGATTTGATGGCGCATTAGACTCGAGTAAATACGATATTTGTTGGACTCCACCACCCATCAGCCCCATCCACCATTGCCAGTGGTCAGGGGTGATGGGAACAATAACATTGGGAGCACAGGTACCCCACTCCCACTGTAAAACATACTTCCCATGACTAGAATAGTCCGGATCAGTGTTGCATGCCTGCCAGCGTGCTTGCCTTCTGCGTACACACAGTCGGCATCACATGCATCTGTGAAATGTTCTCTGCATCCTCCCTCGCTTTCAACAATGATACTCAGGAAGCAACGGTGGCAATTATCAGACATTTTAAAAATTGTATTTTTCTATGTTGCATTTCCTTGAGCTTCCTATGGAAGCATTTTAGTGGCTTTCTATGTGAGACTTTGCCAGGAGCTGTCAATTCAGCATGGTAAGGTTTTGTGCACCTTTAGATTATATGAAAATGTTAAGCTCAGAACAGAAACAAGCAATTCCATGCAATATCAAATTTCCTTATGAAATGGTGGGAAAAGAAGCAACAAAATCCCCTCTAGGATCATTATTGTCTTTTTAAAAAAGATAAATGATTAACATTCTGCATAGACTTAAAGTTGGGCAGAGATACAGGGATGCAAACTTAAGCAGCTCTATAAGACCTCTAGCTCCACCTACGTTTCATATCCAATCCTTCTTCTTTAACTTTCCGCATGCTGGCAGAATCCCACCACTCCAAATGGTTAGGTCACATTGAAAGCGAAATCAGAACCTGTGGCCTGTCACTTGAGTTGCTGCTTATGCTCCCACAATTGGAAGCATTCTAGACAATCAAGCGCAGAATCCTGGAGATTGAATTCCAAACCCTTAGTTGCACAGCCAATAAACCCTGTTCCCCATTGGGGTTGGGAATTCCACCCTCTTTGGCCAGGACATTTCATATTTACACCAGCTTTATGATCCCCACCTACTCAGAGCTCTTTCCCTCGCAAGATTTAATGTCTTATCATCTGCAGTTTTGCAAGGTAGATTTTTGAAAATCCCATACTCTGATACTGCCCTTGTGGCACAAAACAGGTTGAATGCATCACACACGTTTTGTTTTATTGGCCATTTTATGCAAAAATATATGATAAGTATTTGGCCCCCTTATTGAAGGAGGGGATTTATCACACTGGCTCTTCCAGGGTTTTCTATCTGCTGAACAATTGTAGTAATGATGTTGTGGAGTATGTGGCAAAATGTTTGAGTGACGCCATGAAATTACATCACCATAGGTCCTAAGAGCCATTTTCATACCTCACAATGTTTGGACAGCTTTATCCTAAAGTATCTCCTACTATGTTTTGTTAACTGTATTGTGTTCTGATCCATGTATAGAATGCACTTTTTCTATGCCAATAAAGGAGATTGACTGATTGACTTGTAGTTGTAGAGTGGGTTTTGAACCTATATTTTTTTTAATTTCTCAGTTAGTAATTCTGGTGTTCCATTTGCAGGAACCGCATTTCAGCACCTTTTTTTGGATCATGGACCGTATGTATGAAGATGTGTCAGACTGTGAAGTGGATCACTCTTTCTTCGATAGTGACTTTGAAGAAGATGCGGCGAGGAAAGGAGCAACAACAAAAACAGATGAGAAGGCAAATGGTGGGCACACACAAACGGAAGATACAGTTACAGGCAAACCTGGCTTGAACATGGAAACCAAAGTGGTGGAGGATAACTGTACTGAGGAAGAAGACAAAGCAAATAAAGATACAGAAACTCAGGAGGGGGAGGAATTAAACAATGGTGCTTGTGATCCTGAAAATGCTGTGTTGTCGTTAGCTTCTCTAAATTCAGAAAAGGCAAGTACATCTGGTAGAATTTCAGCACAAGGTAAAGGAACGCATGGAAAAAATATTTCCTCTCAAGTTGACCAAATAGTTAAAGCATCTGAGGAAAACTACTATACAGATGAAGAAGACAGTAGCGATGACAGCAGAAACCAGAGGGTTAGACTTAAGTTGTCTAAGCAGTCTAATAGTGCAAAGGTTAGCAAGAATATTGCAGTCAGTTCCTCCTCGTCTTCCTCCTCCTCACATTGCCTATCCTGTAGTTCTGATACAGACTGCTCAGATTCAGATGGTTGCTTGTCAGACTCATCCTGCTCTTCTTCAAAAAAGAAAAGCAAATGTAACTTGGCGCTTCTTTCTCTGAGAGAAAAACCCAGCCCAGGAATTAAATCGGTGGAAGTAAAACCTAAGCTCGGTGACTATGCAGAAGAGTCTGAAGATACTGTGACTGATGTGACTCCTCTGTCAACTCCAGACATCAGTCCCATCCAGTCTTTTGAACTTGCAGCATCTAATGATAAGAAACTAAAGGTTAAAAGACAAGAAAATGTGAGCCAGGAGTTATATGGTAAGCATGAGGTGCAAAAAGCTTTACACTTTTGAGGAGAACAATTACAAGCCCTGACTGAATTTCTGTTTCTCCTTAGAACCCGACTTGGATCACAAATGTCATCAAAAGGTCCTGCAGGAGGCTGTGGACTTGAATCATCTTTTGAAAGGTGACATTTTCTTAACTTTAAAAATATGGGATTTGCTCTCAAAATAATAACATTCTGATATAATATGTGTGTCTCTGCTGTTCTTTCAGATCTGGATAAACATTTTCAGTTTTTCCCTTGAGTTCTATGGAACAGCAATTGTTAACAAAAATATTTGTTTGGTAAAGTTATTATTTAGATAGACTGCACTCTATACACGATAAATGTCTTTTCAATTTATTTCTGTTTATTACATTTATATTGTGCCTTCTCTCCAATGAACTCAAGGAAGGACACAGAGTTTTCCCTGTCCATTTTATACTTCCATCAACGCATATAAGTTGCTATGGAGGTTAGGCTGATAAATAATTACAGGACCAAGGTTTCCCCACGGTGCTTAGTGATTGAGTGGGTGTTTGAATCTGGGTCTGCCTGGCCCATCTGTGCAACAAGCTCAAAAGGTCACCATTGATTCCACTGGATATATTTTTGAATTCAGAGTAGTAGTAAAAATCTGCATGGCCATAGTAGCATAAATGACAACATATAACCTCTGAAGCAGACTCTTGATTCTATGTATGTATGTGTTTAAATAGTACATTGCTAGCTAAGGTTTGTAGTTGAAAAGAGAACCTGAAATTTGCAGCCAAATTCTGTGGACGGCTTAGAAACTAAAGAGGCAGTCAATGGAAGACACTTTTTTTTTCCAGCAGAGCTGCTACGGCCCAGCCAAAAAAATCACATTCAAGGGGGACTGGGGAAACTTGGTTATCTCCTGAAAGATAAACCGGGTGTGGTGATCTTAGTTTACCAAGGCCCTCCCAACCCAATTTTCCTTCTACTCACTTTCGCCCCACAGCAACAACCAGATCTCATGGTTCATCATAACAATGGACACTCAATGTATATTTATAGTAAAATAAGTTATTATTTTCAAGTGGCAGTTTTCAGATGTTAGGATGCTTGTAGCTTATACATGTCAACCTTTTCTCTCCTAGCAGAGGTTCATTGTTGTATAAATTACTGAGAGGCAATAATCAGTGATGACTCAATGCTATGTATTTAATTAAGGTGGCTTTACTTGTTATTATGAGGTGATCATTACAATTATCAAATTAATAATGAAACAGGAATTCAGCCTATGCTTGTCTATTAGTTTGTGGTTCTGGTAAACACATCCAAACACCTTTCCATGTAAAAAAGGAAAAGAAAGCATCAATTACCTTGTAGCCTAAAGCATCAATGCTCTATTGGACTCAAACTCTCTCAACCCATACAGAGCCTTCAAGACTTTTATCTCCCTGTCTTAAATTTGCCAAAGTATTGCACCCATGGTAGCAACTATTTTGAAAATCAACTAGAGGTATTGTTTTAGAGGGCAAACCGTGAATATGGGAAAACTCCAGGACTCTGTAAAACTTCCCTTCTTTACTGCAATAGAAGTTTAGTAGTTGTACTCCTTGGGAAGACGTGATCAAAAGTCTAGATGCTGCCTAAGAACTGTTTGAACACAATGTACTAAATTCACTGGTATGAAGTAGAGGAAATGTGTGCTGATCTCCTCCTGCAGGGCAGAAATTGATAATCCAAGCATATAAAATTGTCATGTGTATGAAACTCTGCTGTTCAGAAGTGTCCTCAGTTGCACATAAGTTCACACATGCCTTTCCTCTGCAGGAACCATCCAGGTGTCAGTCTTGGGGAAATAGTATCTGATATTAGCAACACAAAATTACGTACTTCAGTCGTAAACTGAATGTTACATTTTTCAGGCACTTTTGAAAGAGGGTGATAAATCAAAAGAGCGAGGGGAGGGTATTCCAATTAATTCTTGAAAATATATGATATATAAAAAGAAACTCAACATCACCAAAAAAATAAATATGGATTATTAACCGTTTAAGTTACTTTGATGTAGAATGGGAGCACACATTAGCTTAATCATGGTTTTTGAATGTTTAAAGATATTTTATCAGATCAAGACTGAAAAGATCTCAGATCATCATTGCTTTAAAATGTGATGCTAGAACACTATTCATATCCTTTGGTAATGATAAATACTTATTCATCCTCTTGCACTTGAATTCTGGATAGACTTATTTTCAAGGTAAAATTTCTTCTGTTCTTGCATCACTGGTAATTTGGTTTATGAAAGGGTATGTTCTTTAACTGTTAACACTCCAGAAGAGCCTTGATAATGTATGCATCTTTTCTCAGGTGAAGAGAATTTTATTTTCTTTCTTGCCAGCAGCCCCAGAGACAACCTGAAACCTCATTTTAATGTCTGCTTTCTTCTCTCACATTGCATCTTGAGATTGTGATCAGATGCAGACTCCATCTGTCATCCAACTTTTCCCTTCTCCGCCTCCCCCCTTGCTCTGTTTGCCATCTAGCCTAATATAGAGTTCCTGCCTTCTAATTTGTGGCATTTGGGTTGACCTAATAAAGGTATTGCCCAAATACAGACTTTGGAGTTTTTTTCCTTGCGGCCCAACTTCTCCTTTTGCGTACCTTTTTTCATGTCACGTATTTACACAATGCAAAGACCACGCTGTTTTAGCCTCCTGTTTAGCCTCCAGTTTTTGTAATGCAAATATAAAAATGATCTGTAGATGAAGGGAGCCATTTGTCTGTCTCTGGGCATAAGTGAGTTAGAATAGGACTCTTAGAACAGGCTTCCTCAACCTCAGCCCTCCAGATGTTTTTGGCCTACAACTCCCATGATCCCTAGCTAGCACGACCAGTGGTCAGGTATGATGGGAATTGTAGTCTCAAAACATCTGGAGGGACGAGGTTGAGGAAGCCTGTCTTAGAATGCAATTGGAGCTCTCTGAACACAGAGCTCTGGGTCAATTAGCGGAAGAGGCTGCTTTACTTCTCAGTAGCTCATTACAGTTTCTTGACAACTTGTATTGACTCAATTGGACATGCACGTCAATGCATGATAGGGAACGGAAGTCTCCCTTGTACACAAAACAATAAACAATAGAAATTAGCACAATAAACCACAGATTTCAGTCCACCCAGAGAGGACACTTTCCACATTATAACTCATCCGGAAGAGCAAGTACAGCCCAGTTTTGCAAAAGAATGGGAGGAATTATGTGTCCTGCGCTCTCTTTACAAGTTAAATACAGCTAAGCTGCAGAATTTAGCATAAATAAATAAATCATTAGCTATTAATTTTTTAATGGGAGGAATTATGTGTCCTGCACTCTCTTTACAAGTTAAATGCAGCTAAGCTGCAGAATTTACCATAAATAAATAATTAGCTATTAATATTTTTTTTACCGAACTTAATCTAAAGATCACAGGATGATTTACAATATAAAAACAAAAAACTACATACCTAGAACATAAATAAGAACAATAACACCCCACCTACATGCACAGTTTAAAAGGCCATAGATTGCTTAATTAGCCAAAGGCCTGGGAGTGGAGGGTTGTTTTTGCCTGGAACCTGAAGATAGGTAATGAAGGCGGCAGGTGAGCCTCCCTGGGGAGAACATTCCACAAGAGGGGAGCCACCACAGAAAAGGCCTGTTCTCATATTGCTGCCCTCCAGACCTTTTGCAGAGGAGACACACAAAGAAGGCCCTCAGGTGATGATCACATAGGCATGTCCTCTTGTTTTAGAAAAGTTTTTAAAAAGTTAAGAATGTAACCAGTCTAGAGATAACACCAGTATGACTTCAAACGTTGTGGAACGGTTATTGGCTGGAGCTGAGGATTCTGGTATTAATACAAATATATGTAGTTTTTGAATGCTTTCTATCATTTGATTACACTGCTCTGATATGAGATGTCCGGTGCCAATCTATTATGACGCACTGCTGATGTCATGTAAGCAGATTCTGTATTATGACATCCTGGCAGTAATCATTGCAGCATCAGAAGTGTTTCAAGAGTTGAACAGCAGGAAAGAGGATTTCTCCATACAATTAGACTTGATATAGATCAATGTGATGAAACATCCCAGGTTTCAGGAATTTGCTGGCAGAAAATAGGTGAGTGCTGTAGGCAGAAATTAGAGAGATGAATTTAAACTTTAAGGGGCAGCATCAAAGAGAGGTTACTTTAATGAGCAATATGTTAAACATGACTTGGAATATGTAACTAAACATTTCTGTAGTCAAAATCAATCTACATTTATTTTGTACAGCACCTAGCACATAGTTTCATCCTAATCCTGGAAACAGTGTGGGTGCTGCCATAGACTACCTATTTAATAAAAATATGTATACATATGTTATATGTAAGCTCTGGTTTTAAGCCAGGATTGTCTCCAGAAGGATTTTGCAATCCATGGATAGGTGCAATAGTCTAAGGATATGTGAAGTTGTTCATGGTAGTCTGATGTCATAGTCTTGGTTCCAGTGTCTTACCTGCAGAAGCGGGTTGGGCAGGAAGAACTGTAGATTGGTTTTGGCTTATAGATTGGTAGATTGTCTTATAGTTGAGATACATAGATGTATTTATCCTGGGTGGGCATAGCTAATATCCATGGCATCAATTGCCATTTTTTAGCTTTCCAATACAATTTGTAAGATATCTTTGTTTTGATTATCTCACAATTGTACTTTTTTTTGGGGGGGGGGAATTATATACATAAAATATATTTGATAGTGAAGTCCCTTTTAAGTTCAACATGATCACCCTGATAAAGTTTTAACTGATTACATTAAGTACTGTATATCCCAAACTGCCAAACCAACTGGTATTGGTTTACAAATACCACCCAAAATATTTTCTCATTTGTGACCATTTTGCGAAAGTTGCCAAAGAACATGCCTGGGGCTTGATTCCTTGGTGCACCTGAATCAGACGGTCTTGAATACCGCTCTTAAGCTCTGTGCTGATGTTCATGCAGATTATTTGTTGCTGGACTCGTCTCCTTTATCCCTAACCACCATCCCTGGTAAGGGATGATGAGAGCTATAGCCAAAAAATATCTGGAGGACCACAGGTTCCTTATCCCTGTTCCAGATTGTTAACTTCTACCCATGGTGAAAGGAGAAAACCTGGTGCCAGGTAACAAATCAACAATCCCTTAATCAGGGCTTTTTTCAGCCGGAACTCACTGGAACTTAGTTCCGGCACCTCTCAGGTGGACTCCATAGCCATTCTAAGAGGAGGAGGAAAGTGTTCATGATGAATTCCAGCACCTCTTTTTCTAGAAAATGAGCACTTCTCTTAATGAATCTATAGTAATTGTGGTGATAGAAGCACATTTTTTGGCTATATGAAAGCACTCCTATCTTATTTGTAAGAGGGGGGCCAGAAGTGGAAAACTCCCTTCTTGTGCCTTAGGACATTTGTTTTACCTTTGTTTATGATGGCATTGCTTATGAAGCAGAAGCCAGGTGTTCACAATATGCACATTTTTAACTGTTCTCAGTGAGGTGTAGGAAAGATTAGTCTTGCACAACTTCACTGTATATTATATCTAGCAACAATCATTTTAATCTGCTAATCTAGGAGTTTTAAGATTTCACTTCATTTCCTAAGGTGACCTTGTGTTTCAGTATTAAACAATACATTTTTAACTGTCCTCCATAGGGACTGTATGATAGAGCAAGACTGGGGTGCTTTATCCATTGCAGAGAACTAAAGCACTCTAATTTAGAAGAAATTATCTATGTAGAAGCTTCAAGCAATGAAGGGTTGAGATGTGTAAGTGACTCTTTAATATGCAATATTTAATAGCTGTTTTGCCACATTCCAATATGTAAAGCATTAGAACAGAGCATGTAAAGGTTGTCACTGGCTAAATAGCCACACAACTGGCCCTCTGTGCACAAAGGTTCTTTGGACTTGTGTGTTTCATCCACATCTTTTTGTTGGCCAAGTCACAAACTATCATGCAGGCATAATGTAATCTTTTGATGTAATTTCACTTACCTTACCTAGCACTCCACTGCCAGATACAAAACAGTTTTCTGTGAGTAGAAGGGCACCTTCGAATCAAACCTGTCATATTTAACTGAAGTACAGGTGGAATACTGGTAACTTAGAATTGTATACTAATATATTGGGAGAAACCGAGCACATAGAAGAGTAACACTTTTAATTGAGTTTAATTTCGCACTGGCATGAAATTCAGTACTAAGTAGTGTGAGAGCACCTTTTATTAATTTTGGGAAAACTCTTTTACCAGTTTTTGTGATTTTGCTGGAAATAAATCATTCCCTTTCTTCACTGTATGCATCTCATGACACTGTTCCCCTAGCTGCAACTCTTCTGCCAGTTCTTGGTATTTCGCCCCAAGTGAAGATGGGTATTAGGATGGAACAACTAGCTCTCTTCTCCATATGCATTGGCTTTTCCTTTTAGCTTTATTTCTGAATCCTGGCTTATAATTACTTATCAACCTAGCAGTTTGAAAGCATGCCAGTGCAAGTAGATAAATAGGTCCCGCTGTGGCGGGAAGGTAAACGGTGTCTCCGTGTGCTCTGGTTTCCGTCATGGTGTTCGTTGCGCCAGAAGCAGTTTAGTCATGCTGGCCACATGACCAAGAAAGCTGTCCGTGGACAAATGCCAGCTTGGCCTGAAGCAAGACGAGTGCCACACCCCAGAGTAGACATAACCATCCAGGGATCAATTACCTTTACTTTTTTTACCTTATCATCATCATCATCATCATCATCATCATCATCATTTATTATGTTTCTGTTCCACCTTTCCTCTCAACATAGCCCAGGGGTGGCAATCAACTAAGCAGCAAAACAGCGCAACATAAAATAAATTATATTTACAACCTCTAAAAACATTGAGAATAGCCAAATGTTTTGTTAAATAGTTGCATACCCCTACAGCTAAAATGTCTCTCTCTTTCCACAAACTGAGTAGCCCTTTCCCAAAACATATTTTCCTAGTTACTGTTTGCAGTTTATCATACTGCTTATTATTTCAGTCTTGGTCACCCAGTGTAAGGTTTTGGAGAGTCATGTAGAAACTTAACTAAGAGTAATGGAGGTCCCTATCCATGCAGAGTTTCTGAACACACCATTCAACACACCATATGTTCCCTTGATTTCTGTAGGTTTTGAACCTAATTAAGATTTAAAATTTATGTACCACCTTCTGTCTGCTTTTACTCTTGCCATTTAAGTCCCTAAAGACAAATCAAACTTGTTCAATAATTTCAGGCTCTCTAACATCACTGTGGGTTTTTGTTACACTTACAAGGGAGTTGCCTTCCCAAGACACACAGCTTAAGGCTATCATCAGTTGCACACTTGTCTGCTTTGCTGCAAATTTTAAATTCCAGTCCATGGTTTACTTTTGATAAACTAAACAGCAAAATGTTACTGGTAGAAGATATGTATCCGTGCCAGAGGCCTTTGAAATAAACTCTGCCTACTGTAAACAGATTAGTTGAGCAGTCCCATATCCATTCAGCAGAAAGCAACAGTTTCCTTTCTTCATATGTGGTAGAATCATAGATTAGAAGTAGGCAAGATACTTCCTTGAAGATGACCTAAGCATTCCTGAAATCATCAGTAGTCAAGGCTTTTGCTCAGAGACGGTATACTTCCTACAGTGCTAGAAGTTGAATCATGGAAATGAAATCCCACAATCCCTAGAATGAAAAATGCAAGGCAAATGTTGATAAATGTTTGTTTAAATATTGTGTGCTATTTGTAGACCCTTTGCCATGTCACTTTGGGTTGCTTAACCACACCTCTGTGCCTAACTCAATAGCACACAAGGTCGAAGAACAAAGTATCTGGTGTTTGAAACTCTAAAAAATACTGTCCTTGGCTAATGCTCATGTTTCTTTCAGCAGTGTACATATTGCCAATGATGAGAAATGTAAGTTGATATAGTGTGGTTCTCCTAGTATGGAGAGACTCTTCCACAGCAACTGCCAGTATAGGACATCTTAACTCAGGGATCACCAATGTGGTACTTGTGGGTAGACTACATGTGACTACTCTGTCTTAACTTCATGTACATTTTCAAAATTATCCATATTATTAGCTCATCATGTATTTCTAGATGTGGCCAAGTGCTCACATTGCCCAGTCCTAGCTCATGTTTAAGAATTATAATGCACATCATAGACCCAGCTTCACATATGTGTTGGATTCCTCCTTAAGTATACTTCTGTGCTATGTCATGACTTTTTATGGTTTCCATGCATTCTGTTTCTTTTGTTTGGAAACAAATGAGAGTTGGTGTGCCTCTTACACTTGGAGCCTAATATTGCAACCTTATGCACAATTTTCTAAAACTAAGTGCCATTGAACACACTGGGATAAATAACATTGCAAAAGGGTGCACTGCAAATATCCTTCGGTGCCATGGTAGCAGCAGTATTGTGTTCTCTCTAGGCTAGCCTTTCCCAATCTGGTGCCCTCTGAGTGCTTGGGCTATAACTCTCAGCAACACAAGCCAGCATAGTCAATGGTTTGGAGCATTATGGGAGTCATAGTGCAGCAACACCCACAGGACACCAGGCTGAAAAAAGCTTCTGTAAGCTTTTGCTACGTATGCATGTGTTGCCATTTAAAAGCTATAGGCTGAAAATGAGGTAACCCCCTCACTTAAGTTAGCTGGTTAAACCCAAACTCAGATATTTCTGGATTTCAAGTGAAGATATACAACCCCCTCCATCTATGTTGGCTTCTCAAAGGTTTATTTGTTTTTAAAGCTTTTCTGCAGCTGGAGAAAAAAGAACAACAGAAGCTGGTCTTGGATCAGTCCTCTATAGGGTCAAGGAAAAACTACTCTTTCACAAATGAGGAAGTTCGACAAATTGATCGGGAGAACCAAAGGCTCTTAAAGGAATTGACAAAGCACTCTGCAAAGCCCAGGAGCAAAAGTGCCTCGCTGAAGAAGCCTCCAGGCCCAGCACCCAAGATGTACCACAGTGCCATCAACAGGCAGAGAGAGCAGCAAAGGATTGACAGAGAGAATCTGGTTAGTTGAAGTTCTTTCGTTTATTAAGCGGAGTTTTGTACCTACTAAGTGCATCTATTACAACCTTTAATAAGTCATTGAGCAGTGTCATTGTACTATTGCTATGATTTGGAGAGATGCGTCATTGTAACACCCGCCACATTCTGTCCATGTTCAACCTAGGAGGAAAGAGGGGGAAACCAGCCAACCAGAAAATAAAAAGCAGTATAAAAATGGCATGCCCCCAGCATCCCTTGAAACACAACCGCACCCCACCATTGTGTGAACTATGAAGTCCACATACCACCCACACAGAGAAGGAACCAGTGAACCCCCAGCCCCCAACTGCAGTACACACTACCATGTTGCAGCACACCAGTCTTATCTGCTGCAGTGCCATAGTCACATCTCCCTCCTCATTGACCCTGTTCCATGCCCTTCTTTCCCCTGGCTGGAATGTGTTCCTAAATTTTGATAATGCTTCTTGGGCTGCGTACACACTGTACCTTTAAAGCACATTCTTTCCCTCAAAGAATTCTGGGCACTGTAGTTTCTTAAGGGTTGTTGGGAACTGTAACACAGTGAGGGGTAAATGGCGCCCAGAATTCTTTGAGGGAAATAATGTGCTTCATATACACTTTAAAGGAATAGTGTGCATGCTGCCTTATTTGTCTGGATGCACAGTTGTGTGTAAACCTTTTGACTCTTTTGCATGGCTGAAATGCGGCCTACTATGTACAAGGGCTACACACCTCCGATAAGGAGTGGGTTGGAGGGATCCCTATCTACCACTCCCTCGGAAAAAAGAAAGTTAACTTGAGGAGTTCTTGAACTGTCATCTTGGTAGCAAGGAAGAAGAAAAACAAATTATGTAGTACCAAGAGAGTACATTAATAGTGTGTCAAAAGCACGAAGAATGTAGCCCATAACATAAAATGAAATGGAAATAATTGAGGCGATAGCTAGCAGTCAGTTTCATTATCTGTATCTTTGCTTGTTCCATTACCATTGAACCATTGTTGTAACCATAGTAACACATATTGAGGCAAATGGAAACTCGCATTTCCATGTAATAGGTCTTTATCTAGAGCTGATCAAATAGTAATATAATGTAATTTTGCAAAGTATTATTACATGCAGGAACAGAGAGAGTTTGATTCATGCTCTGTCTGCTTTTTGCATAAGAATTCTGATCTCTGCTAAGGGTTTATGAATCCTAAATTTGCAGTAAATTATATAATGTACTCTGTCTCTCCAATACTCAGGATTTTATTTTTAAAATTCCTATACTAAGAAGTCTAAGCACTTGATGCCTTTCCTTGTGTATCCCCACCCTGCAATCCCATTCCTCTGTTGGTCTCTTTCTGAACCTTCACAGGTTCAATTATATTCTTTTGAGGTGCAGCAACCACAAATGCATACAAATATTCTGGATGTAAATTCATCGCAGAATGGTTTGGTGACATTATGATACTGTGATTCCCCCACACACCCTCTTAACACATCTGCAGTTGCATTATTCTTCATAGTATCAGATATATTGACATATACACATACTTGGTGAATTTTGTGCTGTGAGATTAATCCATTTACATTTTCTTCATCAGGGCTTAAATTCTCAGCTAAGAGCTATAGACAGAAATATCTGTCCATGTTTTCACCAAGAGGCAAATGTATTTGTTCTTTGCTTGTTGGTTCTTTTGATATACTGTAATTGCATTGAGCTCATATTTCCCAGTTTTAGCAACCACATCCCTCGTGCTCTAAATGAAATAGATTGACCACACTTGTTCCGAAAACTAGTGATCTTTCAGAAGATTGATCTAAAAGGTTCTTTTTTGGTGAACTCTAACTACCGAGTGTTCAATTTCTGTTTTGGTTATTTAGCATTTCATTATAATTACCCAAGTTGCATTTATACTTCATTTAGTTATTGGTACATGGTTATCTTGTCTTTAGTCATTGGTCCCATTCTAAAGTCAATTATCCTTTTAAATCTTTTTTCCTTCGTATCATATTTTTCTATATGCATTCCTACGTAGGGGAGCAGATCTTCCATGTTGTTTTCTGCTACCCTTCCTAGATAGAAACACATTTACAGGTTAAAGCAAAGTTTATAGCTTATTTTGAAGTTTTCATTTTTCCTCACTTGGCAGGTGTCCTTTCAATGTGACTGTTCAGCATCAATGTAATTTGCTGGCCTTGTTCAGATATAACACTAAGCCATGGTTTAGTGTTATGATAACAGCCCACAGAATGCCTCAGGCCTGCATCCTTCTCTCATTGGAGCCATGAGGAGAGGTTGGGAAGCTTTCACTTCCATTTTAGATTAACTGCAATTTGTCATGTCATCCAAACTCTGACAAACTAATTAATTTTAATGATGAGGTTTTTTTCTGAAACAAGCCAAATAGTGGTTGATGAAGCTAGCCTGTTTCAGTTAATCATAAGGAAGATTAACCACAGTTTAGTGATCAGGCGATGAGCTAAACTGCAGTTAATTTAAAGTGGAAGTGAAAGCTTCTGACTATGCCATAAGGAGGAACCCAACAATCTCAAAAGTCATTGGGGCTTGCTCTTGTAATGCTAACCTATGGTTTAGACTGAGTTATATCTGAAAACAGCCTTTCTGACAATTGATACGTAAAGCCTCAGGACACTCTTTCCTGACCATTATGAAATAACTAGTTATATATAATATACCTTATAGCATAATTTTTGTATGAGTAAAATTTCCACTTTCATTTTAAAGTAACCTTTTATTTTTACATTCCCCACTGCTCTAGATTATAGTCAAAGCCCTTTCTTTGCCATTTCTCTCTATTTCCCCCTTAATACATTGTTAAAGTAAGTATTTGTTCAGTTAGTGCAAGAACATTTTCCTGCACTCTCCCCAAGCACCACATCGATAGCAATGTGTGATGGGATGATGAGCTGCTTGTGCGTAAAATCGTATCCCCTCAGAGTTTGTTCAAGTCCACAAACCTCTGTCTGTGACGGAGCCCCTCAGACATGGCTCCTCTAGTCACTAGCAGATTCCGACAGTGGTTGCTTTCGTAATCGCTTCCAACATAAAAGCTCCTTAACGGAAACACGTCTTCTGGACCCTCTGCGTGTCAGTTTCCGGCGAGGAGTGGGTGTCCCTACAGGAGGTCCTGAAACCTCCCCACTGTTTTCGCTGGAAGTGTCTCTGAGCCATCCCTCCAGCTCACTTTCCCTCCGCTCAGCTCCTCTCCCCCTACTGGTTCCCTCTTCAGCTGCTGAGTCTCTCCCAACCTGTGTGAGCCCTTTCACCTCCCTTCCGTCTTCAGCTGCTGAGTCTCTCCCAACCTGTGTGAGCCCTTTCACCTCCCTTCCGTCCGATGGCAGTTCCCTGACATCCACCTCCCCTCCAGGGCCCCCTTCACCCCCTCTCGCCCCCTCCTCTACGGGCGGTGAGGAGGCAAAACACCGGAATGAACTTCCTTCATCTTCCGATGTCTCGAACACTTCTCTCCACCTGTTGCGGTTCCTGGTCTCGAAGTACTCCTCCTCCTCAGAGTCCATCTCCCCTCCCCTTCCGAGTCCGGGAAGCCTTCCAACTCCTCCTCCTCATCAGTGGTCCCAAAGTATTCCCTCCGGAACCTCTCCACAGGCTGAGGTTTCCTTGGGAACCTTTGATGGAACGTTTCTATCAATACCTCGTCATTGATATCTTCGGCCATTACCCAAGTGTTTTCTGACTCCGGTTCTCCTTCCCACGCTACCAAATACTCCACCTGATTCCCCTTCCACCTGGCGTCGAGGATTTCTGCCACATGGCTGCTGCATTCTCTTTCTTCTATGACCGGTCCCCGAGTGGCCATCCCTTCTCGTCCCCCTTCGTACGGTGACAGTAACGACCTGTGAAATACTGGGTGCAGTTTCATGTGGTTGGGTAACCGGAGCCTGAAAGCCACTGGGTTGACCTGTTGAATGACCTCAAAGGGACCCAACCTCCTGGGTCTTAATTTCTTACAACCTCCTTTGAACGGCAACCCTTGGGTTGACAGCCACACCCTATCTCCCACCCTTATGGTTTCACCTTCCCTTCGGTTCTTGTCTGCTTGCCTCTTGTATTCTTCCTTCGCCCTTTCTAAGTTGAGTTGGAGCTGACAATGGATTGCTTCCATTTCTTCTACAAAATGCTCGGCTGCCGGGACGCTCCATCTCTCCCCATCTCCCCTGGGAAAGCCCTGGGATGACACCCATAATTAGCCAAGAAGGGGCTCATCCCTGTGGACACATTCTCGGCATTGTTGTAGGCAAATTCCGCCAGCGCCAACTTTTCTACCCAGTCATTCTCTCTGTCATTGACATAACACCTCAGGTATTGCTGGAGGACACCGTTTGCTCTTTCCGCCTGCCCGTTGGTTTCAGGGTGCCGGGCAGTCGAAAAATTGACCTCCACCTGCAGTAAGCTCATGAGCTTCCTCCAGAACCTGGAAGTAAATTGTTTTCCTCGGTCTGAGACCACTCTCAATGGCACCCCGTGCAACCTAAAAATGTGTTCTACAAATAACTTCGCTGTCTCTTCCGCCGTGACTGCATGCGAGCAAGCTACAAAGTGGCACATCTTTGTTAGTAGGTCCACCACCACCATGATGGCTGTTTTCCCTTTGGACTTCGGCAGATCAGTCATAAAATCTATCGACACTGCCTCCCAAGGTCGTTCTGGGGTTGGTAAGGGTTCTAATAGCCCCGCCGGCGCCCGCCTTTCCCCTTTGGCTCGCTGGCATTGCTCGCACCCTCTTACATACTCACGTACATCTTCCCTCACCTTGGGCCACCAAAATTCCCTGGTGACCAACCACATGGTTTTGTGTTGTCCAAAATGCCCCGCCGTAGGGCTGTCGTGCAACTGCTTGAGTACCCTCCCCCTTAAGTCTCCTTCAGGGATATACAGTGCCCCTTTGTAATACAGAGCTCCATTTCTTTCCTCGAACCCCCCTGGTTCCTCTCCCTCACCCCTAAGACCTCTGAGCTTATTCTGGGCGTATTCATCATTCTCTGTTTCCTCTACCAGTTCTCTTTGTCCCACCAATGCCGCCCCACACACCCAGCGGTCCTCTGGAATGACATGTCTCTCTTCGGGTGCTCCCTCCCCTCCAAATATTCAGGTTTGCGTGAGAGAGCGTCCGCCCTAATGTTCTCTGGGCCTGGCACGTAACAAATCTCAAAGTTAAATTTGGAGAACTCCTGGGCCCATCTCACTTGCCGTTGGTTGAGCACTCGTGCCGTCCTCCAATACTCTAGGTTCTTGTGGTCAGTGCACACTTGCACCTTATGTTGTGCGCCAATTAGCAGGTGCCTCCATCTCCGGAACGCCTCATGAATGGCTAGTAGTTCTCGGTCATACACCGTGTAGTTCCTCTCGGATTTGTTCAGCTTTCGCGAAAAAATGGCACACGGTCTCCACTCTGACTCCTCCTTGCCTGGCTGCAGAAGCACCGCCCCAATCGCTCTGTCTGATGCGTCAGTTTCCACTCTCATCGGTTTTTGTAAATCCACATGCAGGAGTTGTTGTTCCGAGGCGAAGGCCCTTTTTAGTTCCTCAAATGCTCGCTCCGCCTCCTCAGTCCAAACGAACTTCTTCTTACTGCTGAGACAGTCCGTAATGGGCGCCGTCAGGTGGGCAAAGTTTCGGATGAACTTACGATAGAAGTTCCCAAATCCTAGGAACCTCTGCACATCCTTCCTTGTTTTGGGTGTTTTCCATTCCAGCACCGCCTGGACCTTGCCGGGATCCATGGCCAATCCCTTGTCTGACAGGCGATACCCCAGGAATTCCACCTCCTTGGTATGAAACTGACACTTCTCCAGTTTCACCCACAGCTGGTTGGCTTGCAGCCTGCTCAACACTTCTCTGACGTCTCTCACATGCTGCTCCTCATTCTCAGAATACACCAACACGTCGTCTAAAAAGGCCACACAATTCTTGTAAAGCAAAGGCCCCAGGACGTGGTTCATAAACGATTGAAAGGTTGCGGAGCCTGCTTGTAGGCCGAAGGGCATAACCAAATATTCAAATGCCCCTAAAGGGGTGAACATGGTGGTTTTCCATTCATCCCCCTTCCTTATTCGTACCAGGTTGTACGCCCCCCTTAGGTCCAGCTTTGTGAAAATCTTTCCCTTCCGCACCCTTGTCAAAATGTCGTCAATCCTGGGCATAGGGAAGGCCACTGGTTCTGACACTGCATTTAAGGCCCTGAAGTCACACACCAGCCTCGGCTTGTTCGTGTTTTTTTATCCACAAAAACACTGGGCTGCCCCCACCGCCCTGGACTCTCTGATGAACCCTCTCTTCAGGTTCTTGTCAATGAACTCTCTTAGCTCCTGCATCTCTCTGTCTGACATGGCGTACAGCTTGCCTACAGGGAGCTGTGCCCCAGGGAGTAAATTGATTTGACAGTCAAAGGGTCTATGCGGGGGTAGTTGGTCAGCTTCCCTTTCGCTGAAGACGTCACGGAGATCTGCATATTGTCGTGGTACCTTCACGTTCTCCGTTACTTCAGTCCCTGCTAGGGTGGCTTGGGCCCCTGCCAAACCCTTTCCCTCTTTGCAGTGTTCTAAGCAATGTGCTGAACCAAAAGAAACCACTCTCTGATGCCAGCCCACCAGCGGATCATGTAACGCTAGCCAGCTCATCCCCAATATAATGGGAGCTCCTCCCAAGGTGGCCACATTAAAAGCTATCAGTTCGGTGTGCCTTGCTACCTTCATTATCATTGGGACGGTCTGCAAGCTGACTTCTCCTCCCAACAGCTCCCTGCCATCGATCGTGGTCACCTGCAGGGGGTTGCTTAAAGGGATCGTCTGTATCTGGTGTTCAGCTGCAAACTCTTTGCTCATGAAATTGCAGGAGCTGCCTGAGTCCAACAGCGCCTTTATCTTTAGAGGGTGTCCGTTTGGCAGCTCTAGCGTCACTTCTATCACTAGGGCGGGTTTAGGAGGTTCTGGCGTGGGCACTCTCACTGCTCTTTGGCCTGGCTGCTGTGCCCCGACAGTGGCAGCCAGGCGTTGGCTTTTACTTGCTCCGGTATTTCTTCCTCTCTTCCCTCCACAGCTCCTACCATCCCTTGCCATTCCTTCCTCTGGGGGCAGACTCTGGCAAAGTGACCTGGCTGTTGGCAGAGATAGCATTTCCGGGCGCCTTTTCCCTCCTTCTTTCCCCCTCACTGGGCTTTGAAACTGCGCGCGCGCGCTGTTCCGATTTCCATCGGCTCTGCCGGCGGGAAAGTTGGCTCTGGAATGTCTGGAATGCGGAACTCCTTCCAACGTTCCCCTTTCCCTTCCCGCCTCTCCAATGCTCTCGCCTCCTGGCGCGCTCCTATGGTCAGCGCTGATTTGGTCAGCTGGTCCATAGACTCCGCCCTGGGCGCCCGGGAAAGTTCGTCTTTCACAGCCGAAGAAAGCCCTTCTTCAAAGAGCATTTGAATGGGTTCCGCCGATAAGTCCCACCCCAATCTGTGCACCAGCATGGTGAACTCAGTCCAGTACTCACGGACAGATCGGCTCCCCTGTTTGCAAGCCATTAACTGTCTGCGCACCACTCCCTGTTCAATATCGCTGGAAAACATCAGATCCATGGCGCGAAAGAACTTCATCGTGTCCTTTAGGACGTCACTATTCGCTGCCATCAGGGGTCTAACCCAGTCTCTCGCCCCCTTTTCAAGATGCTCAATCACGAAAGCCACTCGTGATTCCTCGTCAGGAATTCATCAAACTGCAGATTGAGGGCATATTGCATCTCTGTCCGAAAGCCATAATAGTCTTTGGGCTCCCCCCCAAACTTCTGCACCAATCCTGGTACCTTTCTGGCGAGCTGGGTGGCTTCCCCTTTTTGTCTGCATCCTGAGCCCTCCTCTCCTCAAGCCTCGCCGTCTGCATCGCTAGCTGGACCTCCAACACCCGGTACCTTTCTTCCAGGCTTGGACCCGCTCCAGCTCCTGCTTCTCCGGTTCCGGCTGGGTTGCTCATGATGCCTTCTCCTGCACAAGCTGCTTTCAAAGACTGTCGGAATGCTGTGATGGGATGATGAGCTGCTTGTGCGTAAAATCGTATCCCCTCAGAGTTTGTTCAAGTCCACAAACCTCTGTCTGTGACGGAGCCCCTCAGACATGGCTCCTCTAGTCACTAGCAGATTCCGACAGTGGTTGCTTTCGTAATCGCTTCCAACATAAAAGCTCCTTAACGGAAACACGTCTTCTGGACCCTCTGCGTGTCAGTTTCCGGCGAGGAGTGGGTGTCCCTACAGGAGGTCCTGAAACCTCCCCACTGTTTTCGCTGGAAGTGTCTCTGAGCCATCCCTCCAGCTCACTTTCCCTCCGCTCAGCTCCTCCCCCCCTACTGGTTCCCTCTTCAGCTGCTGAGTCTCTCCCAACCTGTGTGAGCCCTTTCACCTCCCTTCCGTCTTCAGCTGCTGAGTCTCTCCCAACCTGTGTGAGCCCTTTCACCTCCCTTCCGTCCGATGGCAGTTCCCTGACACAATGTAAGTTTAATTTTTTTTTTAAATCCTCAGTCTAAATTGATTATCTCCCCTGCCCTTGGTTTTATGAAGACAACTTTTTAAGCACCTTAATCCAAAATTTCCTTTACTATGCTTCTGTTACTTCTCAGAACCAAATATCAGACTGCAAATTAATTAATTAATTTATTTTTTGTTGAATGACAGTGAAACTTGTCCTTATATTAAGGAATATTTCAGTGCAACTGTTAGTAGTAGCAGTGATACAGGGTAGTATTTAGCTAAGTTTACTAAATAGAAGTAAAATGCTAACTTGCTAAACTGAGTTGAAATCCAATGCAAATTACCTCTGCAAATTAACCTTATTTGTTTATGGAAATGTTCCAGTTCATTTTTTTCTGGAAAGTTCACAACAGCACTTATTTTTTATCTGTATTGGGGAAAATGAACCAGTGCCAAGTAATACAGGATATTCTGTGTGTTCTGGACATTTTTATATAGACAGCTGTTTATACTGGACAAAAACCAGTTTCCTGTTTTTCCTGTGACTGTTACATGTAAACAGAATTGGCAACGTGAAGTACGTTGCTGCCGCTGAAGAGAATTTTCTTCTAGAAAAGCATTTCCTCTTTTTTATTATTACATTTTTATCTTGCCTTTCCCCCTTCTTCTGTGAGGTAATCCTGACTGCAAGATTTTGACTGGCCCAAGATCACTCAGATGTCTTTTAGGCAGGGAAGGAATTTGAACTTAGACTCTCCCTAATCCAAGGCAGACATCCTTTCCACAACACCACACTGAAACACAAACACACTATCTCCTCGCATACTTGCCCATACTAAATATTTAGATTTTATATGACCCACCAGTGGCATCAAGCAAAATGATTGCATTGATGTGTCTGATAGTTTTGGGTTTTCTGTTAGAGAAGCAGGGATAAAAACCTGAAAATGTGGAGTTAAGGTACAAGATAGAAATTTTATTTCTAGTTCAACTAGCTAAAGAAGCTAAATTTAGATTTGAAATGTACTCTTCTGCCTCTGCTGTGAAAAATAATTCTGGTTTCTGCTGCAAATTAAATTAGAGGAGACATCATATAAACAGAGCCAAACACCTGTCCAACAGTCCAGTGGCCAGTTGTTTCATAATTCATGTGTAGCTGGTAGCTTCAGTGTGTGGTCTCCCTCACATTTGACTTCCATTTTGAATAAAGCACTGTTGGGGGGAGTAAGTTTGAGCTTTTAAAAAACAACCACATTTATTTAAGTGCCAAATATAAAAAAGAAGGGAAAAACAAAGAAAGATCAGGGGGCAGGGAGATGGGGGCAGAGAGTGACAGTACACACTGTCAACACAAATGAAGAATATAATAGCTATCAGTACTTCCTTCCAAAACTAAACACAGAAGGCAGTATAAGCCATCTAGATAGGGATCCTCGTGAAATTGGTGTTTATTAAAAAATATGTTCAAATGTAGCAAGGGTGGCGAGGCCCTCAGGCAGTTGCTCAATGGATAGTGTGTGTTTATTCTTTCAAGTTCAAAATACCTTGGCAACAAGAAGGGCTCACAGCTTCTGCTTTCCTACCATTAATCCCCATGCTTATAGGAATATTGTTTAAGAGTATCTGAACATAAATTACAACAGGAGTGGTAACTGCAGCGATTAGATTACTGTTTGGCCCTCGACAGTAAATGATACTTAAGCCACAATACAGAAAACAACAAAATACACAATCTGACCCCATTAGCTGATCTAATGTATAAACCCGACAATCACTCCAACGTTTGACACTGCCTTTTTGTTGGTGTTTGAATTAGGTTGGTAGGAAACATAATGCGCTACTTTACCATTTAACTGTTATATCAACAACATGGCTTGGTTTAGTTTTTAAAAGTAAGCTTTTCTGCTGCCCATCATTCCCTAACACAAATTACCGGTATATCATAGCAAAGAAATGGTATTCAGCTTTAACTAGTTATGATAACTGCTATGGGTTTTCTCTAAACAAAAAGTAATATTTTTAACAAATTAAATTTAAGGCTTTTTTGAAGAGGCTTGAAGCAGTGAAACCGACGGCTGGTATGAGGCGTTCTGAACAGCTCATGGACTATCAGCGGCAGATGAGTTACCTCAGTTCTGCTCCCTCTCCAAGGCGAGGGAAGTCTGCCTTAAGCCACCACAGCCCTTCTCGTAAGCAGAGTTTGCGCTTTTCATTATGTATTTTTTGTAATAGTGAATCATGCTTTCAAGTATACATGCATAATCCTGGATGTCTTCATCCCCCAGTCTCAACATGATTCAAATGTGTGAAAAGAAAAGAAAATTACTAAAGCCCAGTATTTAGTCCTATATGCAGCCTGCATTGCTCTGTGTGTGTCGCCCTTCATGTCCAGCTATGCATTGAGAGTTATATGGCGAGATGAACAAGTCCCATTCTCAGATTTTTCTTGCAAACAAAATGTTTTGGGCAACATGACTACCAAATTACAGCCTTCTAGCAGATGTTGATTATTTGTAGAGTTTACTGTACTGCATTACTGTTCAGCATCTTCTAGTCCCCTGGAGTGTTTTGGGTTAGGGTTACTTGTGCACTAAATTTCAGATTATTATTTTTTTGTGTTAATATTTTATGGAAAAGTTTTCCATTATAAAGAAATAAAGTGACACCAAAAAAAAGAGAAGAAGAAAACAAAAAGAAAAAAACAATATATGAATATTTACGGAGTGGAAAATCAGATTTCTTGATTCTGTGGGGGTACATTTCAAGAGCGAAATACACGTTACGGGTTGGAGCCAAGTGTTGCTCCAAATGTCCTAGATTCTCAGAAGTGTCTTTTTGAGGGTTCAGAAGACAGCAGCAGAAAGCAGGCATGGAGAAAGCCCCTTCCCATGAGCTGAGCCCCATTTGCAATTGTTAAGACCCTAACCCAATATTTCTGATCACAAAACGTGGAGTTGCTTGCATAGATTTTAAATGGCTTTGTTTTTCAAAATGGCAGAGTTATGCAAGCACCTTAACACTGTCCTCCCTTTTCTGTGTCCTTCCCCACAGGAGGTGCTTCGCGAGCATCCAGCCACAGTGCATCTAGTACCGTGAGTCGGAGAAGTGAAAGACCCGTTTATGACTCATCCAGTGGTGCCCTGCAGCGATTGAAACCCACTAGTATTCGTACTGCCTGGCTCTAAGTTATTTGCACTTTGCCACCAGATTATTAATTCTGATGTATTTGCAGGTTGCTGTAAAGTCTGTGCAAGAGTATTGTAATATTCACTGTTGGTGATTAAAGGACACTGGAAAGTGATATTAACTACAAACAGATACAACACTGATTATTATTATTATTATTGCTGTTGTTGTTTTTTGAGCAAGCAAGATCCTTACTATATGCGTTGGATAATATCTTCCCAATCAGTATTTCTGCTAATGATATATTTGTATAAGAAAAGTGGCACTGTAAATCTTATTTATGTTCTTCAGTCACAACTGAAGTTCGGATGTGAAGAGTAGAGGGTGGACTTGTAGCACTTTTGGACCAGTGTAAAAGTGTAAAAAAAAAATGCATTTCATTTTTCATTGTACAATAAACATTTGCATTGGATTAGTTGCTCAGTCTTTTGTTTCTTACAGTGTAGCTGCTGTTTTTAATTTAGCACAGTCAATTTATGCAGTCTTCAAGGAGAATTACATCGCTGGTGTTCAGTATAATTATTTATGAGGTCTTGTGGAAATGGTAGAGTGACAATATGCAGTACAATTCAACTCCGTTTCTTTCTGGTGATTCTTGAAATGGTTCTGTTTGGCTGAGTGCTTTCAGATGAGCTTATGCTTTGCTGCTGCTTCCGTGTCACATTCCAAGAATGATTTTTGATCAGGTCTCCATGCTTAATACTGATATATGTTATCTTTAAATGTTTTAATATTACATATATCCAGTAGCAGTCAGAATGGAGGGATAGAGGTGCTTACGTGACCCTCCCCTTGCATTGCTGTACCCTTACCAGGAGGGGCAAGACAAAGGCGTACCTGATGCGGTGTGAACACGCTGGCAGGAGCACCATATGTGTTTGCACTCCACAGGCCATCTTGTTTCTCTGCCTCCTTGTAAGGTGCAACAATGCTGGTGACGGGAGGTAAGCACCACCAACTTTCTATGCTGACCCTTACGACTTGTAACTTAAGCAGTACATTTGGTTTTATCCATTGTCTCCTGTTAAAGCTTGGCAAACGTTTTGTTAATTAAATGAAGCTCTCCTTTTTGTAGATTAAACTCAATTTTGACAGTGATTTTAATGTCTTAAGCAGTAAACATTTAGACAATGGTGTGGAAAAGAGTAGCCTCTGTGAACTAAAGCTCTCTTATTGACCTTGCAATGTAACCAACGTTTCGATAGCTCTGCCAGTGTGAAGTATATGCACAATTATGCTGATTGAATGGTTCTTTATGTAGAGTTTCACTGTTTCTTGAATGAAGTACAAATGAGCAAGCCATCTTCTGGTTGCACTGTTTTTTTTAAAAAACTACTAAGCACTTTTAAACCTTTCCGTGACTTTTTTCTCTTCATAGAAAGCACAGTGTGTGCTAGCTTTAAACTATATCATCTTAAATGTTTTACTTGATTGATTATGGAAGACATGAAACTTGTATGTCACTCTTTTTAAAGCTTTAAGTAAAGGATTAATTGAATTACATCTGTGTTCATTGTACTTCCTTTCTGTGAATATTTTATCCAGATATAAACAAAATGAGGTAAATTTGGAGCTTAAGTTTAGTAAGTCTGTCATAGAGTCAAATTCCCTTCCTTCTTCTAATTAAAGTTCTGTCTGTACTGATTGCCAACTCTAGCACTCCGTAGCGATTTCCCATTATTCTTTGATATAGGAAATAATGTTTTCACCTGAAACACAAGTTCTATTGATGGTGTATTTTCTGGGTAGCTTTCTGGTTTGTTTGGAGTATGGTAAGCCCACAACTTGGACACATTTAACTTAACATGCAAATTTATGCTCATGGCAAAAAATTGAAAGGTTGCAGGGTTCCAGGAAAAATGACTTTGTTAATCCCCACCTGCCACTGAACCCAGTGACTTTTGATGTGATTTTGGCTTTAGTTGCGATCCCCGGAACTTAAACCCCATGTAATTTACAGGCCTACTGTAGATTCTTGCTAGTATCAGAGAGTTGCCTCGCACAGTGTGAAGGAGCAAACACTACATTAACCACACAATATGTATGTGCTACAGAGAACCATAGCCTATCTCAGCTCTTTAGTATAAATAAAGCTGTGTCAGTTATACACAAGCTATTTATGTGTGTGCAGAAAACACTTGATTTTAGTGTACATAATTCAGTGCATGGAGAGCCCCCCTGAGAAACTATAGTTGTTATCCTATGCAGATTTTGGAGCTTCACAGAAGAGTTAAACATGATTTGATGTATAAGCAGGAAAGGTTTAATCAAGGATTCAGAGGTAACTTAGGTTAGTGCACAGAGATACAGCACACGTTCATTTTCACAAATACCTCCTTGCTGGATTTGACTGAATAGCTAGCTGGTTTGCCATACTGTGGGAAAGACCACTTGCAAGGCATAGCTGTAATAATCCTATCCTGCTGATTATGTCAAGCATCTGCTAAGATGAGAGAGTCTCATATATTGAGTATTAACGAGAGGGCCCCAAAGTCCTGGTATAAGGCACCTTTTTATGTTCTTAAAAGTGTATTGTTCTGTGTATATTGGGTGCTTTCTGTTCTGTTAGCTTGAAGCAAGCGGTGATCAGCTTGGAGGCAGAAACTGGTGTCAATGTGTTCTGCTCCTTTTGCCCACAAAGCAAGTTCTGTTTACATGTCTCACATAATATATGAGATGTCATTTACTTGCACAGCATCCAGGAGTGTAGTCTTGACATTCTCCCATCACTTCATTGGCTTGTTTGCTGTTCATTTCTGCAGTACCGGTACAGTATAGACATTTTCCCTGAAGTTCTGGTTAGTATCTTCTGCTAATTAAGGGCATCAGCAGTTTCCATGAAGAGGGTTAGAAATAATTGCCTGTTTGATGTATTTGCAGTCTAAAGTGCTTTGCCTGTAACTTTAGCTGGAAGCAAGATAATTATATTTCTGCTTCTGGAAAGACACCCAAGAACATCGTCTCCTTTTCGGAAGGAACAATAGTAGTGATAAACATTTGCAGAGATAAAAGTTGATATCAGTTTGCTCAGGGAAAGCAATGCCTACCTGTTTTGTTATATGACCCATATGTATGTGTGTATGTTTTACAGTTCTACCCCCACTCTTCTTCTAAAGAGCTCAGAGCAGCTTAATGTGGTTTCTTGACAGCTTCTCATTCATGTAGCTTAAGGGTCAAACTAGCTTCAAAAGTTGTAACGGTATCCTTATTTTCAGACCATTTGCTGGCAGGCTGTGCAACAAAACGAGTACACAATACTGCTTTTAGCTAGATTCCCCCCCCCAACTTCAAGCTGCAGGATTTAAAGGGTAGATATGAGGAGATTTCACCCCTTCCATATCCAAGAATCTCCTGAGGAGTCTGCTGATTCTCCAGAGAGGAGGAGGCATGTTCTGCTCTCTACTTATTCTGCTCCAGCACCAAATCAGTCAGTCAGTGTCCGGGAGAGAGAGAGAGAGACTGAGTGTTAGAGATCGTGTGTAGAGATAAGGTTGCTGCTAAGAGCAGCTGCAGACACTCAGTGCAGTGCAGCATTCATTTATGCTTAGACCTATTAAGCTCTGTATATAGTTGTATTATAGTTGTAGTTATAGAATAAAGAAGATATTCTACAGAGCTGCTCTCCGAGTTGTTTATATACTCTGCTAGACTCTGCTGTACTCTGCTGTGCGACGACTGTCTTCTTGTGGAAGTGAATCCGGTGCTCACATCTCTAAGCTGTGAGTCCACAGCACTTTGACCTGTTCCTGTGCAGAAGGTGGTCTCTGGAAGTGCTACCCAGCTCGCCTAGCCCAGTCGGGGCTGAAGTGGATGAGTCCAGTTGGTGGCACTGGCTCAAGGGCGATGCTGACAAGATAGATAGATATGTTCATTCTAAAATAGGCCTTGTGCTAGATTTACGCATGTAGTAGAATCCCAACCTTCGGTTGCTAGTACTAGTTTTCGTATTGTAAGGGTTTTTTTAAAAAAAATAGGAAACACAGAAAGACAGCATCACCTACCTACTATCCGATGATAATGCAGTCACTACGACTTCAAAATTCTAGCTTTACGTACATCAGCTTTGCAAAACTCTGTTTGCATCCATCAGTAACTAACTCCTAGTGTCTTGTACAAATTTTTATTAATGACACAATTTAGCAGCTGGCCATAGTTAAGCATGTTTAAGGCCCATTGACATTTGTAGGTTAGTCAAATGTGTCTTGTTCTTGCTGACTAGTTCTCATAAGTGCTTAACTTTGACAATTGGGTCCATGAGATGAGGTGAAGCAACCGCCACCAGGGCAGCAGATCTTGATGTCAGTCTTTCTTTTTTCCCACCACCCTCGTTCCTGATGCAGATCTTCCTGACCCCCTTCTTCACAAGCAAGGATGGTGGGGTGGCTCCATTTTGGGGTCTGACTCTGGTGCCAAAATGTATTGGGCCAGCCCTGAGCCAAATAACAAACCTGTGTAAAATGAGAACAGTATCCACATTTTTCTTGCCAAGGTAACGCCTGGGCCACAATGACTTGGAAAAATGAAGGCTCACTTTCATTCAGAAGTTTTCAATGCTGGGTTGCAGATTTGAAATCTCCTCTTCCCTTCTAATAATGTCCACAGCTCCTAATTAGCAGAGAGCCTTTCTAATTTAAAATCAGGGAAGGATTGCCAGAAACTAGGACAGCTGAAAGCTGTGCATCAGCATAATAGGGTGCTTCATAATTTGCTTCTTTCTTGTTTTAGGCTAAAGTGTGCTGTACATGGCTATTATGAGGCCTCTGGAGGCACTTAATTTAGCAGAATGCTCTTAAGCTTGTCTTCAATCAGTGTATCGCTCAGAATTAACAAACATCTTCATGATTATGATGCTGGAAAATGCATCAAAGAGGCCAAGGATTGAGGATGGTGGCATTTCAAGAGATTTAGTGGACTCAACCTAGAAATCTTATTTGGATAAAATACTCAAATGTCAGATAGCAAAAAGGCACAGGGAACTTTGATTTATTTTTTTTTACTTGAATGGCAATTCTCTATACTGTACAAGAACTTTCTGAATTATGCCTAGAGTTGTTGGCTACTGTGAGGTGTCATTTTTTTGCTTTCAAGCACATATAATGTCTGTGGCTTACAGTGACAGTAGAAAACCTCTAATAATTTGTGAAGAAGGCAGCTGAGGGTTGAAATGGAGGCGGATGGTTGGCATGTTCTTCCATTTCTAACAAAGGATTTCTTGATACTTTTGCCTGTGTAGGAAACAAACAACAGCTGTAGCAGCCCTTTCATAAATATGAGATTTTACTGCCTCAGTTCCAAGCTAATCTCCATGTAGCAAATGCAATTACTGCATTTACTACAGGAAGCACACTGCTCTGTTAACTTACACATTGCCAAATGGCAACACATCATTTGTACAACTCTCATAATAGGATTGTTTTGCCGTCTGGATGCACGATTAGCAGTCTGCCCTTGTGATATTAAGACTTTCTCTGAACAGGAAACATTCCCTCTTACCCCAGCACCTGTAGTTGGCAGCCTTCAGAGGCCTCTGTCTGGCAGCAGAGTAAGCAAGGGTAGGAGCAAAACCAGCCCCAACTGGGCTGTCCAGTTCATGATGCAATGCTGCTTCAAGATTCTCATGCCATGTCTTTTTAGAGATCTTTTCCCAGCTGTCGTTTGGTATGGAACCAATAACCGTTTGTCAGGACTACCAAAAATATCCTAGGATAACTGCTTATAAACAAAACATATTTATAATAGGCTGGTACAAGTAAAACTCCACTTTGTGTATTGTGGGAGCCTTTGAGAGCCAGTGTGGTGTAGTGGTTAAGAGTGGTAGACTCGTAATCTGGTGAACCAGGTTTGTGTCTTTGCTCCTCCACATGCAGCTGCTGGGTGACCTTGAGCTAATCACACTTCTTTGAAGTCTCAGCCCCACTCACCTCACAGAGTGTTTGTTGTGGGGGAGGAAGGGAAAGGAGAATGTTAGCTGCTTTGAGACTCCTTCGGGTAGTGATAAAGCGGGGTATCAAATCCAAACTTTTCTTCTGTTGTTGTTGTTGTTGTTGTTGTTGTTGTTGTTCTTCTTCTTCTTCTTCTTCTTCTTCTTCTTCTTCTTCTTCTTCTTCTTCTTCTTCTTCTTCTTCTTTGAAGCTGCCCGGGGTGGGGTGGGGTAACACTCCTAAACATGGGAACTCTGAAGGCATGGATTGGGCTAGTACAGAAAATGCGTGCTGAGAATGCCCTGTGACTATCATGTGGTGAATGCTTTGGGACAGATTTTATGGACCAAAAAAGGGCTATTATGTGGTGGCGACCATTATGCGGTGAAATATGGTACTAGCCAAAATGGCTCTGTTCTGCCTCCACTGTTGGAGGCAGTATGCTCCTGAATGCTGGGAATCACAAGTGGGGAGGTTGGTGCTGTGCTCAGATCCTGCTTTTTGGCTTCCCGTGGGCATCAGGTGGCCTCTGTGAGAACAGGATGCTGGACCAGATGGGCCATTGGCAGGCTCTTCTGTTTTCTTCCTCTAAGCTCCCTCTGCTCCAGCATCTTCCATCTCACATCAAATTTGGCCAAAATGGTCTTTGGAAGAGCATCGTAGAAGCCCTGGTACCATTTTTAATCGCAGAAGATGTGGGTGAATTAGGCACGTGCTGCATATATAAACAGTTGTGTTTAATATTTTTGTAAAAAAGTGGGGGTCTTTTTAAAAAATGTTGGGGTTTTTTTGGCACTTTGATATACCTTGGGGCTTGGACAAGCCTGCTGAGACCTTTTTCTTGTGTACGGATGGAGCTCCTCTTGCTATATAATCATCAAGGTTCTAGCCTGAATCACAGGCATAGAGGAAATGACAAGAAACAGATCCCAATACATTTATGCTAAGCAATTTGAACCAGAACTGCAGACCACAAAGTGCTAATCTATAATCCACTGTGGCAGGAGTTAAAAATAGTCTATTGCTGATTAATTTTCCATCAGCTTCAAGATGCTGCTTCCGCTTCCTATAATTACAAAAGCAAAATAAAAACAACACTTGACAATGGTGCCAATGACCTTACAGGGCACTGTACCAAAAGTGTCACAGGCAAGATTCCTCTTAAGCCATGGGTAGGCAAACTAAGGCCTGGAGGCCAGATCCGGACCAATTGCCTTCTAAATCTGGCCCGCAGACGGTCTGTGAATCAGTGTGTTTTTACATGAGTAGAATGTGTGCTTTTATTTAAAATGCATCTCTGGGTTATTTGTGGGGCATAGGAATTCATCAGTGGGCTGGCCCCCTGCTGAAAAAGTTTGATTGCTAGATTGTTACATGTTACATGTAGGCAAGTATAAAAATGGCCCGTCGTATTTGATGATAGTATGCTGCCACATGTTCAACAAATACATTAAAAACACAAGACGATTTTGTTCTTAGTGCAGAAATAAATGGAATTGCAGTGTTTATCTGGTTCATTATAGCATGTGTAAAAGTGCTTGGGGGGAGTTTCTAGCTTGCATTTTGCGCAAGGGCCACATTCACCTTTGACCCAACCCTCTACTGGGCCACATGCCATTTTGGGTGTGTTATGGAGTCGTATCCCATTACCTCAACACATACTCTCACGTGTGTATATGCAGATTATAGGATAGGAGATAGCGAACTGCCCTATTCATAACTGACCTAAGATCTTTCGCCACTGGTTTCTATGTGTCTAATCTGAATAAGAAGGATATCACAAGTGCTTTAGGCTGCAATCCTATAGCTCAGTGTTTTTCAACCTTTTTTGGGCAAAGGCACACTTGTTTCATGAAAAAAATCACGAGGCACACCACCATTAGAAAATGTTAAAAAATGTAACTCTGTGCCTATATTGACTATATATAAAGTAATTCTCTTGAATAGGAATCAAATAAACACAAATCAAATAAACACAAACACTTAACATCAGTGGTGGGATTCAAAAATTTTAGTAACCAGTTCCGACATTCAAGCATGGTTTAATATTTTTTTCTTTAATGGCAAACAAAAACGTTGCGGACAGTTCTCTGCTCAGCGGGGATCGATCTGCTGATCCCCGCTGAGCCGGCGGATGACAGCTCCGTCTCCGCACTGTGTGCGGAGAGGGAGATGTCAGAGCCCCGCTGCTCTCTATGGGGAATCGGATGAGAGTGGACCGCCTGTCCGCTCTCATCTGATCCCATCCGATCTGATCCCCACCCAGGACGGATGGAAAATAGGGTGGACACAGTCCGGCGCCCGCCTAGTGGGCAAAAATTTGACTTTTTTTTAAAAAAATCTTTCGAATTTTTCCCACGGCACACCAGGCAACATCTCGCGGCACACTAGTGTGCCGCGGAACAGTGGTTGAAAAACACTGCTATAGCTAGTAACTGTTGAATGAATCCACTAAATTCAGTGGGACTTACTTCAGTCAAGGCATGTATAGAATTATCCTGCAAGTCTCTTTTTTAAAGAAAGTTATTTTCCTTTGCTTTCCAGTAATTATTTGATCAGGGCATTTAAGATCAGGTTGCTTTTCTTAAAAAAGTTTTCTTCCTCACTTCCCCCATTTTCTTGTTCTTCATATATTAAATTTCAGATAAATCTACAGCTGCCTATTACGGTTTCCATGAACTTTCCCCTTAAAGTAGTTGAAAGTTGTTTCAAAAATATTTTTATTTATTTGATGTCTATCTTGTTCTTACATGCAGAACTATCTTGTTCTTCTCCCTATACCTTCTTCTCAGAATTGTTGGTTATTTTCCAGCTTCATAAAAAGTACCTACTGGGATTCTCATATTCCTGCCTGCCCTCATTTGAGCCTGTCTGGTTTTCTTGTGAGAACAGGTCTGTTCTAGCTATACAGGTACGACAACATCTGTCCACACTTAATCTTCACCCACAAACTTCCAGTAAGTGCGAAGGGAGGACAGAAGCTAAAACTAAAATCTTTTTTTTAAAAAAATGGATATATGCTATCTTCTGCAGCAATTATACCAATGATTAAGTACAAGAGATAAAACTTGCATAATTCATGTTACACAATTTTAAACCGCAAAAAGTGATTGCCTAATTTTAATCCAGATAAATTACACACAGAAATCCATTGAAATTATGCTTCACTTTCTATAGTTTGTTTGCTTAAAGCACTTGGGCTTCAACCCTGTATGACTGTACTTCCCATGACATATTTTTGGCAGTGTTTGACATACACAGGTCAGAACCATTCACATGGTTGTAGTTTTTTGGGTGGCACAAATGCAAGATAACATGCCCATGTTTTCCACAGTCTTTGAAGCTACCTTTATTAAGTATGAGCCATGCAAAAAAAGAAAATTGGCAGAGCTTTGATTTAAATAGTATTTATTGAATTCACATTTCTAGTTATCTGAATACTGTGTAACTTGCCGCCTTCAGGAAACGCACTTAAATATAGGAATATATTAATGGATCTTTGTCAAATATATTTATATATACAGGTGCCTCTTTAGTTTTTCCATACAAAAGAGTTTGGCTGTAATCTAATGAACAAACCATTGATCTATCTTACAATGCTGCAACCTGGTCTCTGAATTGGATTTAACCCACGAAAGCCATCTCTATTTCCCTAGGAAATATTTTGTTGCCCGTTAAATCACATGTAGGTACCTTACAAAAGAGAACTTTCATTTGAATCAAGCCATTTGTGTCTTAGACGTATTTCTTGATCTCATCATACAAGACCAATACAAAAGCACCACCCATGCCTCTCAACACATTGGACCAGGCGCCTTTGAAGAAAGCCTTGCCCCCTTCATCTTTAGCTATCTTCTTCCAGCAGTCGATTGTGCCTTTGTACATGATATCAGCTGTGGAAGACAAACATGGACAGGTAAAACATAGTTACATTACCTGGAGAAAAAGACCATCACAATACTGCCTTAATTCCCCTCCCAAGACCTGGAATGCAGTTCTCTGCTCTTTACTCGCTTCAGAAGGAGGACAATGAAACTATAATTTCACCAGCAGCACCACAAAGAAACCACATTCAAATTTGTCCCCACATTCTGGGAGTGAAAGAACCTTCCTCCCTTTGATTTGTATACACGCATACTAAAACTCAGTACTATAAAACAGGACAAATGTAGATAAATATAACTTGCCCAAAGACTGCAGAACAGAAATAGCACTGTACTATTAATGCACTTTACTACAAAATGTAAACATACACCAAACAGAAAAGCTGTAATATAAAATCAAATGGCATTGCTCAAAGAAACTGCGTCAATAATAATAATTATTACGGTCAATTGCACCTGTGTCTCTGTTTCAATCTAACTTCTTAAGAAGAAAAAGTACTTGGCTTTTAAGGCTTCTACCTTCCCTTGAGAATTTAAAATGGAGGAATTTTTTTTGGCAACATTACAAAAATGTAGGGTTATTTTCTTACCTCCTTTCCTGCCAGACTGCATCATCATCCTACGTCGGACAGTGTCAAAGGGGTAAGACACCAGCCCAGCTACTGCAGTAACGGTCTGTGCTATCATCCAGCTTACTATGATGTGTACATTCTTTGGATCAGGCAGCATACCTACCATTGGGAGTAGATTACCCAAAGACAGGAGAAGGAAGAGGAAGAGAGAGGGGTGGGAAGAGGGTGTTATCAGTACCACTTTATCAATTCTACCTCAAGCAAGACCAATCATGCCAGTTAAGTTTTGTTTTACACCCAGTCAATCCAAGTCACATGATAGAGATTCCTACATTGCAGGGGGTTGGACTAGATGACCCTTGGGTCCCTTCCAACTCTAAGATTCTATTATTCTAGACATCAGCAGCTGCAGCAGAATTCCAAGGCAAGTCATTTTGTACCCTACTTTGGGAAGACATACATATACACAGATGCTGTTGTCTTTTCAGTGCCTAGAATGTATAGCTTTACCAGATAGCAAGTGCATTCATACAATGCTTAGTTACAGGAAAGTTTGGGGTTGTCAACCAAACAGTTAAGCCACCCTCAGATATACGTAGACGCTGAGTAGTCCACTCAGTTAGCATCCTAGCCTTCCTCCAACAAGCTCAGGTGGCAAACATGGGGCTGTCTCACTTTATCCTAACAGCCCCATGAAATTGAGCCACTCCCAAAGGCTCACTCTGTATACTCCAGGAATTTAAGCCCACATATTCACAGTTCAATTCCAGCACTCAAACTATTACACTACAATGACACTTTTTGGGAATTGCTTCTACTGCCAGAGCTCAACAACTGAGTGGGGAACTAAAAAAATGTATTTTTTTACTAGGTGGGAATATTTAGCTTCATGTCCAGAATATCCATATGTACCGACCTCTTGGCCAGTTGGGCAAATATTAAGAGATGATTGGTTGAAGGAGACTAAGAAGCTTGTATGATGAGAGTCACAACAAGGGTAGCTTAGGGTATCTGAGTAATGGGGCATGGGAAGGGCTGATTCCCTATGCTGGCAATTAAAAGAACCTTACTAATCAGTGCATGGCCCTGTGAAGTTAACTCATAACTACATATCATACAAATTATACCCATTATAAATCTTTGAAAATACTTGGATAAGGAAGTGGACATTTAAGAACTGTTCTGTTTTCTTTCTTTCCAAGAAAAGGGAGAAAGATGAAGCACACTCCAGACCTGTCTTAACTAGAAATACTTACCAACCTAATGAATCAAGAAGAACCCTATTTTGGGAGCATGTTTAAATATTTCATATTCTACATTCAGGGAAAACTCTAACTCACAGAATCTAGAATGTGTTTTGCTACTCAAGTGGCTTCCCTTTCTTACCCTTAGCTGTATCATAGACGCCAAAATACGCTGCTCTGTAGATGATGATGCCCTGGACTGAAACATTGAATCCCAAGTAGAGACCCTTCAGGCCATCAGATTTGTAGATTTTGGCAATACAGTTGCCCAGCCCAGTGAACTGCCTTTCACTCGCCCCTTTGCCCACATCAGCAGCTAGCCTGGTCCTGGCAAAATCCAGCGGGTAAACGAAGCAGAGAGAAGTTGCTCCTGCAGCACCCCCAGAGGCCAAGTTGCCAGCAAAGTAACGCCAGAACTGCTTGTGCCTGTCCACACCCCCAAGGAAGATCTGCTTGTACTTGTCCTTGAAGGCAAAGTTGAGGGCCTGGGTGGGGAAGTACCGGATGACATTGGCCAAGTTGCCTCTCCAGAAGGAAATGATGCCCTGCTCCTTGGGGATCCGTATTACACAGTCCATGATCCCCTTGTACTGCTTATCAGCTGTGATCTGTTGGCTGGCATGCTGGACCTGTTAAAGGAAGAAAAGGGATGGGAAGAAAGAGAGATGGAGAGAGGGAGGTGGGAAGGAAGGAAAGAAGGAAGGAAGGAAAATCATTGTGGCACATTATACACAACTTCTCAATTGGAAAAAATAGCCATTCCTATCTTTGCACCTGCAGCTTTATCTTTGATTACTGTTTGGTGCCAAAGTTGGCCATCCGCTTGAGATTCGCATCACTTGCTACAACACCAGGGCATAACAGCTGCACATAATGTGTAACTATAATAACTTACTTGACCATTAGAAATGGAAAGTGGAAGAACTGTAGTTGCTCCTCCTTCCAATCAAACAATTAATCCCCCCCTCACATATGAAGTTCTTGATAGGCTATGGACTAGCTTGATTTTCTCTATTATACACACACTTTCTTTTTTAAAAACCATGGTGATTCGGTAGCATATGCAGTATTAAAGGGAGACAGGCTACATATGCAAGACGTCATTCTTCCATTTATATGGCCCTCCCAAGAACTCATGTCCTTCAGTTGACCTCCAGTTAGCTATCAGGCCACTGATCCTAGTAGCAAATAGCACTCCCCCCCCCCCCCCAGTTTAGTTCAAATGAAGGAAGCTTCCCTGATACATATATGGTACAAAACACCGTTCCTTTCACAATAGGTTTTAGTGTATTTTTTTTACAAGTTATTGGACTTAATGGCCATCTGCCATATACGTGCAAGCACACACTGAAAAGAAAAGAATAAAACATCCAAGATTTCAAGGCATTTTCCCCAATACTCAGCACACTTGCAGATCTGTGCTATAAACAGAGCCAAGGAAAAAAGAGCTGCGCTGGTCTTGTGTAATCAGAACTGCACAACTGGAGTTTCCATATTTAGTCACTTCAAGCTCTAGCCCATCTGACAGTAGAATTCCTGCTCCACTCCTGAGTCACAGGAAGATCCTTTCCTTAGAGATACAGCCGAGCAACAGCTCTTGAGGGCAGCAAACTTAAGGCATCGCCATCACCAAACCATCACCACTTCTAACAAAGGACATATGAATTTCTAAGCCAAAAGAACAACTTGTTGTCCTTGTCAATCTGGAAAGAATGTCCCTGCCATTTACTTTTAGGTCCACAGAACGATGCAACCTTTCCAGGAACAGGTGCGGGTTGACTTTTTGGGCAGCTTATTTTGTGCAGGCGCAAGCACACCACTTTAGAAACCCAACCTCCTTACCTGTAGCAGCAGTTTCACTCTTTCAATAGGTGCTACGGCAGTTTTGGAAATGGCAGCAGCAATCCCACCAGCCAAGAAGTCCTTAAGGAAACTGAGAGCTTGGTCAGACATGATGGAGGCAAGTCAGAGCGACACACCAATCGCCCCCTCCTCTTTTCTTCCTTTTATTATTTGTTTTCTTTTTTTGCTAATGGAGGAGCTGTCCACAGGCACCTCCCCACCCAGCTGCGCCCCCCCAACCTAAAGCACCCGCGTTCCAAATGGACGGACCCTTACCCCCTTTTCAACTATTTATAGCTCCCCCCTGGGTCTCGCGATAGCCGGAGGGGGCCGGCCGGGGGCCGTTCCGCGCGCACATTGGCTGGGACCCCCCGTGAGGCGAGGGCACCGGGGCAAAGCCGCCATGCTGCTCTCCCCCGAAGGGGCAGCCCTGGCGAGGGGGACGTCTCGGCAAGGGCAAAGTAAAGTTATCTGCTGCTCCCTGTTGGAGAGCGCAATGTCACGGCATGTGCTCGCGCTATTATTAATAGCACACGGGGCGGCCCTGGCGGGGGCGAAACTGACATTCTCTGGGCGGAAGAGTTAACCCTTCCACGGGGCGACCGGAGTTCTGGCGAGGAGGAGCGCAAGCGGCGCCGCGGGAAATGGGGAAGGGCGCGAAGATGCGCGGTGCGCCCTGGCGATGGTGGCGCGCGCGCCTGTGCGTTCTGTTACAACATATGAAATAAAAGAAACCCGCCCTTCTTCCTCCAAAGAGCTCAGGAGGTGGGGTTCCATTTTTTAGCCTGCACAGCAGCCTTATGAGGTAGGCTAGGGAAGCTGAGATACAGTGATTGGCTGAAGATGTCTCTGCCCGGGGATGGATTCAGGATCTTCCCGGTCCGTGTCCGTGCTACTGGGTCACACTCGTTGCACCCAAACATTATTTTCAGTTTGTAAGCCCACTGCACTGTGCCTCGCATTTCTTTTTATTTATTTATTAAATTTTGGAAGTAGAACACAGCAGTGGCGTAGCGTGGGGGGTGCAGGGGGGGCCGGCCGCACCGGGCGCAACATCTGGGGGTTAGGGTTAGGGGACGCAAATTACTTGCCTTGCCCCGGGTGCTGACAACCCACGCTACGCCACTGGAACACAGACATTGTGGCTAATAGCCAGATCAGATCAGGTTCTTTATTATGCACTTCCTAGACCTTAACAAGCTAGTAGCCACTGATAGCCCTGTCCTCCATTCACCTGCTTTTATTTCCAATTTAGTATAATTAGGATTGGGATGCAGGTGGCGCTGTGGGTTAAACCACAGAGCTTAGGACTTGCCGAATCCCCGCTACGGTTGCTCGGTCCCTGCTCCTGCCCACCTAGCAGTACGAAAGCACATCAAAGTGCAAGTAGATAAATAGGTACCGCTCCGGCGGGAAGGTAAATGGCATTTCTGTGCACTGCTCTAGTTTGCCAGAAGTGGCTTAGTCATGCTGGCCACATGACCTGGAAGCTGTACGCTGGCTCCCTCGGCCAATAAAGCGAGACGAACGCCGCAACCCCAGAGTCGGCCACCACTGGACCTAATGGTCAGGGGTCCCTTTACTTATAATTAGGATTGTGTTTTCATATGCCCTTTGCTTTGTCTTTCAAATTCTCTATTGCCTACTCTGGCTGGCAGCAGCTCACCAGTGTCTGGGGCAGAGACCTGTCTCAGCTCATCTGCAGAGATCCTTTAAATGTCAGCTTGTACCCTTGTCCATGAAAAGCAAGTGCTGTGCCATTTAACTATGACCTTCCTCATGTACACATATGTTTTTGCCTTCATAATTTACTTATTGTGCATGGTGAACTCTGAAAAGTAATGAAGTGAGGAGTGTGCATCCATATTTAAGATGCTGTTCCTGGAATTAGAATATGAAGGGAGACCAATGAGTTTTCTTGCAAAGCGCAGAGCTGCAGCTTTAAAGTTCCACTGAGAGAGAGTCTTTCTCATGCCAGCAGTTTCTCTCCATTCATGGATGTAGTGAGGAGGAGTTAATGCTCTTTTCCTAGTAGTGCCTTGAAAGGAGAACCACTGCATGTGATCAGAAGGCAGGTGTCACTCTTTAGGTGGAAAGGAGGCTGGTGGAAGGTTCCAGGAGCATATGACTAGGAAATGGAAAGTTCGTAACCCAAAATATGAACTATAAGTACAGGAGGTGCTTGTATACAGTATAATCCGGTCACTGCCTGACATCATGGATCTTGTGGATGTAGGCGTATCAACCTGGGAAGGCAGCCCATTTAGGAGAAGGAAAACTCTGACCCTAAACCTTGCAGAATATATTTAGGAGAAGAAAAGGCTAAGGAGTAAACCCTACACAAATCCGGAGTGGAGTTCCTAAGACGGTTGGATGGCGCCTTGTTCACCTCCTTCCGGCAACTTCTGCAGGAAAGCTGGTGCCAAACATATTGCTCTGCTTTCCTTTGGACCATATCAGCGAGGCTGATGTCATCTGGGCAGCCCAGGACCTCTATGCACACTGCCCTGGCTTGCACCCTGGGGAGATCACTTCAGTGCCGCTAACACAGTGGTTTGACTTCACCTCCCAGAGGGGCACTCCATTGTCTCTTGAGACAGACAGATGGCAACAACCATAAAATATTCTCATACTGTGTATACAGCATACATTTAAAGCACAATCCTCCACCCCCTTCCAAAAACATCCTGGAATCTACAGTCATACCTTGGAAATCGAACAGAATCTGTTCCAGAAGTCCGTTCAACTTCCAAAACGTTCGGAAACCAAAGCACGGCTTCTGATTGGCTGCAGGAAGGTCCTGCAGCTAATCGGAAGCTGCAGAAGCTCCAACAGACTTTTGGGTTCCAAAAAACATTCGCAAACCAGAACACTCATTTCCAGGTTTGTGGTGTTTGGGAACCAAAACGTCCGAGTACCAAGGCGTTCGGGATCCAAAGTATGGCTGTATTTGTTACGGGTGGTGGGAATTGTAGCTCTGTGAGGGGCAACTACAGTTCTCATGATTCTTTGGGAGGAAATGCATTTTAAATGTGTTTTAAATTTATGATGAGTATGCAGCTTCACATCCTTTGCAGGCATTTTCACAAAAGAGGCTCGGGCTGTGTGTGCACAACATTTTATTCTGGAATCAATGCTGACTACATTTTTTCTATGTAGTCCACACAGAATCTAACACATATTTTTTGCCCCTGAAAGTTTTTTTGGGGGGGGCGGGGGGAGCTCATTGCAGATTGGTTCTGCATTACTCCATTGTGTGCCCATTTGAAAATAGATGTAGGAGATTCTGGCAATGGGTGGTATATACAAGAAGCACCACTTCCTTCTCTGTTCACCTGCGGCATATGCAGGGAGGAAAAGGCATGGAAACCTAAGTGTATCAAGTAAACACCTTTGTGGATGTCGCAAAGGAAAGGAATAGGAAAAGTTTAGACACCATTGTTGTCAATTTCTGCTCTACTTGTGAACCAGTTTTCCACTTTAGCTTCCAGTGCAAAGTATGTAACATAGACACCACTGCTATGCAAAGTAGTGGTGCAACTATAGAGGAAAATGGCCAAAGGAAGTTCTTCATGTTTATCAAAGCGTCAGGCTATGTGTTGCTCTGATTTCCTATCTCTGCATTATAAAGCGCTTTTCTTTGTTGCATAGAGCTACTTTAAATACGTCGGGCATCTCTTACAGATCATCACAGCCAACTTTGCTTGCATGAGAGTTCATGTACTTTAAGCAGCTGTACAGAAGTGGGAACAGTTTGCCATTCTAAGGTGGCAAAAGCTCTCCCATGCAATCTTTAAAGGTACAGGAGTTCTGCCATCCATTACGTTTGTCACTCCATATCAATGTGGTTTCAGTGATGGGAAGGATTGGGTTAATTAAAGGGAGTTTTGTTGCGAAGAGGCAAGGGACCTTATTTACTTGGGACTACTTCCCCTGAGTTGACCTGTAGATCTCTCAGCAAACTGGCTTATTTTAGCACTGGCCTTCTGAGGTCGGCTGACTTTTCACCTGAATAATAAGGTACAAAGCCAAAACTCAAGGACTTCTGCTGCTTGGAAAGCAGACTGCTGTAGCAACTGGATTCTGTCTCTGTTCTAAGACAAGTGACCTGAAATAACCTTATAACATATTCACTGTAATATTATCCCTGCAGTGTATCTCCGGAGTGACCGTTTTCAATCTTAGCCATGCTAAAAGCACTATTATCTACCTTGGCTCTGGAAAATATGAATAAGGAAAAACAATTTTTAAAACTTCCACACAATTCTGTTTCAAAATGTACATTCATTCCTCAGTGATATTTATCTTCTATTTTGTACCCGCAGCTAAAATGTTAATAGTTTCAGATTATGCTGGTATTTGCCATCTCTTTTGATGTTCTAGCATTGGGACTGTGGCAGGAGTGAAATTGTCCAAGTGTCTAAAACACCTAATTCACTTATTGTAACTGCATTTATTTGGAGATAAGACCTACCAGTGTCAAAGTAAGGTTTGCTTAACTGACAAGCAAAAGAAAGCCAAAATGTTCTTTGATAGTTCTGTACCATTCATGATCACATCAAGAAATAAACTTTTGGGATGTTCAGCTTTTCTTATTCCTGTAATGTTCTCAATTGCATCTTGTTGCCCTAGTCCTAATGCAATATATACAAGCACCAGAAGGTTAAAAAAAGGTAAGGTAAAGGACCCCTGGACAGTTAAATCCAGTCAAAGGCAACTATGGGGGTGTAGCGCTCATCTCACTTTCAGACCAAGGGATCCGGCGTTTGTCCACAGACAGCTTTCCAGGTCATGTGGCCAGCATGACTAAATCGCTACTGGTGCAACAGAACGCTGTGACAGAAACCAGAGGGCACAGAAACACCATTTACCTTCCTGCCACAGCGGTACCTATTTATCTACTTGCACTGGTGTGCTTTCAAACTGCCAGGTTGGCAGGAGCTGGGACAGAACAATGGGAGCACACCCCATTGTGGGGATTCGAACCACTGACCTTATGATCAGCAAGCCCAAGAGGCTCAGTGGTTTAGAACATAGTGCCACCTGCATCCCAGAAGCATCAGAAATGGCACCTGGAAGCTCTGAGCCACATACTCACTGGTTGCTTGCATAGCGAAGCAGTGACATGGCCCTTTCTCCTAACTCATATATGTAATATGCTCCAAGCAGACACATGATTATGGTGATGCTTGATTTGCTTAATTCTTCCTCACAGACGGAAGTGATAGTGTGGCAGTGGGGAGATGTCCCCATGGTTGTATAGCAATGTAGACTACTTGCATCATATGTGATGGTTTGCAAGTGAGAGAAAAAGAAGCAGGAAAGGGATGCAATGTGAAGGACACTGCTAAGCAGTGTCTGGATCATAATTTTATGCATTATGGATATTCTGCAAAAGGTGATGCTTCATGTGAACTGCTCATACATTGGAAAGTTCATACAACCAATCTGATGTGCTGAAATGCATTGCATA